ATTTACATATTGTACACCATCGTCTACCATCGTAGACATCAACAATTACTGTACTATATGCGAACTGCCCAACAGAGAAAAGAATGAAGATCTAAAATCCAAGACGGGGTACGGGCGACTAAGTATGTCACCGGTTCATAGCTCTCTCATTGGTTTATATTGCCAAGCAATAACTAAGATCCACTCTCACTTTCCTTGGAAGTACCATGTTCGGGGTATATATATAGCATTGAAGTATATAGAATTAGAAGATATACCGGGTTAGAAAAGAGAAATGATCTTATCTTTATAGGTTTAAGATCAATCGTTAGTCGTACTATTGTAAAGCTGAAGTGTCCCTGATAGAAAAGTCGCTCATAAAAAGTGTACTTTTTTACAACCTTTATATATATCTGGAAAGAACAGTAAAAAGACATCACAAGGCCATAAACCCGGCCGACTATTCTTAAAGAAAATGAAAGAGAAGTTGAATTAGTATATAAATTGAAATTAATTACGAAGCAGTATATGCTTGAAGAAGGCGGCGATGAAAGGCAGTGAGGTAGTATCTAGGAGAGTTATGAACCGGTGGCATACTTAGTCGTCCGTAATGGGGGTATACAACAGCCACCAAAAACACAAATCATACCAAAAGCAAGAATATCCAAACTAAACCTCCGCACGAATTCTCCGATCCAATCCAGATTTCACTTGATACTTCCCCTTCTTAACCCCCTTCCCCCCAGAAATCGGACTCTCCTGCCACCGCTGCCAGATATCCTCATCACGCTGCATATTCCTCCTCCCATAACCCAGATACTCATCGAAGCGTTTCCTAAGCTCAGAATCCTCAGGCACAACATGAGCATGGATTCTACTTGAAGTGGAATCCCACAAGAAGGATTTAACTGGATACAAGATGAAATCCTTCAGTAAGCCCACACTGATCTTGTGCGTTTTGGATACTATCTCGCGTAGCGTGTCACTGAAGGCTATGAAGAGGGAGAGAAAGATGATTGCGAAGGATGCCGGGGCTGGGCAATGTTAGCGGTGGTATTAAAATGTGTGTTTGGAGTGAAACGGACCTGCTATCTCGAACATTTGTCCTAGGGTTGGGTTTGTCGGTTCGCCGCTCCATTCCCGGGCATTTATTCCAAATAGAGATGTAAAGAAAGATAGAGGGAGGAAGCTTGGATTGTCAGATTCTTGTTAAGGTTCTTGTGGAGAGAGTTTGTAGACTTACACAACACTGAATATGGTGAAGACCATCACAGCTCGGGATTGCGTTTGAGCAACTTCGGCTTGCCATCGAGTCATTTTGGCTTCATCGACATTTGCCTGTTTCTGCTTGAGATCGAGGAGGGTTTCGACCTGGCTAGTTAGTATATGGAAACAATAATCAAGCGATATTTCACTCACTGCTTTCTGTGCCAGATGGCTGTTTTCTTTCATCTCGTTGATTTGCGAACGATATTCGTCAATCCGCTCCTGTGCGTTGTCGAGGAATGATTTCCCGTACCCCCTGCTGTCAAAGTATTTGACCATACTTTTGATAACAGTGTCTTGTTGATCGAGTAGCTTTAGGATGGTGGATAGCTCATCTTCGATATCGCGCAGCTCAAGCAGAACGGAGAGGTCTTCTCGATTTCGACGAGCAACCTGGAATTCTTTATGTTCTTGCTGGGCGGCTGTCATGAACTTGCCGTCTGAGGTACGGTCATGATCCGCTGGGCGGTTGGTAAAGCCTCTATTTCGGAAGCGCTTGAAAGACTTGGTGACGGATTCGGTCTGACTTTGTTAATAATAGCCACCTGAGGAAGAAAATGGAAGAAAGGAACCTTACCAAGATGCTAATTGACTCCTCGAAAATCCGCAGTACCTGTAGATCATGATGTAGAGTCTTATCCAGGAGAACGGTGACAGCATGCAGCATAATGAGAGCAGCCAAATCACCGGCCGTCTCAAAGCGACGAGAGAGATCCCCATTTAACTCATTGTAAATGCTGCTATGCAAGTTAGACTGTTCAAACAACTTTCCCTCTGAGGTCGTAGCCTCTTGATTCGGGAAGAAAGTAATGACAGTCTTTTGATCAAGAATCCAAAGCCAGAGTTGATCAACCATCAGGACATTGCCATCCATGAACTCGCCAAAATTCTCCTCATTATCGGGATCATCCTCTGCAGACTGCAGGTATTCCTTTAGCTGCTCATCAATGCGCGCCGGTCTGCGCGTACGTTTCCAGAGCATTTGGTCGTCATCACGAGCGATAGTCGAGCGCAGATTCGGATATCCGTATTGATCTAGTGTGCGACGAAAGTGCACTGGAGGCTCGCAGCCGAGGTAGGTCCATATTAATTGAGCTTCCAGGCTTGCCTTCGAGATGCGGCCTGGGGCGGGCCTGGATCGGCCTTGCTTGAGGCGGTCTTCGACTACTTTGCGCCGTTGGATTAGGTTGCGGTATGTATCCCAGTGCAGCTGTGGTTAGTTAGCATAATGTGGAAGAGGGATACTTGGTTAATTAGGCGTACTAACGTAAGGAGCCTGGAATGAATATGTTAGCGTTGATATTCATATGGGGGGCTTAAAACATACATATAGAGCGAGTTGAGGGTCTTCTAAAGCATCGGTAGGGCTTTGTGGAAATTCCGTTTGTCTCGAGTGAAGACATGCGGGTTTGACGAAACGTGCATGAGGCTCGAGATGGCGAGCTCTATTAAGCCGGAGGTACCAATTTTCATCATTGATAAATTTTCGAACTCTGCAGAAGATAGTTAGCACAGTGTGAAGGTATGTCATGGAGTTAATATGTCCTACAAATAAGGCTCTTGTCTATCCTGACATGCCCGGCGGATGACTTGGGATACCCAACCAGTGTGCGTATACGGAACATGGATCCACATCAGTTTTTCAGTATCGGCATCGGGTCGATCGAAACGTGGAACTGCTCGTGGTACATCCGGTCTTTCGGCATTCTGGTTGATACGATCGCGAGTGGACTTGGGTATTGCCAGGAAAGGTGATTGTACTGGTTGCGATGTAGCAGAGCTCCTATGGTGCATCAGTTTAGGATTTCGACTCAAGCATCGGACTGTGACTTTCTTACGAAGGTGGCCGTTCAATACTTTCCTGGGAGCTGCTGTCAGAAACATTCCGATGGGGGGATATCTTCATTGGAATTAATCCCAGCGCCTTGGTGAGTGAGCTCTTTCGTTTCTGCTCCTGTGGCGGAGGTGGACTTTCACTTGGTGAGTCATTCAAGTAGCCATCACTATCTGCTTCGGTGATGTGGATCTTTGGAGATGGACCAGAGGGATCATCAAAGCTTTGCTTGAAGGGTAGAGGGGGTTGAAGGGGCCTTGGTTTCTCACCATGGTGATCTTGATGATGGCCATTTGGATCGGAGCTAGGAACAGTGTAGGATGAGCTGAGACTATCCAAACTCGTGATTGACGCAGCATCCAAGCCACCGGGCTGAACTCGACCTAGTCTCTCCCGAAGGCAAGCCGTCGGACCACGAGAGAGATAGTCTTCCAAGGACACCTTAGTTGACCACATCTTGAGCGGACTTTCATCACTAACACCCAATGCAGTATCCTCGAAGAAGCCATTGATTTGAACCATGACTTGCTGTTCTACGCCCAACGGCGTGTCCTCCTGCTTTGAAATTTCAACAGCAGTGTTAACGGCATCACTTAGTTCATCCAAGAATCGATCTCGTGTGGACTCCTGGCCGTGGAAGGTTGCTGTCCCCGTATGGTCTGTTGCCATAGGCAGTTCCTTTTCATGCTCAATGTCCAACAAACCGGACCGAATCGAAGTAATGGGAACATGAAACTCCAACATCTTATCTGTTTCAGCGTCGATCACATGAATAGTTGAATCCACAGTTTCGAGAAAAGACCAGACCCTCATGTCCGCCGAAAGAGTCTTGAACTGGTTCGACAGATGCCATAGTCGCTCATGACGTGGGCGCAATTGCGCCCTGAGCGCTGCGGGTGTTTCGTGCTCTAGATGCAGGAGATGGCGAATGCTAGCAGCATACTCATCGGCGGAGAGGTAAGTCGACCCATGGTGGGGAGTCGCAAAGAAGGCGATCCCATGGCAGCTGGTTAAGAGGGATTGGCCCGGCTCTCGCGATGCCACGACTAGAGCAGCTTTAGCAACGAGACCACCGGTGCTGTGGCAGATGATAAAGATGGGACGTCGGGTTGACTGACGAAGCTTTTAGTAAATTATTCATGTTTACATATGAGAAGAGAAGATGTTTACAAACCTCGTGTTTCCGCTCACTACGTAGTTGGTTCAACAGCCGTTCACCCAAGGTGTCAATTTTATCGTCATGCAGGTCTCCATAGTTATATAGCAGGACTCGCGCTCGAGGCATATGCTGTAGTAGTGTAGTATGAAGCCAGGACGATGTCGCGCCAGGCGCTACCCACGTCTTTTGATGATGGGCGCCGATGGGCGGGATGGCGACAATACTAAAGAAAGAGTTATTACATGAATGTGATAAAGCTGGAATAGGAACTTACTCGACATCAGTATCATCTGCAATATTGACTCGGTCAAACCATGAGCGCGTCTGGTTGGTCACGGGTGGCCGTGAAGTCATATTGCCGAGTTGAACATAAAATTAGAGCGACCTGGAGAAAATAGCGGGGATCAAGTCAGAAGCAATCTGGGCAATCTGGGCATTCTTAAATCTCACAAATCAGGGGCACTTCAGCCTCATGTTGGGGTCCGGATGATCGCGCCCCGACACCCTCATTTGCCCGCTGGTGTAGTCTGCCCGCTACAGGGCTGTGTTGTGAGTCAAAGCGATATCTTTGGCTATATTATATATTAATATATATCAAGAGAGAGAGAGAGATTTCCATTAATGTATATACATAGAAAAAACACCCAGATTCCAAATGCTAATGCAACCACTCTATAACCCGGCTGATGCGGTATCATCAGAAACGCCATAACAAAAATAAAAGTGGAGAGAGACAACGCATATGCATTATAATTGTACAAGAGGGGAGATTATGCATCAGAGTGTCGCCGCTCGTTGACCTCTCGGGCCATGCGCTTTCCAAGCTCATAGGTTGAGATCATGATGGCGCACGCCGGGGCAACTTTTAGACATCGTGCCGTCCAACCACGGAATAGGCCAGCGGTACCTTCTTCACGGAAGATGTGCATGAGGAATTTTGGTAAGGATAATTGTTCTGGCGCCAAGATGCCAGAGGGTAATGCCGTGCGGGGGGCGGTGCCGGTGAGAGGGACGTCGTCTAAATGTCGGAAAACTTGCTGTCGCGTTTTACCAACATCGAACGGAGTAGTAACAAATGCTGCTAGGGATCCTGAAATACCTCCAGAGATGAAGCTATCGAGGAAAGCTTGTACGCTTGACTCTTGAGGCTCGTGGTCAGAGCCAGAAAGATGAGGGGCCTTCTGGCGCGCCGCGATCAGTGCCTTTCTCACCTCCTCGTATCCCCACCAGTAGAGTCCGGAAAAAGGAACATCGCGCCACATAGTGAGAGTGAACCCTCGCCAGAGCGAGCTATATCCCTTTGCCTGCGTCATATGGTACAAATCCTGTACAGTGGCTTTGAAGTGGCCTGCACCCGTTCCCGGAATTGCCTGGAGACGCGTCCGAAACATCTCTAGCGGACTGGTTGCAGCTGCGGCTGCGACGCGAGCCATAGACCCAGCTAACAAGGGCACATAACCCTCAGATACGCGCTGCTTGATAGGACTCCGATCATCTGTGCGCAGCCAGTCATAACCAGCAAAGTAGATGACATTGGCCGGGATTCCCATCATCAGGGTCGGGCTCAACCCTCGCCACAGTGTCAAAGTTCCTTCATTACGCGCGATCTTCCGTAGCCCGTCGAGAGTTGATGTGAATGTTCTCCGCTGCGTTTCTTCGACCGCACAATCGATTGCGGGGTGTGGATGGGTGCCGACCGCGGTCGCCTGGGGCCCTAGCATGCACATCTGGGCATCGTTTCCGACCCAGAAGACTTCGCGACAGCAGGAGGTGATACCGAGATTTGGAGGGAGGTTTTTCAGGGTTTGAGTGGTGTGAGAGGTAAAGGGTGAAGTGTTGTAGACCTGGGATTGCGACTGTAAACGAACTCGTACGACATCTAAAGGTGTCACTGCGAGCTGTTAGTGCTGGATTTCCAAGGATCGGGAGCTCTTCCGACTCACCTAGAAGCCCAGTTAAGACATTGCCGGCGGTCGCAGACACCATCCGCTGCCCAGGAGTAATGTTATCTGTTGGAACAGGGGTCTTGGGTGCAGGAGGAGAGCCTGTCGCCGATGTGGTGGCCATTGTAGAATCTTCAAATTGTGCAGTCCATGACGTCCCTAGAGAGGCGTTTGAGTCTGTGGCGAACTGGCTGCCAGTGCCGTGGCCTGAAGTGAATTCCACGTGCGGCATTCAATCAATTCGATGTGAAAATAATCCAGAGTTCTCAGCGCCTGAGTTGAAAGGAAAAGGATGCGTCACTGGGAAAAGGAAGTTTTTCGGGGTTTCGGGTTTGGCGGGTGGCGGTAGGCGGAGATAAGCGTTTGGGGGATCTCGGTGATTTGGGTGAGTTGGAGGGGTTAATGGAACTGGAGGGACGTGATTTTTGGCAACTTTTAATATTATTTGGGTTGAACGAGTTTGATTTGGTAACTTGGCATGGCTGTTTCTTTCTAGGCCCTTTTTTTCCCACTTGTCTTATCAATCTGATCTGATCTCCGAGGTCGGACGTGACGCAAAACAGACTATTCCGGCTCGACCAAAGGGAAGATCGATAGTGGACCTCATGTAGTGGGGTTTCGATACATTTAAAGAGCTGCTGTATCCATATTTCATGGATTAATAGGTGTGAATAGCTGTGTATGTTGGGTATAAAAATCGAAGTATGCAAATTGAGCCCGTGTGTAGCCGACTATAACCAAGCCCATATATTACCTCTATACTATAGAACATAGAGATCCTCGGGAACCGCATTTTTCACTATGATCGGCATTCAGAAGTACTCATAGTTTAAGCCATTCATGTAGCAGCAGCTCTGCAGCTGACTTTCGGTGTGCCGGGTTAATGGTAAGCATACTTTGAAGAAGGTCGATGAAGATGGGATCTCTGCGTCGGACATGTCGTCGGGTTCGGGGAAAGGTCTTTCAAGACTTGTGGGTGTCAAATCCGAGATTCAAAGAAGAGAACCTAAGTTGAATAAGTAAAAACTGGAAATCACCAAGTATTTTGATTGTCCTTGCGAGCCGGTCATCATCAGCCGTCCATGAACCATTTTTCGATGCCAGTCCGGAGAAAGGCAGTATCCTCTGGGCAAACTCAATGATCTATTTGATAACCAGGAGATATAAGACAGTCTGCCCGTATTCTGCGCCGGTGGATTGAATACTCACAGGGCAACCGAGGCTGCAGATATCAACCTTCTTACGCACACTTACGACTTTCATCCTATGGCTACCTTCGATCACTGCCAGAACAGGCAAATTACGCGTCAATCTAGTTCACCTATAAACCTACTGCTGATCTGAAAAATACGCATAAAAAGCACAACATGGCTATGGCATCAGTGCCAATAACACATAGCGGGCATAGGGAGTAGATTTGGCTCAAGTATGATCATATCGATCCTAACAAGACCGCATATAGATGGAGGTAAAGGTTCTTGTGGAGGGGAGATTCAAGGGGACTAAAGGACTAAAGGCGACTTGAGGGGGCTTGAGGGCACTTGAGAGGACTGGAATTCTTTAACTTAGAAACCATCTTCCCCTGAAAGGTCGAGATCCGGAGTTCCGCTTCGATTGCACACAACGAAAAATACTCCGTCCTGATGTTTAATCTCGTGAGGTTGTCCACCGCTGATTGCGCGGAGGCGATGCAGCACCAACCCTCCCAGTAATCACGGAATCAGCTTGTCCGAGAAGGGCTACCTGGTATAGCCCTTGTCGCGTGGTAATACCCTCCGTTTGGGCATTATACGGGTCGTCATATCTCATCACAGGGAAGTACTGGAGAGTCCAAACTCCTCGGACATCAACCTTTCAGAGAAAAATGGTTTCCTCGTAGGTCGACATAAAACCGTACTTGACATTGAGCTCCCGCATATAGCGGGCAATCTGCCCTGTAAGATAGTATATATATTAGTATATGAATATAACGAGGGCAAAGTGTATACCATACCTAGGCCACGGCGAAGTGCCCCCTCTTATTTGAGGCAGCCTTACAGCCTGGCCTTATCTCTGAGAAGCAGCTGCTCCTCGGAGACTGAGGTTCCTGATCCGAGGCCCATGATACGCACATCGAGGGTGATATTGTTCCAATGTGTGCTTGGCGAAGAAAAGGTGGCAATAGTTACCATCTCGTTCAAAGCTAGGCCATGCTGTTAAGTGACCTACTAGGTCGATAGGGTAGATAGCAGAGTTGTTTGTATGGAAATTCCCAAATCTGATCGGAGGGAGAGGTTCGATAAGGACATCTCGTGCTGCGAGCGGTTTGATTTGCGACATTTTGGCCTGAGTCGAGAGTCGAGGTGTAATCTTTAAGTGAGGGCAAAGTAATGGTCTAATGAGAGTAACTTGTCAGTCTCACCCAAGGCTTTATTTGGATTATAGGATCTCACAATACTTGTGTGAAATAGGCGAAAGCGTCGATGGATAGAGTGGTGACAGATGGAGAGTGTAGACTGATGAATTAGATAGGACGCTGGTAGTGCGATATAGGATCGCTGGAGATGCGCTGAGTCTAAAGCAGCTGGTTGGAAATCTTTGGCATTTACTCAACTCTCAGACTCCAATCTTTGATGTGGATAAGCATTTATGAATTATTGTGAATGAAAGTATTGTTTTAGATTTGGTACATTCACTGTCCGATATGCAAATCACAAGTACAAATGATTAACCTCAGTCAGATCCCAAACTAGCCAATAAACTAGCAGATGGAGCAAAGAATGTTGTCCCAGTGAGCGGCTTTGAGAAATCAAGGATACGATCATGCAAGCCAGGCGGATCCCCAACGAACATGCGCTCCAACATTCTTTCGATTACCCAGAGACGACGAGTATAGCCAATAAAGTAAGTCCCGAACTCACCAGCACCCGGTGACCCAAAAGGCATATTATCGCGAAGAATATCATGCTCATTCCCATCCTTATCTTCAATCGTGTTGAGTGTCTTGTGAGAGCGCTGTCCAGACTGGGCATCATCCAACTCCACGTTATCTATCTTGGTACGGCCAATGATCCTTTCCTGCTGTTCCGTTGAGAGATCTTTCCATCCGGGTAGATCATGAGTGTACTTCTGTACAACGATATAGCTACCACCAGAGGCAGAAGCATCCTCCTCTGCAACCAGAACCGATGCCGGAACCGCCAATCCAACGGGATTTGCCGTGCCATCCACAAAACCAAGAAGATCTCGCACATCAAAGTACCGAAACCCAACCGTCTCATCGATGACAGTGACCGAGTCGCCGAGTTGATCCATCAGCTGACGTTCGAATTCAAAGCAGATATCTCTGCGCTCAGAGCGAATGTGGAAAAGCAGATCACCGGTTGTCGAGACTGCGGTGTGTTTTTCACCTTTGATCTCGCGGAAAGGGCGCAGTTCTGACGGTCGGGGGAGACCCGTGAGACGATCCCAGATATCACTTCCAATGCCAACAGTGCATGCAAATTGCGCGCTGAGATCGCGGATGGATACATTTTTCGCTAGGCTGTCTACGCCTGCCAATGTAGAGCGTACATTTTCAATGGCATCGGACTTTTCGGTCACGGAGAGAACAAGAAATGTAGCTGATTGTGTCAGGGGAGCATCCACACGCTGAGGTGCTATTGGCACACGGTGGGTGCTCATATCTGCTTTTTGATATGACTTGCAATTGTAACCGGCAGATATGCGTTGAGTGTGGAATGAACGGCCGGTAAAGCTCGACTGGTATGTGAAATACCGTGATTTTTGGATTAGAATTTGCGAAGCCACACGAGATTTATTTGAGTGACCTGAGGCAAAGAAGGAGAATGAGGGCAGAGTGTTGAGAATATATGTGACCAGTCTCTTGGACTTGGTCATAGTTTAGCTGCTGGCGGTCCTTGTTGGTGGGAACTCCAGTCTTATAAAGGATTGAGCTGATTTGAATGCATCAATTGCTTATATTAAGAAAGAAATGATTGGCTAATTTCACATCTAGAATTATTCAAAGACGAAGAAAAAAAAAAGAAATTGGTCGATGCTACATCGTAGAGTGATGACATCAGGTTGAACCGCCTAGGGGAAAATGTTGCCGCGTATCGCTTTTTATCTCTACTCGCGCCTCATTTTATGAGAATATGAAAGAGAGAGAGAAAGAGTTACTTCATAATTTAAGAGGCTAATAATATCTATATCTATACACAAATGCTAACTCAGCGCTGGGTGTATCCACCATCGACGAACAAAGCCGTTCCAGCAACAAACGAGGCCCGTCCACCACTCAAATAAACAACTCCATCGGCAATCTCCTCCGGCTGACCCATACGCTCCATAGGAACAGCATTGGCAACCTTCTCCTCCATAGCCGCCAGGATCTGAGGCGACTTGGTAGTCAAGGGGGTCTCGGTATATCCAGGACAGATAGCATTGATGCGCAGGCCATCCTTAGCATAATCTTCAGAGGCAGTTCTCGTCAAACCAATAACCGCATGCTTGGTAGCAGTGTATGCAGTCGACAACGCAATTCCAGCAACACCCTGAATAGATGAGAAGTTGACAATCGAGCCACGCTGCAGTGGCCTTCCATCAATCGAGGACTTGATAGGTTCCTGCTTCAACATGATCTTGGCAGCCGCGCGCAGAACGAAGAATGTACCCGTGAGATTGACGTTCAAGATGCGCTCCCAATCAGCTGTTTCGCAGAATGCAGCTCCGCCTGCATGCTTCATTGCAATTCCGGCTGCGTTGACGACATAGTCGACTCGGCCGAATGTCGTCGCGACTTCTTGGACGACTTCATTGACGCGGTTCTCGTCTGTGATATTGGTGGGATAGGCGATGACACGGCATGGCGTGGCTCCTTGTTTGCTTTGTTGCTCTTCGATCTCGGCTTTGACGGCGGCGAGGGCTTCGGGGTTTAGGTCCAGCAGGGCGATTCCTGAGGCGCCATCTCTGGCGAAAGTCTTTGCGCAGGCGCGGCCAATGCCTGAGGCGGCGCCTGTGATGAGGGCAATTCCAGGGACGTCCATTTTGGGTTATTTGTGGATGTCGGGGTAGTTTGTTCGTCTTTTGATCTGCGGAGAGAGGAGGGTGATTTTAGTTAAGAGGAACAAATCAACCGAGGAATGACGATTTATATGTCTTCCATGACCGCTCGGTATCTCTCTCCGAGCAGGAGATACGTATACTTCCTACTTGGACGAATGTGGGGTTGTCGCGGAAACTTGCCAAATTCGTGTCTGGCGATAGCCGTGCAAGCCAAGTATGACAACGCACCTCGTACTTGAGTTTCCTATCTGTATAGATTCCATAATGGACTGAAACACGTTCTGCTGATAATGCACATACTCAGTGCGGGGCCCTTGCAGCTGATTGTCACCTTGGCTTTGAAAGACCATTCCCCAGGCGAAGTCCACGCAACTCCTACGATTACATTTGGATTGAGAATACGAAAAGAGATATGGATCAAAATAGAAAATTTGTATTAACATGCTCTATATACAATAATATAGATATCTAAGCTTACAATTATGGTAAGCGACCATCAACAAACAAGCTTGTAGACTCGTTCATTGTCTAGACCATCACTGATATGAAATCAAAATATCTGCTGTAATGGCACGGTGTTTTTCATCAGATCCAACCAAGTTACACTCTTTCCATTCGCACATGTCTTCTCCTGCCATATTCGCTGAATATTGGCCAATGTCTCAGTAAAGCAAGACAAGCCACTGCGGCGTGCCGAATTCACAAACCAGTCGGAGAATGATGCTTGAACTAATGGATCCTCGGCTTCACAAGCTGCAATGAATGCAGGCCAAATGAATCCCGCTGAGCCATGTACCACAGTGGAGTCTCTGTGCTCGCAGCGCAGTAGATGGTCTAACACGACGACGACCTTTCGCTGTAGCAAGGAAGCATCCACGTCGTGGATTCGACGATAGAAGTATATCGCAAGTGCATTCTTCATGGCATTGAGCATATTCTCTATGATGTCATGATCAAGTTCAGAATGAATATTCTCCAGGCTGGGTAGTGGCAGGTTGTTGATGTAGTCCTCGAGGGTTTTTGCCTGGCCGATGAACTCTTTCAAGCTGATGCAGTTCGATACATTATCTCCTCCTGCTGTGTCCTTTTCTTTCCCCAATCGAACAACCTGGGATAAAAGAAGAACCCAAGCTTCAGGGATCCCAAATATCTCCGGGTAGAGAGTGTCAGACCAGAACCCGGGCCTTTCAAGATGCAGATCATTCTCGCCTTCCTCCTGTCCGCGTACTCTCATCATTTCTTGGTCTAAATTCTTCCAGCCCGATAGGCGAAATGATAGACTGTCAAGGCTGTAGTTTCCTAGTCCGCTCGTTTCAATGGCCGCGTGAACGCGATGACGCTGTCTTGAGTTCGCTCCACAAACGAAGACACTCTCATGGATGATGCGCTCAAATACATAGCAGTGATGTAGTAATCGAACTTTTCGGGACTTTTTGCGCGGAAGCCCTCTTAAACGGATGAACTTTTCCGCCTCGACAAAATAATATTCTGATTGTCTTCGGTTCCCCGAGAACATTGTCACTTGGACCATGGTGAGCAGTGCCATCAAGATGGACTTATATTTGGCTACTTTTGGGACATCGTAGGCTGTTGTGAGCATCATTCTTGCATGCTCTTGAGCTTTTTGCTTATAAATAATGGCCTTTTCGTTCCATGTTTGAGATCGAGAGACTCCTCCAAGGCTGAATGCGCTTATAGCAAGTGTCCCGTAGAATGCACACAAACTGGCATCACTCATGTCATCGCCTAGAGCTAGACCAGCAAGGCAGCTCTTGGTGTGAGGTATAAAAAGGACGTGCCAGGGAGTCTTTGAATGTCGGAGGGGGGTCATCAGGCTAATGACAGCCGAGACATAGTGCTTGAGAAGGAAGACGGCATCTTGGGGTACGGCTTTTGTGGTACCCATAGAGGATGTGAAAGAGGTCGGGGAAATGGGCTGATTGTAAGATTGATCTGGGAAGCATGATGTGGGTGAATATTCATGTGGCGCTGAATCACCTTCCACACAGTCTTGATCTAGCATAGCGTCTAAATATCCCGGGAAAGGCGGACTGGGAACATTTTCTGCTTGATCAAATGTGAATTGCATCAAGGCTTGTAACCAAGGTGAGAGATGGGGATCGGACGAGGCTAAGTAAGAATTGCTGATTGGGATCACATCTTCCGGAGAACTGGAATGTGTTTCTTCATGGTCGTTCACAGCTGGTTCGGAAGACAATGTGTCTTGAGCTTGGTTGAATCTAAATGCCCCGAACGGACCTTGGTGGATCTCAATGTCATCCGATAGAGTTGCTTTTTCGCATTCTTCGTCAATGTTGGATATGATCCGCAGAGTTGTCCTCGGAGGAGCACTTGAGACAAGCCATTGACTCATGCGTTCTCTTTCTTTCAATGAAAATAACGGTCGACGAAACCGAGCACCATGACTGCGAGATGAGGCTTCGAAGTCAAAGAAAATGTCTTTCTTGTATCCTCCGCACTCCAGGCCGAAATACTGACACATTGAACATGCTGGGCGTCCTTCGTCACATTTGACATGCCGACTTCGACACTGTATTCGCGGTTAGAAATGTAATATTATTACTCAATGAGATCATCAAACATACTGTGGCACACCCTGTAAAGGAACGCGTATGAGTAATAGCGTCGTGCATACTTTCTTGAATTGAATCTGCCATCTTTTGGAGATTGAACAAGGAAAGTGTTGTACATAGGAGTCAGTGGGGGGAAGTGGATCGGTCGATCTCCGATAGCGGAAACCTTCCTGTTTTGACGGTGCGCGGTCACTTTCCTATTACATCCGACTATCTATACAACATACGGGTTATCCATGTAGAATATGAATATTCAATGTTGGGAGGTGGAATCCAGATTCTCCTATAAATATAATTCCCTTGGTAGCAATTTTGTTCCGCACTTGCTGTATTAAAACCAATATTCTTATCACCAGTGAAGATACAGCGAATAATCTATAACAATGGCATCTTTCCAAGATAAAGTGGTCAGTATCAATTCAGTGATTTATCAAGAGTTGTTTTCATCTAATTCCTATCATAGATCGCTATCACCGGTGCAGCCTCTGGAATGGGGTTGGCCACAGCAAAACTTCTCGCTAGTCGAGGCGCAATAATCTCTCTCGCCGATATCAACGAGAAGGCCCTGGGGGAGGCTATCAAGTCCCTCCCAAACAGCGAAAAGCATATGACCACGGCTATCGATGTGCGCAGCAGCAAATCAGTGGACTCTTGGATTCAGTCGACTGTTGAAAAATTGGGCAAGCTGGACGGTGCTGTGAATATGGCCGGAATTATCACACCTGCTGCTCCGATCACAGAGGAGACCGACGATAATTGGGATTTCACATTCTCTGTGAATACGCGCGGAGTATTCTTCTGCCTGAGGGCTGAGTTGAAAGCAATGAAGGCCGGCGGTAGCATCGTGAGTCCAATTCCAGTGTCGAACCTGAAAGATACAATGCTAATTTTCAATTGTGGTAGGTCTCTGCTGCAAGTGTGTTCGGTCAAATGGGTGCTCCCGGTGTCTCGGCCTACTGCGCCAGCAAAGCAGCTGTTATTGGGTTGTCGCAGACTGCTGCAAAGGAGAATCAAAATATTCGAGTCAACTGTGTTTCGCCAGGTAAGCATACGTGTTAAGATTGAGATTGAGTTTAGTTAACCAACTGTTTAGGCTCTGTCAATACACCCCTCTCCGCTGGCGAAGACCCCGAAGATGTGAAGCGCGGTTTGCAAAAGACGGCACAGAAGCGACAGGCACAGCCAGAGGAGATTGCAACTGTGATCGCATTCCTTCTCAGTGAGGAGGCAAGCTTTGTGACTGGGGCTGTGTACAATGTGGATGGTGGTTGGATGTGCTGATGTCAAGATGAAGAGCGCAATAGATGAGACTAGAGAAACTGGTCTTGCTGTCATTTGTTTGTTTCCTCTGGTTCCTTCACGTATATAGTTTCTTGGGCAGCATGTGACCAAGTACCAAAGTTTGATTTCACTTCCAACTCTTCATCTTCGTCTCCCCAACTTTCATTATTTCACACTTCTACATCTCATCTAATCAATCATGGCCGTCCTACGATCCTGGTTCCCTAGTGGACTAGATGAAGGAGACACGGTCACCCTCAATAAACCCAAGACCTCGAAATGGATCATCGACAAAAAGGTCAACACGCACAGCTACCAACGTGAAGATCGTTCTGTCGACTCCTACGCATCTGTTCTGTTTACTTGCCACAATGCTACTGATGGAAAGGAGGCTTTCATGCGCATTTATACCCAAGTTCCACACGCCGGCTTTGAGAACGCAGACAAAGCTACCCGCGCCCGAGAAGCAACCGAATTCACACCCCCCGAGCTAAAGGCATACAAATTTCTCAGTATCAAACACTCACAAAATACACCTGCACTTCTAGCATATAAGATGGGGATTCAGGACAGCTCAGGGCCAGTTCCTAGAGGACACATTACATGGATTGTATGGGAGAAGGTTCCCGGGAAACGCCTGGGAGATTTCAAATCTGCCTTTTTGTACTGGGATATGGACCGCGATCAACGGAAGCGTGTTCGTGAGGTCTTCCTTCGAGAGTTTCCGTGAGTCGAACAGTTTTCAACTACTAAGGGTAACGCTAATGTAGATTTTTAGCATGGCTAAGCGAATGGGGTATTTCCCCGAGGGGGCCAAGCCTCGCAATCTGGTCTGGGATGAGAACAACGAGGATCTGTATGCCATTTATCTTTCTTATAATTATGGGAGCTTGACTGACGTACCCCTACAGTTATTTTGTTGGTTTCCGAGATGCAATGCCTTTCGATGCTAAAGGCAATTTCGGTGAAGAGTGGTTCCCACGTTTTGATCTTGCTAAACCCCCCCAGAGACATTACCGAATGAACAGAGATTACAAGGGTGATATTTCGGACTGGAAACTTTGATTAGATCAACGTTTCAGACAATAGGGCACATAGGGCACCGTTTCTTTTGATCATCTTAGCTCATTGCTGCCCTTGAAACTCTGCGGGAGAGGTGATAGGAGAGTGAGCAATTACGACTCAGTTGTATTGGCTGTCGAGCACTAGGGAAATGGAAGATAGGAAGCACAATGAGCGAACTAAGTAGCTACATCCTCTACAATACATTGCTACAGGCTCTGCTCGCAATCAATCTCGAAATTTGCTCTATGTAGTCTAACGCCTTCTCACTATATCCTGCTTATCTAGATATTTTTGGTGGTTCCGTTTTCCTTTTCCAGCACCATCCGAATTATCATTGCGTTTACTGGGCATTCGATCCCTAGCTTCAACGCCCACCTCAAAAAATATCCATTGAGGTACATAATCTCCGTTTTGACTCCATTCCTCATATCTTGGAGCATTGAAGTGGTGTGTCCACCAGCTCGCAGACCGATCTCATGTATTATTCTTTTCAATTTGGAAGACGAAAATACGGTCTCCATATCTTCCTTGGTGATCACGTCTGACAGGGGTAAGGCTTTGATGATGTCTGAGATCTCGCAAATGAGCGCGTCAGAGATGTTCTGGACCTGGGAATTGTTCAATGTTATGAGATCGTTGACCGAACACTCCAGAAGCGACGTCAGAGGATTATAGATGGAATTCGTTGCAAGCTTTATAAGCTGTTGCCGAAGTAATCCTTGTGAATCCTGCAGGGATACATTGAGGAGCTTTGACCGGTTCAAGATGGCGGCTAGCTTTGCAGAGTCGGTGGCTAGTTGGAAAGAAATGGCCCCAGGAGCGCTGGGAATCCTAGGAGAAGGACCCAAGGTGATGCTGCCGGTGGCTACATGGACTGCGGATAGGAAGTCTTTTCGGTGGATGCAGTGAGTCACAATGCCAGACATATAACAAGGCCGGTCGGCTGGGTTGGGAAATAATTCAACATCAAGCTCATCCAGAGCCCCGGATCCATTCTGCAAGAACAGGATGGTTGAGTACTTGGTAAGACGATGCTTCACAAGTCGGATCGAATCGATCGTATGATGAGCCTTCACTGCAACAATGAGGAACCGGATAGGGGATTCGTCAGAGGCTCTTTTTGGAGATTCCATGTGCTGAGGCTGAACAGAACCATACGAAAGTCCCCGATGCCAACAGCCATCTCGATACTCTTCGATAGTGAAGTTGGTTTGGTGCTCTGTGACTCCGTTTCTGGTGATTGCGAGCAATCCAGAGTGATGATCTCTGGGTCTATGAAGCAATAGATTCACACGCGGAGAATCGGGGATTCCAGCCAAGGCGTGGGCGACAAGAACGCCCACACCACCCAATCCAAGAATATGAATATCATCGATCATTTGATGTATAGAAAACCAGAGAGGGTTGAAAAGTGGCTTGGAATCATGTATCACTGCGCAGTCTAGACACAGGGGAGTTCTTTATTTCTACCTTTCTTTCTCTCTAAGAATGTAATATCGTTTTTTTGTTACATCGCATGCACGTTGATTGACTGACCGCTCATGCATGAGCAATTAATTGTGGTATGGAGTCTATGCCACTAACCTTTTTTTGACAAATTCATGCTGTTCATTGCCATAAGCTGCATTGTTCGCGCGTTAAGAATGATTTGTCATCGTACAATTATATCGCAAGGGGGCGGGAAGCACCTCAGTGCAACATTAGCTAGGGCTACCCGTAGACACTTCCACGGCTCCAGCTAAGCCACCATCTAATCAAAACTCCGATCTACACAGATGAATGTATGAAACGGGTATAGCGGTGAGGATAGCGTGATCGAGTCATACCGGATTCCAGACATGTATTACACAAATGCATTGACGATCGGACCTTGCATGAACTATCGATCACATTTTGTTTGTAATAGTAAATACCACGTTTAAAAAGATAGGTCACATATTCTACATAGAGCCGTTCACGATTCAAACCGAATATACTTTTCGTCTTTCCTCTAACACGTCGGAACCAGCGCCCATAGCGGAAACCTCAAGGACAGAAGTCAAAAATGACGGCGAAGACAAAGCAAGTGAACCACTCACAACGAGATGTGGGTTATACCCTGACAATGAAAAAGGATATCGGTAAGTTGAATGTTTCTCCCAGTTTATCAATGACATGTCTAAGGGAATAGGCACAGCGACTCAAGAGGTCACTAGCGATCTGGAACAGCTTAGCAATAACGAAGATGGAAAAGCCTTTCAGGAAAGGGAGAAGGGGGAAATATCTCTTCTCAACGATGCCGACATGTTGAAATTGGCAGATTGGAACCGCACAATGCCAACACAAGTAGACTGGTGCGTGCATCACCAGATAACGGAGCAGTGCCAGGCCCAGCCAAATGCCCCTGCTGTGTGTGCCTGGGATGGCAACTTCACGTACGGCGAAATTGATCAATTATCCACCGCCTTAGCTGTCCAGCTGGCAGGTTACGGTGTGGGACCTGAGATGTTCGTGCCGCTGTGCTTTGAGAAGTCCTGCTGGACAGCTGTGGCAATTCTAGGAGTTTTGAAGGCAGGAGCTGCCTTTGCACTGCTAGACTGTAACCAGCCGCAGTCGCGATTGCAAGAGCTATGTGATAGTGTGAATGCCACGCTTGTACTATCTTCTCGGGACAACAAGAGTCGTAGCCAGAAGTTGGCAGATACAGTGATTGTGTTGAGTAGAACGATGGAGTTCCCCGGTGAATCGTACGATTCTAGTGCTATATCCTTCGCCCAGCCACACAACGCTGTCTATGCCAGCTTTACCTCTGGATCCACGGGAAAGCCCAAAGTCGTTGTGGTGGAGCATTCGGCGTATTGCTCTAACGTCCTGGCTCACAGCAAGGAGTTGCACTTTGACAAACATTCTCGTGTCCTACAATCCGCGTCATACGCATTTGGCGCCAGCATTATGCAAATCGTCACGACCTTGATGGTTGGTGGATGTGTCTGTGTGCCGTCAGAGTCAGAATGTCTTGACAATATCGCAGCCGCAGCGCGCAAACTTCAAGTCAACTGGGCTCTTTTCACGCCCTCCGCTCTAAGGACAATCCAGCAAGAGGACCTCTCCTGCTTGAAACATGTTGTTCTTGTGGGGGAACCGCCAGCACGGGAGGACATTGCAGTTTGGGCAGATCACACCCAAGTCATGAAAGGTTACGGTTCTGCCGAGTGCTCTGTGTGCTGTGCTGTAGCTCAAGATATGAAGCTACTCTCGAATCCACAATCGATTGGCAGGATGGCGGGAGGCGTTAGCTGGGTGGTTGATGCGGACAATCACCACAAATTGGTGCCTTTAGGGGTAGTTGGAGAGTTGATTGTGGAGGGTCCAATCCTTGCACGGGGATATCTGAACGATACGAAGAAGACAACCGAAGCCTTTATAGACCCACCGAGTTGGTTTTCAGAGTTTTGTGAGAGGTACAACAAGATATCAAGATGTGGTCGCCGACTTTACAAGACGGGTGACTTGGTCCGGTACGACGCGGATGGCAGCCTGCTATTTATCGGGCGGAAAGACACACAGGTCAAGATCCGCGGCCAAAGGGTGGAGTTAGGCGAGGTCGAGCATCATGTTCGGCAGGGTTTGGCAGGCAATGCCGGTCCGCAAGCTGTGGCTGAGGTGGTGACACCACTTGGCAGCGACGTCCCGATGCTGGTAGCATTCATCGCGATTGGCGAGGAGGCAAACGAGAGTCCAGACCATGTGCGAGCTGCACTCGCCAAATTGACACAGGGGGTGGAGGATTGGTTGATGGAACATGTGCCACGTTACATGGTACCGAGCGTGTATATTGCTGTGGACATGATTCCCATGACAGCGACGGGCAAGACCGACCGCAGACAGTTACGCGAGTTAGGTGGAGCGCTGACACTGGAGCAGCTGGCAGAGTTACAGCCATCCCGTAGCACACTCCGGGTTCCGACGACAGCGCTAGAAGAGCAGCTACACAGACTGTGGACTCGCGTGCTCAAACTCCCTCCCAATAGAATAGGGGTCGACGATAGCTTCCTGCGGATCGGTGGCGACTCCATCACGGCCGTGCAGCTTGTTGCAGCAGCTCGAGAGGACGGTCTTTCGTTGACCGTGGCGGATATCTTCAGTACACCACGCCTCAGCGACATGGCACATATTGTCAAGATAGATAGCTCCGTTGATGAACACATTGCACCATTCTCCCTACTCCAGCCAGGGATCCCGGTGGATCTGGCGCGGACCCAGGTCGCGCTCCAGTGTAAGGTGGACATGGGTCTGGTGGAAGATATCTTTCCATGCACGCCGCTGCAGGAAGGGATGCTCAGCATGAATGCCAAGCGAGCGGGTGCCTACATCAGCCAGAATACGCTTGAGCTTCGGGGCAACGTCGACATCAGGCGCTTGGAACGAGCGTGGCAGGAGGTAGTGGCAATGACACCAATCCTGCGAACGCGAGTTGTGGATCTGGTGGGGCAAGGGTTGGTCCAGGTTGTGGTTGCAGGGCAGGCCCCATTCGTCACAGGCCAAAACCTTCGGGCGTATTTACAAGCAGACAAAAATGAGACTATGGGCCTGGGGAAGCCCCTTGCGAGGTTTGCTATCATGGACGGCCCTGGGGCCCTGCGGCCGACATTCGTGTGGACAGCACACCATGCACTGTTCGATGGTTGGTCGATGCCAATAATCTTCAAACAACTGGAACAAGCCTACCACGGCCATACGCTAGATCGGCTAGTTCCGTTCCAGGGATTCATCAAACATATCTTGCAGAGTGGTGATGACACCATGGCCACAGAGGAGTACTGGCAGAGCCAGCTTGGCGGATGCGAGCCGATGGCATTCCCTAGTCTACCGTTGCCAGACTACGAGCCACGAGCGGACGAGGGGGTACAACACTATATATCACAGTTACAGTGGCCGAGGAGTGATATTACTGCATCAACGGCTATCCGTGCAGCGTGGGCAATTCTCCTGGCTCAATACACGAATTCCCCTGATGTGATCTTTGGGGCCACGGTAACCGGACGGCATCAAACAGTTCCTGGAATAGAGCGAATCGCAGCTCCCACAATTGCGACAGTTCCACTGCGAATTAGATGGAGCTGGGAGGATGGTCTTCAAGATCTGCTACAGCAAGTGCAGACACAGGCTAGTTCCATGACTGCATACGAGCAGATGGGGCTCCAGCGGATTCGGCGGATCAGCCCCAGTACCGAACAGGCCTGCCAATTCCAAACACTGTTGGTAGTTCAGCCTGCAGCGCGAGAAAGTGAGACCCCACCTCCGGATATGTTATTTGAAGTACCCAGCCAGGAGAATGACGAGGATGATGAAAGTGCTCGGAAGCTGAGCACATCCAACACGTACGCGTGTATGGTGGAGTGCCATCTCGGAGAGGATAGCCTTCAACTACGGGTGAACTTTGATTCCCGAGTTATCGAGAAGGTGCAGGTACAGCGAATCGCATGGCATTTGGAGCACTTGCTACGTGAAATTTGCGTGGGCCGGGCCATGCCAATTGCGGTCGGCGACCTGGTGGGGCCGAGCGCCAAGGATCACCACCAACTTCAGGAATGGAATGGAAAGATGCCGGCGCAGGTGAACCGTTGTGTCCATGCGCTAGTCGCCGAGCGGTGCCAGGCCCAGCCTGCCGCCCCGGCCGTGTGCGCGTGGGACGGTGACCTGACATACGGCGAGCTAGACGTGCTGTCGTCGGCGCTGGCCGCGCATCTAGCCGAGCGCGGCGTAGGGCCCGAGGTTTTTGTGCCGGTCTGCTTCGAAAAGTCGCGGTGGACGATAGTAGCAATGCTAGGGGTGATGAAAGCAGGGGGTGCATTTGTGCTACTCGACCCGTCGCATCCTCGGGCACGGCGGCAGGTAATCTGTCGCGCCGTGTCGGCCGAGCTGGTTGTGGCATCCGCATCGCAGGCTGCAGCTGCAGCCGAGTTAATAGCGCAGGTGGTCGTGGTAGGTGATAATGTGACGACATGGCAGACTAGCGGTGGCTGGAAAAGGTCATCAGTGACGCCTGACAATTCACTTTACACCATATTCACCTCCGGTTCGACCGGTACGCCTAAAGGAGTGGTCGTTCCACACGCGGCATTTGCCAGCGGCGGATTCGCGCATGGTCGTACCGATCACCTCACAGCCCAATCCCGAGTCTTCCAATTTTCGTCCTATGCATTTGATGTTAGCATCATTGACATCCTTACCGCGTTGATAGTTGGCAGCTGTATTTGTGTCCCTTCGGAAGCTTCCCGACGCGATGATATTACCAAGGCAGCTAGTCAGCTACGCGTCACATGGGCGCAACTAACTCCATCGACCGCTAAGTTGCTGCGAAGAGAAGATATTCCAACATTACAGACCTTAGTCCTAGCTGGCGAGGCGGTGACATTGAGGGACATCGAGCCTTGGATTGGACACGTCAAATTGGTGAACGGATATGGCCCAGCGGAGTGCTCTGGACTATCTAGTATACATCCAGGACTGGGAAGATCTGATGCAAACAACATTGGATGGGCACCCAGCTCCGTGTTTTGGATAGTCAACAGAGATAATCACGAGCAACTTGTGCCGATCGGGGCGGTGGGCGAGCTGTTGATTGAGGGCCCAATCGTCGGGCGCGGCTACCTCAATAACCCAGTCAAAACTGCAGAGGCATTTATCAATCTGCCAGCCTGGCTGCAAGAATTTCGCCGTAAGAGCAATCCTCAAGCTGCCGCTGATTATCCGACTATCAACCGGCTGTATAAGACGGGTGACCTGGTTCGGTACGCCGCAGACGGATCGATGCGATATCTCGGGCGTAAGGACACGCAGGTCAAGCTAAGGGGACAGCGCATCGAGGTGGGCGAGGTCGAGTACCATACACGAGAGTGTTTCCCAGGCGCGCGTGATGTGGTAGTTGAGGTGGTGACGCCAGCGGAGGCCAAACGGCCGCCTATGCTTGTAGCATTTGTGTGGACTGACGATATCAACGGTGCCAAGAGTAGTGATACTAAGAGAGATGACAATGAGAGAGCTGAACACAAAGCGGATGAGCTTCTGGCCAGCCCCACTGACGCCTTCCGCGCAATTATCCCTAGAGTCGAGGCCGGCCTTCATGACGCTGTGCCGTCCTACATGGTCCCAGCTGTGTTCCTCCCCCTGGTAGCCATTCCTCTCACTGCCACCGGCAAGACCGACCGCCGCAGGCTCCGCGAGCGCGCGGCCACTCTTACCCGGGCCGAGATGGAGGCGTACAGCAGCCCTGCGATGGCGAAGCGTGCACCCGCCACAGCTGCGGAGCGGACACTCCAGCAGCTGTGGGCACGGGTCCTGCACCTCGCCCCTGACTCAATTGGCGCAGACGACAGCTTCTTCCGTGTAGGTGGTGACTCAATTTCTGCAATGTACCTCGTCGGTTTGGCAAGGGGTCAAGGATTCGAACTATCTGTTTCGCAGGTTTTTGCACTCCGACAGCTAAGCGTCCTGGCCAAAGCACTTATCAAAAGCCAAATCGTCGACACGAGCAAGAGTATCGACCCGTTCTCGCTCCTGGATCCTCAACAAAAGTCTGTCATTTTACACTCACGGCCGAGTGGTCTATCCCTTACCAACGACGCAGTACTTGATATTATTCCAGTGACAGATTCACAAGTCTTCTTTTTGACCCAATGGTCTCTGAGCTGCTTTTCCTATTCAATTCAAGGCATGGTTGACGCCGATAGGCTACGCCTGGCTTGTCATTCCCTTGTGCAGGCTCATGCTATCATGCGTACGGTTTTTATTAAGCACCAGGGCAAGTTACTTCAGGTTGTTTTGAAGTCTATCAATCTTCCATTCGATCACATTCATACCGAAAAGCCTCTCGAGCCCATTTGGAGATCTCTCTGTGAGATCGATTCTAAGGAGGAATCTGTCTCGGGCAAGCCGCTTGTTAAGTTCACCCTCATCTCACGGTCACAAACAGAACATATTTTCACTGTCCGCCTCTCGCATGCCCAGTATGATGGTGCTTCTAAACCAATGATCCTCACTGATCTCGTGGCTGCTTACAATGAAGACATTCAATCTGGCCCGGTTTGCGCGACATTCCCTGACTATGTGTACTACTGTGCCAGCAACGGCTCCGACACTGCATTCGAATTTTGGAAAGATTGTCTGCAAGGCTCAGCGATGACAATGCTTCCATGTTTAGATCTGCGGGGAGAAACTCTGACGGATATCCACGAGACCGCCTTTGGAGACCTACCCAGCGCGTTCGAAGATATCACAATCCCAATCTTGGTCAACGCAGCTTTCTCCTTTATCCTTTCAAACCTGACCCAGAAGGATGATGTTGTGTTTGGGGTGGTGATGAATACGCGTACTATTCCATTGCCCCAGGTGCAGACAATCCTCGGGCCCTGTATCAATCTCAATCCACTACGAGCCCCCATCGCGCAAGTTTCCACCGTCTACGACCTATGCAGGCTATTACGTGATCAATACACACAATCTGTGCAATTCTCTCACCTCGATTTCTCCGACATACGTGCCAAAAGTACGGACTGGCCTTTAGATACCAAATTGGGATGCATAGTCAACCACTTGGGCGGGGCTGAGAATAGCCCCTTGACTTTAGGAGCCAGAGCCAACATTTCCGATTCCTTGGTCATGAGTCGGATCAATTTGGAGGATCAGCTTTTGATCCGGTCCATTCCCGGTGACGGAAAACTGCAGGTTCAAGTTCTCACATCCAATAAAATCATGGTGTCAGAACAAGCTGGGTTGCTGGCGAAAAGACTGATCGAGACGGTAAATGTGTTCGCGAGGTCTCCAGAAGCATTGCTCTCTTCTATGTGTTCTTAAGGGCTGGTGTGTAATTATTTTTTGTAGCAGGTGTGAGGGAAATATATAGCTTACAATAAGTTTACATCTTCTCAACCAAGTCTCGCGTCTCATCAATATCAGAATACTTGCCTGATGGGCCTCCTCTTTGCTGACAGAATATATGTTTTTCCCAAGTGGATTCAAACAACTATGTGAAAGACGAGAGAAGCAACATCCCATCCAAAAACGATCCCGCTGTTTCTGGTGGGAGACGGGATTTTCAGCTGACTATCAAAGACAAAGGGGAGGTGGATAATGATTCTGAGGTCAGAAGCTTTATAGAACAAGAGACTCATGAGGGAAATCAATGCAAATAAGACCTTATGGAATTCCAGAATTTTATAAATCACCGCGCGAAAGGAGATGATATCACCATGTAAAATCAACGAGATACATCCAAGGGTCTTTTAAGTCAAGTTCTATAAGCTTGCAGTGATTTTCTGTTGGTTTTGTACAAGATGACGATAATCACATTCCAATATTCCGATGCCATGACTTGCTTTGACTCCTACCTACCCTCAAATCTCACGTTTCCCGCACAGAATTTCCTAGGATTGACAAGGAATTCAGTTGTGCGCAGGTATCTCCGTCAGATTGTGCTCTTCCGTACCCGTACGGACCGCTCTTTCTGGAATATCAGATTTATCTCCCTGAGGGTTTTGTCGCGCGTTGAATGCCTTAAAGGCCAGGATCCCAAAGTAGCCGACGTAGACAATGCCAGTCACCACTCCGTAGCCGATAAGTGCACCACGAGAATCCCCAGAGCCACTCCGGCTAAGGTTGAGCCCAATACCACCATTGACAACACCAAGACCAAGCATGATGCGACCCTGCCAGCGGTGTGCGTAAGCCCACTTTGTCTTCTGCTGTGTTTTGCGGAACAACATGTGTTGACGGATTCCGAGGATGGGCTGAACAATCACAAGAAGTATAACGACAAGAGCACCGATGGCCTGATGATGCTTTCCCTTGATGGTAACCTGTGAGTTGAGGTATACGCCAAGGCCAAAACTAACGATTACGAGAATTGCGGTTATGGCTTGCAGAGAAGCATGGATTTTGATGACTGGCTTGGACCCTGGGAGTAAATGAATCAGACTGGCGAAGGCCGGGAAGAGCACAACAAACCCAATCGCCATCATCGAACCATGGATAGTTCTGATTTTCATCAATCTGTCGTACCTCGCCATCAAAGCAGCAATCTCTTCCGGGGATGGGGTCTGAGCAGGCACAGTAGATGTTTCTGTCGACTCAGTTGACCGCACCACTCGTCGCAGACCATCATGTCCAGTCGTAGCAACATTGCTTGAATCATGGCCTTCTAGTACTCGCATTGGACCATACTGAACGGTGCCTTCTTTTTCGTAGGCCCAGGTGAAACTTTCCAGTCTATTCAGGATAGAGTAGTCATCGCAGCGGATTGTCGCCTGCACCGCTCCATCATGGACAGAGGGTTTTCCCGAGATCATTTGACAATTGGGGAGGTCGGACCCAGCCTTTTTAGAATATTTTTCCTTCAACGATACAAATATTGTGTTTGAGGCCGCCACATCGCTGGAGTTCGGGCTGTCTTGGCCCTGGGAAAGTGAAACCCATCCAACATCTTTTGAGGCAGTGATCTGGATGTAAGTCGCATCGGTTTCCGAGATGTGGTAGGCAATATCATCGCGCCCAGGGACAACGAAGGTCAACGGTTGACTGAGGGTTGATTTTATCACTAATACCGGTTAGCCTCCTATGCTTTAGATGGATTGTATAGGCGAATATGTATTGTAGATAAGGAATTGGAGATTGAGGTGATACTCACAGACTTCAAGTAGGAGGATGCATGACACTTTTAACACCATCTTGTAAGTTGAAGACTATGTTGTAAGACCAAGGTTGGAACTGTGATTTCTGTGCTAAACATATGAGAAGGGGATGGGCACCGATCTTATATCTCTTGCAATGCATTGACTGAATTTTCCGATCTTAGGACTATTGTGATAGAGATAGTAGAACGCGGAAGACAAAAACGTCGCGTTTTCCTAATTAGGCTTATAGTTCAAAATGGGTATCCAATAATCGGCGATGTTATACAATCTCTAGACCCTGAATTCATGTGGCAGAAGTTGACGAGGCTCGGATCTTACCCTATCCGCTCTATAGACCGTTATGTAGATACCTTCCACGAGGCTATGCATAATGTGAATTGGGAATGCGAAAACGAATGCTAGTGCGAAAGCGAAAGCTCGGACGAAAGCGAATGCGAGAGCTTGAAGACCGTGGGAAGCCTAATCGAGTGTTAGTATAGTAGTCCCACTATCCGCGTCGATCTCGCCCTTATTCCCGATTAGTCCATTGGTACTCTTGGCACTTTCCGTTGCCCTATCCCAACATCCAGGTAGGCATATTTTGCTGGCTGCTGCGCCTCATCGCAGCTTTTAAATGCCCGAAAAATCTCCGCTCAAGATTAACATGTGTGTCAACGTTTATGTACGGATGAAGCTTTATTTGAATCAATTTCGTACACAGATAAAAAGCAAATTTTTTCCCCATCACATTTCAGATGCAGAACATATCTATGCTGCTGGCTCGAAGGGGACAAGTGCTTGGTAGGGGTTCGGATGATTTCTGGGGATTTAAGCACATTGTTTCGTACTTCATATACCATCCTGCATTCGTTGACATGGATGGGATGGCTCACCCACTGCTGCCAAGTCCTAGGCAGTCCCGAATTCATTCGCCCACCTCCCATGTGAAGTTGAAGTATTTCGAGGCCTCTTATATACTGACAGATGTTCATACTGGGATATTACATAGATGATCGGTACTCCTAGTCCTTTAAGAGAGAGCATAGTATGAGAATTGCTCTTTCATGTGTTCATCGCAGGTACCGGTGATGGCCACTGCTCAAAATCCGGTCAATTTATACAAGAACATTAGTTTGGATATATTTTGTTTCTCGCGATACAAGTCAATACCTTTCTTGAGATATTTTAAGATACGGAGTACACATATACAACACATGTGATACTTGGCTGCTAAAATCTAACGGGGATTCAGTGTAAGAACAACTTACCCGGTTAGTAGCAGCGCTAATATCCCCACAAAACATTCAACCCGGGAATTGTTTAATTAAAGGTTGGCTGATTGAGTACGGAGTACGGAGTACTTATGAGGCACTTTCAAAACTCGTTCCCCACGCTCAAGCTAATGTGGGGATTCCCTTAGCTCGCCAGTATGCCATTAGACAAATATTGATCAATATAATGGATACAGAGTGCTGCTTACACGCCTGAGATATCAAGCACTCCCAGCCTCTTACCGTATTTAATAAGAGGAAGGTCGATGTGCCGTGAGTACAGTATAGGCCGTGTTTCCAGGACTCCTCGACAAAACGATCTTGCCCCTATTGCCACCGTCTTAAGTGGTAAGCTGAGTGGGTGAAACCCGAGCTGTGATGGTGCGCCCAACACTTCCAAGTTTTCTTCTCGACGAGTGATATTTTATCCTCATCGCGAAATGTGAACCACGTGGCCGCCAAGTCCTCCAATCGCCGAGTTTCTCGGTGTCGGCCTTCCAGCACGTTTTGAAATTTGGAAGCCTCGTTTTTGAAGGACCGGAATAGGTAACAAGATTGACAAGATTGACCCCTGGTGCAAAATAATAGATGTGATGTCATGGATATAAAATCTGAATACGCGTATAGCTCGTCCACGGGTCTCCACTTCGCCCCCTGCCCTAACACGCCAATAGCGGCCAGCCCCACAATATCCTATTCTGAACAGTACTACATACTACCTAGTAGTACTCCGTACCTAGTACATACTCCGTAGTGGCAGTATTACCCCGTGAATATCTTAAAGATCCTTACCATTACAGCATACATGTTGTACTTTGTCGGTAATATCTACACAAGAACAAGCGCAAACACCCCTAAATATACCATAGTAGGTGGCCTATGTAGTACCATAGCACACATGTCTACTCTAAATAGGTATGCAATGGTAAAACGCAGCACCTTGTCTATGTCAATAGAAAAGGTGTTTTAGTGGTGCTGCCTGCGTTGTTCAAGCCCCCCTTGCCCCTTGGCTGACCTGTGTCTCCAGCCACTCTTTCTATTCATAGCCCGCTACGGAGTACAAAGCTTGGCAATATTGGCGCTTCCACTACAAGTCATGACATCAAATTATCAGATTTAGTAGTGGAGAGAGTTTCTTCTGGGTTTTGAGTGAAAACGGCGGCTACATTAAGGTTGGCAGAGGGAATCCGATGGATACGCGGAAAGCATTATTAGATACGGATACGCAGGTACCGATCTACTGCGGACCACCAAACAGCGTTTATCTGACGCGAGTACTACTCCATATTGATCAACATCTTAACTCTATTATGGGAACCCCCCTTTTGTCGACTACCAAGGCTCCAGCGGTCCCTGATTACTAAAATCATCGATATATAAACCACTTCACCTGCCCTAACAGAGAACTTCTACTGAACAAGATCAAGATCAAGATGGTTCAACTCTCAACTACACTCTGTGCGCTTGGTGCTGTAGCTACCCAAGCCGCAGCAGTCTCCAGATGCTCCCCTTCCAACCTCCCCAAACCCACCCTACTTGGAGCTTCTATCCTCGACGTTCAAGCCGAACCAGTTCACAACTATTCAGCTGTTAGTCTTGGCCCGGGATCAAATGAGGGAAAGAAGTACACCATCAACTTCTGCAACGTCACAGTCACATACACTCATCCTGGTTGGAATGACACGATCAACACCCAGGTCTGGCTACCCCTCGAGGGCTGGAATGGCAAATTCCAAGCTTTGGGTGGTGGAGGCTACAGTGCTGGCTTTGGCGCTACCTACCTCACATACGCCGTCGCCCAAGGCTTCGCATCTGCCTCTACCGACGGAGGGCATGACGTGGGAACCGACGCTGTTCCAACTGATCTCACCTGGTCCCTGAAAAGCAAAAATAATCTCGACTGGTATCTTTTCGAGGACTATGCCTACAAGGCTACAAATGATATGGGAGTGATTGGAAAGCAGATAACCAAGTCATACTACAAGAAGTCTGCCAAATACTCCTATTTCGCTGGATGCTCTGGTGGTGGTCGACAAGGTCTCGTGATGGCGCAGGAATACCCGGATGTCTTCGACGGCATTTTGGCTGTCGCTCCCGCCATCAACTTGGAAGCCTTCATTCCCGCAGGCTACTGGGCCGCACATGTGATGAACAAGCACTATACCTACCCATCTCCTTGTGAAATTCAGGCTTTCACCAAAGCAGCAGTCAAAGTCTGTGATCGGTTGGATGGAGTGGAAGATGGCATTATCAGCTTGCCAAACCAATGCAACGTCAAGGCCCACGACTTCGTCGGACAAAAGTACACATGCGACGGAGTGGAGCGTACTCTGAGTGCCTCGAGTGCGAAGGTTATTCAAGCTGCCTGGTCTGGCTCTGGAAAGGCTGGTTGGCCTGGTGTGAACAAGGATGCGGCAATCGAGACCTACTACCTCCCAACAACTTGCACCGGCAATGGTACATGCACCGCTGGCGATAGTTCTTTGCTTGGGAGCTGGTTCAGATACGCCGTTGCCAAGGATCCTAGCTTCCCACTTCAAAACATCACTGATACTACCTTCTTCGCTATGCTGCGTGATTCAATCCGCCAGTATGAAGGCATGGTTGCAACCAACAACCCTGATTTATCCAAGTTCAAGGCCCATGGTGGTAAGATGATTACGTGGCATGGACTTGCCGACGAAGCAATCCCGCCAAATGGAACCGTCAGCTACTACGAGGAAGTGCTTAACCTTGACCCTAAAGCTCATGACTTCTACCGCTTCTTCGAGGCGCCTGGAGTTGGCCATTGTTATGGTGGACTTGGCCCAATTCCCAACGGAGCTATGTCGCAGTTGATGGAATGGGTTGAAAACGACCATGCTCCTGTCACTCTCCACGCTACTAAGGGAAGCAACGACACCGCTCGTGATTTGTGCCCGTATCCACTCCGCCAAAAATTCGTGGGGGGTGATCCCAGGAACGCCACATCTTTCACCTGCGCTAAATAGATCATCATCTTACCGAAAGGTTCATCGGGAAATTTCCACAATTGCGAGGCGACTTTCGACTTCATTGAAGTGTGGACCTTCTTATAGCGGGACCTAGCCATTAGCACCTTCTTTTCTTTTTCTTTTCTGTTTTGTCCTTCTCTTGTATCTTATCTTTACTTTTTTTTCATTATCCGCCGTCTTCTTACATGCAATGTGTGCAGGATATAAACATTCCTTGGTGGATGTTTGTTGAGGCAGCGTTTCTACTCAGTACCTTGGGCAGAGAACCCTCACTGATCACCTCGACTGGTCTTCCCTCCTTTATTTCTGTCTTCTAGTCAAAAGCTCAATTTAACATACAATTTATCTCCCAGCTTGCCATCTATACTCCGTATAATGATCGATATAAGTCTGTTATAGAAACAATGTGTGGAGTAAAATTGAAACCCGACCGATGTATGATATGAACATAAGCTACAGACCATTCCTCTATATGAATGCGACATTGGTACCCAAGTGATAGGATATATACATAGGCTGTCCTCTGATTAAACAAACGCGTGCATGGCTCGAAAAAAGAACAAAGTTTGCGGCCCCTCAACCATAATTCCTTCCGAAGACGANAATAAAAAAAAAAAAAAAAAAAAAAGGCCAGATGAATCCACCGACGAGCTATCCGCGTACTCGTATAACGATCCTATTGCCGCTCCAACGACCGTGCATACGAAGAGAATACTCTCTGCTGATTGGTTTGATTGGCCCGTACTTTAGGTACACAAACTCAAATTTACATTCCATGGAACACTGATCCACCCAACCCACGGATCCATACAGGAAACATGGGGATTCACAAGGCGGGAATAGCTACTCCGTATACATAGTACCGATTAATACGGTATTCTCAACTTTTTGCAAAAGTTACAGTATTATTATAAATATATAATACTTTAAAATCTAGCAGTTGGTATTCGTATAAGATCGTATTGCGGATCCAAGGCTCCAACATGGGGAGGCAGACGCATTCTCAGTTTACACAGTTTTTACCATCTCTACTAGTGTAGAACATAGAACAATATTATGCTTTATCAGCTCACTCTAAATGGCTATCAGATCATTGGGTGTTGCGCCTCCTGATATCCTAACTTTACTGCTACTTTTCTCTTGTAGAACACTGCGCACGCTTCCAACTAAAGAAGGTGAGTGAAGCTGATATCGGCATATTCTGCCAACTTGTTCAAACAAACTAAGCTTGGGAATTATGGTGCGACTTTCAATACTGGCTCTTGCTAATCTCTCATTTTGCTTTACAGACATCCGATTCCTCAGATGAGCCAGTATTACGTACGGCATTTGCAATCTTCCTCCTCCATTGACCAACCAAGCAGCGTACGGGTTCACGAAACGCAGTCAACGATATGAGTCAACTCCGTCTGCGTGTCGAGGGACAATCATTTCGAGATCCCCTGAATCGAGAAGTGATCTTGCGGGGAATCAATGTCGCAGGCGACGCCAAATATCCTAAAACCCCGGATCTCAGATCGCATAACGTCCAGGAGTTCTTCGAAGAGGATGTATCGTTTGTGGGAAGGCCGTTCTCCCTAGAAGATGCCGACATTCATTTCCAACGCCTCCGAGACTGGGGGTACAACGCCATTAGATATATCTTCACTTGGGAGGCAATCGAACACGCCGGTCCTGGGATCTACGATGAACATTGGATCGATTTCACAATTGGAATTCTTCGTATCGCCAAGCAATACAATTTCTACATTTTCATGGATCCGCATCAGGATGTAGTAAGTCTGATCTTCAGTGAATTTGTCGTCTGTGGGGTCTAAGCTTACTATTCGAAGTGGTCTCGATTATCCGGGGGATCCGGAGCACCTACATGGACGCTTTATGCCGCAGGACTAAACCCCAGGAGTTTCAAAAATACACAGGCAGCCCTCGTTCACAACACGTGGGACAATCCCGCAGAGTTCCCAAAGATGCTTTGGTGTACGAACTACACTAGGTTGGCTTGCCAGACGATGTTTACTCTATTTTGGGCAGGTCGAGATTTCGCCCCGAAGGCGATCATTGATGGTGTGAATATTCAAGATTATTTACAAAGCCACTTTATTGCAGCATGCGAATATCTTGCGCATAGGATCCAGAACGCTGGTGATCTTGAAGGGGAGGTGGTAATTGGGTGGGAAAGTATAAACGAACCGCATAAAGGGCTGATCGGAACTCGAGATATCTCTTCAATCCCATCAGAGCAGCACCTCCAGGTTGGGACATCTCCAACTGCGTTTCAGGCTATGCTACTCGGCTCCGGGCGGTCATGCGAGGTAAAAACCTGGTCCTTTGGAAAATTTGGCCCATACCAGACAGGCACCGAGATTATAGATCCAAAAGGGGAACAGGCATGGCTATCCGCTGAATACGATGACTGTCAATATGGGTGGCACCGAGATCCGGGCTGGAAGCTTGGTGAATGTCTCTGGGCGCAACATGGAGTATGGGATTCATCTAAAAGCAAGCCCACCCTGCTAAAAAAGGACTACTTTTCAAGAAACCCACAGACTGGAGAGATTCTTGACTACGAACGCTTTACAAACTCATACTTTATGAACCACTACCGAGCGTACAAGGATGCCATTCGCAACGTGTGTGGGAGTACTATCATGTTTTGCCAGCCACCTGTCATGGAGTTACCACCAACTCTCAAGGGAACCCCCGATGATGATCCGAACATGGTACACGCCGCACACTTTTATGACGGCCTCACTCTTTTAACGAAGCACTGGTTAGTACCAAAGTAATACCTGGTATTCCCCGATATTAACCATAATAGGAATCGGCTCTACAACTTGGATGTTATCGGGTTACTTCGGGGCAAGTATCTTGCGCCAGCCTTCGCAATCAAAATCGGCGAGAAATCAATTCGGAATAGTCTACGTCGTCAACTCAGGTTTCTACGTGATGAAAGTCTGGAACATATGGGCAACCATCCCTTACTCTTTACTGAGATTGGAATTCCCTATGACATGGATGATAAACATGCATATAAGACTGGAGACTACCGGAGCCAGATCCGAGCAATGGATGCCAACCATTTTGCGTTAGAAGGTAGCAAGGCCAACGGGTTTGCCTTGTGGGTTTATACTGCAGAGGTATGTATATGGGTCCTACTATTCATATAGACAGCCTTGACTAACTCTGGGTAGAATGACCATGAATGGGGCGATCAGTGGAACGGGGAGGACCTTTCCATATACTCACAAAATGACGTGAAACTACCTGTTCCAGCATCATCTGGTTCAACCAGGTCTGATTCCACAGGGTGCTCTAAAGATCATCTTATCAATGTTGAAGAGGAGAAATCTGGCTCGCTGAATGCTTTGACACCACCCTCCACCTCGCATGTTTTCCCCCATGCCATCCTGCAGCCACAAAAGAGCCACAGGGCAGTGGAAGCATGTCTTCGCCCCACTCCCATTTACACGAATGGGCATTTAGAAAGTCATACTTTTGATTTGAAGAAGTGTACGTTCACCATGAGATTGAGAGCAAATCTGGCCGCGCCTCACACCCCGAGTGAAATATACCTCCCAGAATATCATTTTCCAATGGGAGATACCGAGGTTACGGTGAGTGGAGGTACATGGGAAATCTGCATTCTGGAATTCCATACGGTCAAGCTGCAATATCTGCGATGGTGGCATGGCCAAGGGACAGTGGAGATTAAGATCCGAAAGATGAAACGCAAACCCAACTCACAGGAATATGCCGCTTTGCAAAAGCTCCAAAGCAGTCGATGCATGATGATGTGAGATCAAGCTCTGCGCTATGTACAGTATTCCAAGCTTTCTTTTCTTGCTTTATGTTGTTTTCTAGTGACTATTCAATTGGGCTTCCCCTCTGTTTTGACCCCTGGAAAGTGGACTACATAGATGAGTGACTTACTTATATACTCCATGCTATAGGATCTAGGGATGATATCAGTACATAACTCGGTCAAAAGATGGGCTTGAATTACATTGATGAACCGTCATATGGTTGGATATGAAATAACAAGCTGGCATCCATTGTTATTGAGTAGAAAATAGCGATTTTCAAGAAAGGGGCTCGAATACCCCATTTGCCAGTTTTACAACAGGGTTTCTTGAATAGTACGAAGGTACTCAACGCAACTAGCTATGCATGTTACGCCGTCCTTTTCCCGGTGTTCTACCGAAGTTTCCAATGTAAGATTGATACAGGTAACGATACGTCAAGGTAACATTGGAGCCTTTGCAAATTACTGAAAAGTACAAACCCGTTTTGCTCCACCGTATCCACTTTGATGATCCAAGGATTGCAGCCCTACTTAGAATAACCTTTAGAGACCTGGTCCTTTTTGAGCCACATAAGACCCTCCAGGGCTGTTCCCACAAGTCCCAAAATAATTTCAACTTACTCATCTTATTCTAAAACATTGGAAGTCTTATCAGATTCCTACCAAACATCATCACTTTCAAACCCATCCTCCACAAATTGGGCGACGCCTTCGAAATATCCGACCACCAGATTATGGCGATTGACCACACCATCCCCGAAGGGCAATCAGCTCAGCCAGAAACCGAACATCTCCTCGCCGCAAATACCACAATGCCACTCTTCCGCACAACGGGACGGACGATACGCTCAGCCTCGGTCAGCACAGTTACGAGACTTCTCGATTACAATCCCTCCGGTGGAATGTGGCAAGCGACCGGGACAGCTATCGCACACGCTCCAAATGTGAAGGATCTCAGATCGCCTGACGATGTTTTCTTCGATGTGCACGGTCGAGGTGTAAGACGTGTCAGCACGCAAGATACAGTTGGCGGTGCGATGATTCGGAGAGCGACAGCGCCTGCGATAGAACTTGGAGTATTGCAGGATGAGAAGGATATAGCTGCACCTGTTGAAAGCCATTCTGGATCTCAACTCGATCACAATCAAAGCTATCAAGACCACATTGCTCCAAAGGTGTCCTGGGGTACCGCTATCAAGAAAGGTGGTATTGCAGCATGGAGATTCATTATTACACCTACAGGCTTTTTTATCATGATTTATGGTCTCAATGTCATCGCTTGGGGTGCCATGTTATTTTTCCTCATGCTGGGCGTCGGCTCAATGAGCAAAGAACGCAAAGAAATATGGATTGAGATTGATTCCCAAATTCTCAATGGGTTGTTCTGTCTTACTTCTTGGGGACTGGCGCCGTGGCGTATTCGCGACACATATTGGCTGCTGATGTGGCATTTCGGTTCGGCCAACATATCCAAGAAATCGATAATGCATCTGGCAAAGCGAAATTCGAGCTGGTATAGAATGCGGGATTTTGAGGATCCAACCTGCGATGAAATGCTTCGTGAGACACTGACGGGCAAGGTTGCTCCACCTACCAAGTCATGGAAAATGGACTTTGTCGTGATAAACATGTTGTTAAATAGCTTGTTCCAAGTTGGAATGGCGACATTCATGTGGGTGTACAACCGCCATAATCGCCCAGCCTTCGGAGTTGGCCTTTTCATTGGTCTAGGATGTTTCAGTTCACTTTTGGCGGGACTAACATCATGGTGGGAGGGGCGAAAGGTCAAGAGGATCGAGGGTGCTTTCTTTGAAGCGATACCAGAGAATGAGAAGGAGGAGCCCATAGATAGATCAGCCTAATTTAGACAATTGCAGTAGCCGAGAAGACTCAGCATATATAAATCTATACGGGAGTGGTGTACTATACGTAGCAGTTAAAGCCGTTTTCGATCTGAAGATCTCATCGGTTTGCGGAAATCAACTTAGTATATTGACATTGGTGATAGATGTAGTTAAAAACACTTCCTAGTTTAAGAGTGCCAAACCAGAAGCAAGTATTATGTATGCAACTTTTTTCATCGCATCGGTTGAAACTAATATGTTCTAAATCTCAATTCTTGAACCCAATCAAGGGATTTATATGTAATTTCTATCATCGATCAAAGTATAACTTCTCTCTGACATTCAAAGTTCGGAATCTTCCTGCAAGTATGACCAATCTACATGTAATCACTGTCATCATCGAACTCAGCCTTGGTCATCGTCACGAATTTTTCGATGACCTTCTGATCGTCAAACCCTCTGACTCTCTCTTGTCGAACCATATCTTCTCCCTCTAGGTGAAGAGCCGCCAAAATGAGGTTCCGTGTGCCCTTATGAAACGCAGAATAAATGGATTGTTTAATACCCTGGCTGGGATACGCAACAAGACCAATGCCGCCTGTAAAGGAGTTAGCGAAATGAAATAACGAAAGAATATCAGAGGGGATTAAAAACGAAAAGTATGTTCTTACCATGTGCCATCTTGCCCAACACCCCGAAAGTGCCTTTAAACAAGCCACCCGCAAAGCCTGCGGCACCTCCATCTCTAGCACCTTTATATGGCTGATAGATCATATCAGTCATAGCTCCTCCCATGCCATGAGCAAAGCTTTTAGCACCTGCAACTGCGCCAGACTTCCAGTCTTTTACTTTTCCATATTGGGGAACTTTGTCTCCGTACAGACCAGGAAGCACGCGGAAGCCTTCAGCCGCGGCCAAAGGTATATCGACCATAACTCCAGAAGCAATCTTTCCTAGGAACTTCCCGGAAGCATGAGTCGATGCTGAAGCCATTGCGGCACCTCTCCCTTTTTTCTTAGGCCGAACGTCCTTGCAGCCTGACAAATCATTCATCGATTGGGCTTTGCGCAGTGACGATCCACTGCCGCCTGGTGACAGCAGTTGGGCAGAAGCATTTTCGGAGCCTGTTGGTGATTGAAGAGGTACGGGGCGACCATCTTGGTATACCTTATAGGGCTTATAAAAGATATCACCTCCTGCTTTGAGCATATCAAATGTGAATCCCATTCCAGCAGAGGAGATACCAGTCACCGGGTCCCATCGTGTATTCTCAATGACAATGGGGTTTGGTTGGTATCTTGCATTCAAAAGAGGTTAGTCAACCGTTCGCCGAATTCCGATGTTGGAAAAAATGGTGGGTGCGTTTGAAGTGGGAAGATTCGGACTCACGGTTTCAGCTTCTTGACCTCTACCAGATTTTTTTCAACAAGAATCTCCGCAGCAAGTTTCGACAAGCAAAACCTCTTCTTGCCGAGGCGGCATCTCCAAACGGCAGGGGATCCCGGTAGCAGATCACATTCGACTAGACCTTTCGGTAAATTCCGATGGAATGATGCTACGGCCGTTTTCACTCCATCCTCTCGCTTCATTTTCACGGCAATTTCTTGTGCGGAGCGCACTGCTTCTGGTGTCAAACAAAACCGCACTCCATGGGCCAGTGATTCGATCTTCAGGTCTTTGTATGGTATTGGATTTGGTCCTGCACCGGCGGCAGAAACCATATCTCCCCAAAATGGTTGACTGTAAATAGGTTAGAGGACATTCAAAACGGCTATAGAGTAATTTAAGCGAAAGTCAAAGAGCAGACTGTCACTTACTCTCCAAAGAATGGCACAATGATAGTGGGCTTGCCATTGCGTAGCCCGCATGCCGTTGTACCGGCACCTCCATGATGAACAACCGCACTGACCCGTTCAAATAACCATTCGTGCGGGCAATCGCCTATAAATAGAACATCACTCCTGTTTAGTTCTCCCGATTCCGCCCCTCCTAGCTTACTCCAACCGCGCGAAATGATTGCGCGAACACCGGTTGCCTGTACCGTCTGTAGAATCGTTTTTGTGATCTCTACCGGGTCTTCGAGAACAATACTTCCAAACCCAAAATAGACGGGAGGGGGCCCAGCCTTGAGAAATTCTGCAATCTCGGCAGGAGGCTCATATTGGGGCGGATCGCGGAAGAAGAACCCACAGACATCTATTCATGGGAGTTGGTCAACGACTTCAACGAAGCAAAAGCAATCATTTCTCACCAAAATTATGAGGCCAGTCATCTGGTTTGGGAACTAGGCCAGGGGACCAGCAATATGTATAGGGGACATTCAGTTTGGTTAAAATGAATGGGCCATCTGAAAGAGAGATAGGCTCGAGCTCTAGCTCATGTTTCCGCCAATCGTTGATCACGCCTCCTAGACTGTTTCAAGTGGGAGATATATCAGCTATTTTCTAAGTGTACACGTTGTAAAGGAGTGCGCGGCACTTACCCCTGCCATGATAGCCAATCCACAACACCATAAGAAACGCGATTGAGCCACTGTGGATCAGCTGGAATATTTTTTAGATTGGCTAACGGGTGCGGGAATGCCGTTGTTGGACTCCACGGCATTGTGAACATCAAGTGAAGTGGAATTCCTAGGGCTTGGGCGCAGTGAACGTGTGCGAAGCTCGGAGGATTTGCAATGATAGCATTGGCCACAAAGGGGGCATTTGTGGTAGGGTCGGGCATCAGACATGATTGCCAGCAACCATGAAGAATTTCCGCCATCATCAATTGCTTCTTTTGAATATCTCCCTCACGAACGCTGTCTAGGCTGGGGATTAACCCGGGATTCTTGACCATATATGACATCAGGTCGGCCGGATCACCACCGATAGGGTAAAACTCCAAGCCTGCTTCCAGGATGAACTGCTCGAAGACATTGTGTGTTGCAATGCGCACGCGATGGCCTACATTTTGTAGCTCTGTGCCAAGTGCAACAAATGGTTGGACATCTCCTCTGCTGCCGACGATTTGAATCACAATATTCAGAGGGAACTTGAACGTTGGCACCCCTTCCGAATAACTTGGTGGAGGTACTGTGCTCTGACGGATAACATGAGGCAATAACCTAGAAAGGGATCTGCAGAGTCGGGAACTAGCATCCACAACAACACGGCCCTCATCTGTACTAGGTCAGATATGCCTTCCTGGGCTAGAACAGTGTGATAAGTTGACATAGCGTACCGTTGACAGAAATACCCTGAGCTTCACTTAAATCTTGAGGAATTGCCTCGTATGGTGGTGGGGGCTGGTCGTCATGCTGGTCGTGATACTGATCATGAGAGGCCATGGCGGCCTCTTTTGAATCCATTTTGGTGTGTTCCGTATTTCAAATACAATGTATCAATATATGAAGGAAAACCAAATTGATAGGAAATGTTAAAGGTGAATGAATACTGAAGGGACAACACGAGCCAGGGGTCCTTAGGCAGAAAAGAGAAAACTTCCTAACTCTTTGGTAACCTCGGAAAAACCTTATATCAGGATCCGCGGATTGAGCCCTACATATGTGGTAGGTACCTCTCCACCCCCACCCTGGAAAGTCTTAAAATTAGAATACGAGGATGGTGTAAAGTACAACCCTACGGAGTACGTATTGATGTATTGAAACATACCTGTGTAAGTAGGTACATCAAAGGTATATGCAAAACTTAGCAATCACTTTTGACACTTCCAAGGTTCTAGATGCTATGTAATACGAACTTGAAGAAAGAGATTTTCAACAAAGGCTTTCACTTCCTTTGTTTCCTAAATTTTGGAATACGTATTAAAAAAACCACGAGGCCGTATATTACACGTAACCGGTGATATCAGGAATGTGATGTGGAGCTACAATTCCGACGATCACCCAGAGTTACTAGTGGCAGGTGGGTCCTATCTATACGCGTATCCAAGTTTAGCACTTTGCTTAATCCGTGCCCTGGAGACCTCAATTGTATATTTATACGGAGTACGGAGTACTCAGCCCCACTCCGTAACCACATCCCATGGAAATGAGGCGGATGATATTCCTGGAAGAAAAACTCAAGGTCCTGAATAGCATGCAAAAAGACTTGGCTGTGGCTTGGATGTTTAATAATAGTTACTCCTCTAGGTTAATACCCAGCTGCCTAGATATACCCCGCCTAGAAGCCCACTCAAGGAAGTAGCTAGTCCATCGTGGCAATGTTTTCTTTGACTCGTGTTCTTTGATGGTCTCTGATCGTACGCTATTGAGTTAAAGTGCAGGTCCGACGTTGAAACGCTTGACATCTGGCTCCACTGATGCAACCGCTTCGCCATTGATCATCCCCATCCGCAACGCTAGTGTTCCTGCCCTGCACTTCTATTTTCTTGGTTACTTATTTTGGACCCCAGCTGAAAATTAAGATATAACATAAGTAATCTAAAATACCTAGGTGGACTTGATTTCAGGTGTGGTCAAAGTCCACCCGGTTGCGCAGACACGTTTAGACCAAACCAAGAAAGAGAAGGATTTTTTTTTTAAGAATTAAAAAATAAAAATCTGGCCAGTGTTGTCTTTGATTTGGCAGTTAGAGAAACATAGGGATTGGGGAGAGAATTCACCTTGAAGATTCACCGAAAAGAGTGCTGAAAAGGATGGCAAAGAAAGAGTATGAAAGTCGCTATAATTTGTTCATTGTAGCACCATGATATTGCCTAATTCTCCTAAATGGATAAACGCCTGAAATTTGCATCAAAAAATAGACCAGGACAACTACATTTCACATTTGAAAACGGTGATTAAACGTTCCCAAAAGAAACATTAAAGCAGTTGCAAAGGAACTTGTCCTTATTTGTAGAGCTCTGGATAAGCCGCTTTGATTATGTCGGCACCCTACCACAATTAGAATCAAGTTCCACAAGCTTAGTTCCTTGACATACCTTTTCTCCAATCATGTATACTGCATTTTGGATCCGGCAGTCAGGAATGACTGGAATAATGGACGCGTCGACAATACGAAGCCTCTTAGCACCGTGAACCCTCAACTGAGAGTCTACCACACCTTGATAGATGTCGTCAGACATTCTGGCAGTGCCACAGGGATCTATAAAAATCAGTGTTCAAATCCCACACCACAATATCTCCCTGAACTTACGATATCCAGTCTGCGCCCGATCCAGAATTAGGCGATCCATTTCTTCATCTGACTCACGGGGCATGGGCCACGGAAAGTCCTCAGCAATGATCTCTTTCATCCCTTCGCCATTCATAAGTACATCATCAACGAATCGAACACCCTCTCTCAAAGCGAGAATATCCAGTTCGTCAGTAAAGTAATTGAGATTGATGTCGGCTTGCTCACGCGGATCTATCGAAGTGAGTCTGACATACCCGCCCTTTGACTGTGGATGAAGAAGGTCGACGACAACGGTTAGCCAGTCTCCCTCGGGTGGGATATCGAAGTGCCACTGGAATGCATCACAGAACATGGGCTGTTTAAATTAGCAAATATTTCTCTGCAGCTGCCGATCATCCACATACAATAAAATCAATCTCAAGATGAGGTTGGCCTTCAGGCCCGAAAGGATCCTTGCCTCCATTGTTCGCCCTGGCTTTGTGGTAAATCTTATATTCTTCGAGTTGCGCATCTATGCGTGGGAAGGCTACCATCTCAAGGAGGCCACTAGCCAATGGACCTGTTTTATCCTCGTCATACTGCTTCACGGCAGAATCGTGGGCTGGTCCCTCTCGAAGGAGAATGTGATCCAGACCTAAGCCATCCTTCAGTCTAAAAACATGTGGGAGAATAGGATGATCGAGAAGATGCTCGCCCACATGTTCGGACGTTATCACAGGATCGATTCCATGACGAGCCAGTTCACGCCGGGGACCGATGCCGGAAAGAAGCAATAGCTTGGGTGTTTCGAAAACCCCACCTGCAATAATGATTTCTTTCTTTGCCTTCAGTGTGGTCTCGTTCCCATCTGTTCCGACAACAGTGACACTCACTGCAGTATAACCTTCCAGGTTAATCTTTGTCGCGACAGTGGAATGCATTATCTCCACATTTTCTTTCCCGGTCACGTATACTGCGCTGCTTGACCGGACCCCCTCATAGACCGTACTAACACAGTGTGTTAGGCCCTCGAGCCTGCCATTGTAGATGTCTTCTTTTAATTCATGGCCCTTACTAGTCCATGCCTTTACTAAAGAATCTCGGAAAGCGCGAGTTTCGGGGAGCAAAGTTGCGTGCGAAATGTGAAGTGGACCCTCCCGTGCGATCTTAGAAAATCGCGAATCGTACACTCTTGCATCATCGTGATATGAAGCCGGCTAAAGATGAGCTTGTTAGAAAATAATACTCCGGTTCTCTGCTCAGATGTATAGCATGCCTTTTCGAAATAGTGTCTGCACTTTTCCCATGTCCATTCATCCCCACCGTACTCCTGCCACGCATCATACGTTTCCCTACTACCACGGATCCAGGTGAAGTAGTTCAAGCTGCTACTGCCGCCAAGGACCTTTCCACGGGTATTTGGTTTCTCAATGCGTTCGTAGTCAGGCTTGTCGACGAAGGTCGTCTGATAGGACCAGTCATACTTGCTGTTTCGGAGTTCGAATGCGCGAGCGGGCGTTGTTATCATTGGGATATCATCAGGATTACTGTTACCGTGTCAGTTGAGCTAATGACAGGTAGGTAGAATACGCACCCAACTCCAGCTTCAATCACGAGTACTTTCACCTCGGGATTCTCTGCTAATCTACCTGTAACGACATTTCCAGCGGTTCCACCACCCACCACGATAAAGTCATATACATTCGGAGTTGCTGCGGCCATCGTAGCATGATAGTGTGAGAAAAGTCACAAAATGGAGGCCATGCTCCTGATCCATACCATCTTATAGCCAGCGCCGCCCCAGAGCTCAGAAGTAAGCGTTCAATGGAAAGTCGCTCAACATTATGCTGTGATTCTTTTCATGGGAGCTCGGAGCATTACTTGCTGCCCAATGATAGTATGGTATTAACATATTCAGTGGCATGGGATCACACAATTGTTGTGTGTGGAACTTGAGCTTTCACATGTTACTGGAACTGGGGCACACAGGCATCACATTCCATATTGGAGAAGGAACATCATGAAAGTCTAGCCTTTAAATAGGCGTTGAATTTGTGCAACTTGCCAGATTCTAGATCTCCCACCGAAAGATTTGCAGTGATGAATTTATCAAGTGAACCATACCATAAATCTAAAATAGAAAAAGAACTTATTCGGAAAAAGGTCGGCATGCCAATTCAAAGGAGATCGACTAACGTTTGGTGGTAAGTACACGAAAGCAGTACCAATGCACCTAACGGAGAGGTCGTGTATCGATGACATTGGTGCTCTTGGAAATGGATTGGATATGGGAATGTTCCGACCACACACTCGGTGGAGTCACCCATCCCTCTCTTGGATGTTGGGGTGGAGGATCGTACTCATAAGATACCCAAGAATTGCCCGATGTTCGATGAACTCTTTAGTTATGGTTGGGCAGATCAAGTGAGCGACTGTTGATGGTCATCATTCTATACACGGCCGGGTGCCTGGTTTTTATACCGTCCACGAGTTTGGAAAACTGGGTAATGGTGGAGATTCAGATAGTTTGTCGCACTGAATATTCAAACACGACTTGTTTATGTATACCACCAATGAACATTGTAACCGGAGTGTATGATTGGATGAAAATATTGTATGCTATATGTTCGAGTTTCAATATATGAAGAGAAAGAGACCAAGAATAACAACCCCCCACACCATAATCCACAGGTATAAACAAAAAGCCGAGAAACCAAAAATTACTCATTCGTTAAATGATCATGAAATAGTATGCGCCATATATAGCAAGCGACACCCCGAAAAACATTGCCATCTACCCACTCCGATGGATGCATCATGTATACAAGTGTCCAAGTGTTCACACCTCACCCCAATTGCCGAGCCCAGCTCCAACACCAATGACGCTGTTGGTCTCGCTGCCGCCAATATCCCAGTAGTTCCGGCTGGAGCTTGTCATCGTCCGCCGGCTGGAAATGGCTGATAGCTTGGCGCTCTGGCTCGCGCAGCTAGAGCCGGGTCGCCGAGGATGCGGTCGGAGTGCCGAGGAGACACCCGCTGGGTTTGACATGCCGGAGAATTGTGATGCGCGACGAGTTTGAGTTTGTGATCGGGAGTAGGCTCGCGCTACGAGCGGGTGATGTTGCCGGATTATGGCTGCTCGGCGGGATGCATCTTGCGGGCGGCGGGGCGGGGTTGGTGTGTTGGTTTCGTTGGGCATGTAACCTCGGTGGCTGAAGCGATTTCGGAGATAGCGGAATACCATCATTACATCCAGTCCGCTTTCCCAGTACTCGGATTCGTGTTGGAGTCGTGTTGATTCGGGGAGTTGGTCAGAGCGCTTTGGGTCCTCATCTTCAATGCCCCATTGTGCTTCGTGTTCTCGATTTGAGTCTCGCAGTGTGGGCATGAATTGTGGAGATAGCATGGAATCGCCAGTCGCATCGACGGTAATTGATACGGTGGACTCGGTGGGTCTCTGAGAGATTCCGCTTTCCGCTAGACGGTTGAGAGACATCCCCGCATATTCGGCGGATATATCTTTAGTCATTTGATAATATGTTGTGAATGCTCCGGGGTGTTCGCAAAGTTGATGGACAAGGATCCCAAGCTCATGGGCGATTGTCTGAAGCACCTTTGTCTGCCACAGGGGTGAATCGCTAAACTCTGGCTCTGGTTCACGTGCTAATACCGTTTCCATGTCTAGTGAATCTTCCTGGGGATGAGATTGCGCGTCCAGCGGCAACGACTCACCAAAGATCACGGAGAGCAATGAATCATCAATCCCGATCAGGTCACGGATGACTGTTCGTGTGATACGGCGCCAGAAAGACTCTTCGTCCTCCGAGACATCTCTCGACAAGGGAACATCCCGTGATAGTACATCGGATACACGAGTTTGGGTGCCATGATCAACAGAACGATGAAGGTTCGATCTGCTGTTCAGATTAGACCGCCTCTGTCGGGTTTCCCGTTCGATCTCCTGCAACAGAGCCCGGCTCTGGTCCATCCTCCATTCTTCGATTCGCTGCCACCGTTCTCGCTCGACATTTGTCTCGCCCTCCTCGACGGTATCCAAATGCCTCTGCACACTTGAGTTGCGGCGATGTTGGAGAAGGCCATACGAGGGCCGCTGGGGGTTGTATTGCTCATGTTGCCATAGCTGATCCTGGACTGCCTGACTCGAGGCCTGGAAACTACCTAACCCGTCATGGGCGGGCAGCATCGCAGGCGGCCCCTGGTCAAACCTTATTGGGGAAGCCGGGGCCAGCTCTGGTGCTCGAAAGGCGTGCAGTCCATCGTCTAGGCTATCCAGTTCGGTTCCATCTTCGTCCAGTTGGTCATCGAGGGCATTTTCGTCATCGTCCTCGCCCTCAACGCCAGATACAGACTGGGTTGCAGCAAAGGAGCCGAAGTCACTCAGTCGAGAGGGACCTACGGTACGCGTGCGATCGGTTGAAGTCGTGTGCGTCCGAGCGGTCGGGGAGAATAGGACCCATTGTGCGGTGTCGTCATCGCGTTGTTCCGGGGAGGAGGAGGGGATATTAAGAGTAGGTGGTTGAGGGGTAGAATAGGAAGTCCTGCGGCGAGGGACGTGTGTTGGGACCTGGAAGGCCATCTTGTTGATCTGATTGTAACTAGCTCAAGCAGATAGGAGAGGTACGATAAGCGTGTTTGATGGTCCAGAGATCATAGGAGAGTTAAGGTTGGTCAAGTGGGGAATAGAGGCATTAGAGCATCCAAGGGTGATTGATGTAAGTGGGAGAAATAACAGGAGTAGTAGAAAAGGTCCAAGTGCATAAATAAAGAAATGGGCAAGGATGTGATGATTGCCCAGGTGCCCAGGTGGTGATGGTCGGTGGGAGAGATTAGCTGATAAGCGGAAAGGCGGGCGATGCCCAAAAAAGGAGATCACCCAAATGATCCTCCAATGATGCAACCGGTATCGGAATGATGAGACCACCTTTCAACTGGTTTATCCGTTACTTTTTTACTTTATTAGTCTGTTTCGATGAGCCTATCTACCTATACAGGTATGGGTTGAAGCCAGCAGCTTGTATCCTCATCAGCTGACAGACGGTCACCGGGATCAACACGGTGACGTGTGAACTTACCACCAGTCACATTTTACTGTAAACAGCTAACAAGATGGGTCTTTGGAAGAAAACTCACTACACCGTACTTTGATATCAGTCTTACAACCATGCCATCGCCAAGAAGCCCACTGTGTTGTCGTGCTTTCGCTTGCACACTAACTAATACCCCTCAGTTGCCCCTATACTAGGTTGAGACAGATAACAAACTGCCAAGACAGGGGACACCTTTGGCTCAAGTTGTGGTCCGAATCACTGCGCGGGTGAGTATTGACGGTCAAATGTCGTGGGCTAACAGATCGAAAGAAACCCAAGGGTTGGCCGTTCGCGATATCTAACACCAGGTAGAGTACGGAGTAATTTCCGCGTTAGTTGTAGATCGGTAGATCGACTAGAACGTAAATTTGACGCGACTGGAAACGACAGTGAGATGATACCACTCAAATCGCTTATGCTAGTATGTCTCAAATCCTACTAGCAACCACCGCTCTCTGGTTTTTTTTAGATACCATGGATCTTCTTTTCCCCGTTCGGGTTTACAATTGACCCTCAAACGCGTAGGAATTAACCTTGGAAGGTAAGGGATATTTTTAGAGTTCTGCCAAGAGACCAACCTTGAAAAAGAGATCGAGACAGTCAAAGAAGTGAAAGATGCCAATCTAACTGGTATCATCGCTCACGGGGTATATATTAGTCTACTATAATATAGCATCTCGAGCCGACGATCACTCCTTCCCAGCCAAAGCCTCTCCCACCCAATCCATCTGCACAGCACTAACGCCACGCGCGTAACTGCGGTTGGTGAACACGAATTCATTGTACATAATCGCCTCGAGCTTCTTGCCGTAAAGGACACTCGACGGGTGAATGGCGACGGTTTGATTTCCAACGATCGTACGATAGCTACCATCGGGCACGAGGCGCGCCGTATTGGTCGCGAATCCGGCTAGGAAACTCTGGAGAATGAGGATCGGCGAGGGGTCGTGTAATGAAGTATTGTTCAAGGCTTCGTTGGTGAGCAGCTTGGCCTGTCGGCATTGGGTGCGGAGCTGTTTGCGAACGTCCTGTGTATTTTGATTAGTTTTCTATGACTGGCATCCGGAAATTAATTACTACTCACCATGACAGATTGCATCGCACGGTGCGATACCAGGTGTCGCTCTGCCCATGCCTTGCGGTCGGCCTGTTCAGCCGCATACACACGTACAGTCATCAGCATTGTGAGGTGGTCACCCTCGCGCCGGTATAAATCGCGACGGGCTGCCTCTGCTGCTTCCTTCTTTTCTTCCGAGGTAGTGTTTAGGAAAATGTTCTCCACACTCAGACACGAGATAATATCAATGACATCTAGCAAGCATTCATACCCGTTCTCGGCACCTGCCAACAACACGCGACCCAGAGTTGGAGTCAAGGGCAGCTTGGCGATGTGTAAACCAACGGCGCTGATTTTTCCATCATCCTCGAGGGCATTGATGTTTAATAGCTGCAGAAGAGCCTTTTCGAGTGCTTCGCGTGGTGGACGGGTTAGGAATGGGAATCCAACAATGTCATCAACGCCACGGGCCTTCATGTTCAGGAGGGCTTGGCTCAGATCACAACGCAGAATCTCAGGTGTGTTTGTCTCATCCAAGGCTAGATAATCCTTCTCTGTATATAGTCGGAAACATTGGCCAGGGGCCTCACGACCAGCTCGACCCTTTCGCTGGATCGCAGCTGATTTGGAGATGGGCTTCACCAGGAGTGAGTCCAGACCAAGGCGAGTGCGGAATTGCTTGACTTTGGCCTTGCCGCAGTCAATCACGTGCCGCACACCAGACACAGTGACGGAAGTTTCGGCAATATTAGTGGACAGAACAACCTTGCGGGTTCGTGGCGGAGCAGGAGCGAAGACGCGTTGCTGGGCAGCCTGTGGCAGCGCAGCGAACAGAGGTAGAACCAGAATTTTAGGAAGCGATGGGTCCATGCTCATGGCATACTCATTCACCAGGTGTTCCAGAGCCTCGACGGTTTCCTGACCAGTGAGGAAGACCAGGATATCACCCGGCATTGGTTCCTTCTGGTGAATCTGGAATATAATTTTGAGCGCTGCATCCACGAAGTCATGTACCGGCGCGGGCGAGTAGATAGTTTTGACAGCGAATTGGCGACCCTTAATGCGGCAGACAGAGATATCCTTTGGACTCGAAGTATCCATTTTATCGGCTTCGGCCTCGGCTGCTTCGATAGCCTTCTGTTGTGGCTCCGGTTGTTTGAATCCTTGGTGGAAGAAGTCGGTTAGACTCTCCATATCAGCCGTAGCACTCATAACAACAACCTTGAGCGGCACACCACCCCGGCCTTCCTTCTTGCCGGATACAAGATTACGTAGGAATCCAAGTGTGAGATCCACATTAATGCCTCGTTCGTGAACCTCATCGACGACAATAGCGCTGTATTTAGTCAAGTTCGGATCGTGCAACATCTCCTGGAGCAGCATTCCCTCAGTCAAGAACTTGACCCGCGTACTGGGCGATGTAGAAGTATCAAATCGCACCGAGTAGCCGACCTTGCTAGCAGGCGAGTGCGATCCAAGCGGTGTACCCATCTCCTCGGCTACACGGCGGGCCAGCGAAATGGCAGCAACTCGACGCGGCTGTGTGATGGCAATGCATCCTCCGACCATTTTCTTTTCTGTCCTGCCATCCCGTGTAATTTGTGTAGGTACGGGCCGACACCAGAATTCGTCTACCAGAAATTGCGGGATCTGCGTACTCTTTCCGCTACCCGTTTCACCGACCAAAAGCATCACATCTTGTTCACGCAGCAGATCGCGGATCAAATCGGCATTTTCGAATACGGGGAGTTTGCGCCGCGTCTCGAGGAGGGCTTTGGCCTTTTCTCGTAAGGGTGTGAAGTTGGTTTTGGTATCGGTGAAGGGTCGGGACTTCGATTTCGGGTACGACGATTTTGATGCCGACAGGCCATTTGTTTGGGATACTGTCTCGGTTCGCTTTTTTAGCACAGGGACTGTTGTTTCTACCTGCTTGGCAGGTGCAGGGATTTCCCTCGGTTCATCTTGATCGGCGGGTTTGGAGACTTCGAGATCATCGAGCTTGCGCTTCTTGTTTCTCTTCTTCTTGCGCTCGGGTTGTTCTGTGGGTTGAGATGAGACCTTGGGCTTAACAATCTTCTCCTCGTCCGAGTCCGCGAACACGGTACGGACCTTTTCCGGCATTTTGAGGTGTAGCGCGTAAGAATGTTAATCAGGGACGAAGCTCAAATCTGAAAAATTTGCCTTATCGATAAGCCGATAAGGATTTCCTTATCAATGTCAACAGAGACCCGTAGACATCTACACAGCTAGTCAGCTGTAAAACACACGTTATTCGTTCTTTTCTTTATTTGTAGTATTGAATACTAGATTTGAATTCTGACACTCAAACGTACCATTTTCTCGCTCGGGATTTTTTTTTTATACATTATCGGTATATTGAATTGTATGAAAAATACTCTGGTGCACTGGCGGCTATTGACTGCCCGGCACATCGGGTTAGCGTAATGCGACCATGTGGGATCCGGGCACTACCGCTGTCGGTTCCGGTGGGATAAATCAAACGAAGCAATGCAAGTAGTGCACCACTTATCGAATGTCAAGCATGACGACAATATGGAGAAGAGCCAAGCTCTACCAGGGCCTATATCGATCTGGAGTCGCGAGACCCTCGGCTCGTTCTCTATAATAGTCACCCTAAGACTCCCTGTCAAATCTCCAACCATTTCCTCATTCTTGACTCTCGTTTTATAGTATCTGCCCAGCGCCTAGAGAAATGTACACAATTATCCCTAAAGCTTTGAAAAAGGGGGATACAATCGCCTTTATCTCGCCCTCCGCACGCCTGAATGATATCCTAGCCACTCCCCTCTCGCGAGGGAAAGCGTATTTAGAGTCTCTAGGGTTCCGCGTGCAAATCATCTTCACTGGCCTAACAACAACTACGATTGCAGAATCTGTTCGCATTCGATGCGAGGAGCTCCATTCCGCGTTCCGCGACAATACGATCGCAGCCGTTATTTGCACCATTGGCGGCTCTCATGCCAATGAAATGCTGCCTTTTCTCGACTATTCCCTCATTCGATCAAATCCTAAGGTCTTTGTCGGCTACAGTGACGCCACATTCCTTCATTATGCGATTCAATCTCAAACCGGCTTGCGCACATTCTATGGACCCAGTGTTCTAACAGATCTTTCTGATTTCCCTAAGCCTATGCAATTCACAATCGACCACTTCCTTCATGTCCTTACTGAGACGGGAAATCCGGTGGGGACTCTTCCTCGATCACCTATCTGCTCGGTAGAGCATACCGAGTTCCTTTTGAATGAGGCCGATAAAGCGCGCGAAGTTGTCGAATCGCCGTCGTGGCGGTGGCTCCGGAAAGGTCGAGCCACTGGTCGTTTGTATGGAGGCACTATAATTTGTGTTGTGCGACTTCAGGGAACCAACTATGCTCCCTCCTGGGAAGGTAACATACTTTTTCTTGAGTCTGCGATGGGCGATGATATGCAACTTCCGTACTCTGTGTCCCAGTTCCGAAATAACCTTGTCGATCTTGCTCTGTCTGGCATGTTGCACAAAATTAGTGGGCTGGTTATTGGGCGAGGATACAAATATGATGACCGTATGCATGATGAGCTTGCTAGTTTGATTGAGGAGGTTTTTGATGTGATCGTCGGTCGTGAGGAGGAGCTGCCGATTTTGATGAACGTCGACTTTGGCCACACAAGTCCATTCCTAACTTTACCCATTGGCGCCCTCGTCGGACTAGACTCTGAAATTGATGAGTTTAAAGTCATGGAGCCTGGAGTGCAGGCTTGATGACTGTGGTGGGGCGAGACTGAATTTGTGCTGCTAAGCAGTCAGGATTGTTTGAGGAAATTGTTTAATAGCCAACGAGACAGTAAAGGTACCTGGCTCTTGAAGTAGAATCTAGCTTGGCACATAGAAAGAAAGGAACATTGGGGACCTTCCTGTCCATCCAAATTGGTCTTCGTCAATTTCCACTTCGAACGAGTCGCTGTTTGCTTTTGACGCTACCAAGTCCAATCTGGGTGGCCGCAAACATATGTTGTCACTGATTGGCTGCTTAGGCGGAGGATTGAATAACACTGTGAAGCGGGGGTGCAAAGCCGATCTCGATGGTTTTGGTGATGAAGGGTCCTAGTATGCTTCGAGGAATCCAAGGGGTAACACTGACCATAGGTGGTATGGTTTGCCAAGTGTTCAAGGTCCCAGCTTGAAAATCATCATTCGATCTGTTTTGCGGGCCTTCCGAAACATTGATCGAGTAAAGACCCTTCAAGTGCATCCAAAGGTGCAGCTCCTGCATGTAGGTATGGGGGATTGAAAGCCTGGTGTCTTGATTCATCAGATCAAACAATGTTTCCATTGTTTTATTCCAGTCAGTGCTAGTTCGGCTCTTGACTTGGCAAAGAAAAGCCACAAAGCTTGCCCGGTTGTGAGTTGGCAGGGATTGTATTTGTGGGGTTTCACTTGTAGCAAACGATGGTGAGACATATTCATCGGGGAACAATTTCAAGAAGACATGGTATAGCACCTATGCTAGGCTGACGGAGTCAAATTGGATAAGACCTAGCGCTAATATACATAGCAGCTCTTAGTTGCAATGCTAACCCTTTGTCTTTGAATTTGAGGTTTTCATGTATAGTCTAGGAAGTGACGCACAGTATGTATAGATCGGATGAACAGGCGAGAGACGCTAACTGTGTAATGGGGGTTAAAGGCCCCATTCCCGCAAACTTGCTATAATTCTCATCTCAACTTGGATCAGCCATCGCGGCTAATACAGCATTATTTCTGCCTAATACATTGTCACCTACTTTGTGCATGTAGCTTATTCCACTCCATCGTGTTCAAAATAAACTGATTGGTATCCACCTCCATGGAGCTCGGACCAAGCATCTCAGGATATCCCCACGGTCCCAAACTCTGAGGCACCGGCCCCCAATCACAATACCCCATATCAGGCACATTGTAATCCATCTGGATAGGCATTGAAAGGGTTTCCACATTGACACTCGAGGTACCAATGGGCTGCATCGGGTCTGAATACTGTCCGAAATTTGACATCATCTGCATCACTTTGTTGCGAATATCCGACACAACCAGTGGTGGTATCAGAGGAGTCTTTTGTTGTTTGGCTACCCGTTCACGCGCCTCCCACGCTTGCAACACAATCCGAGAGAAGACGATGAAAAAGGGGCGGTCGTTCTCCTTAGCATCCATCATACGGACCTCGTAGTTGTTGCTCATGACCTCCCACGCTTGGTCTGCGTGCTCCTGTAGTGGCCTCTTCTTCAAATTCTGCAGCAGGTGAATGTACGCGGGGAAGGGGAACTGGAATTGCACAAGCCACAAGTATCCTTTGGTGAGAGGTGACGTCATGAGGTTGGTATCGCACTCTAGCATGCGCAGCGCGTGGGAAATCCCGACGTTGCGTTGTGTATCTGTCTGCTGCATGTAGGCCGTTGAGTATCGGGAGTAGTGTTGCAGGAGACGATTCTTTGCTAGGTAGCCTCGCATTGTCCAGATCGTCATGAAGTGTAGTGGGTTTTCTGGATTGCATAATGCCAAGTGTGTCTCCTCGATCTTATTCTCCAGTGCCATAAGTTGTTCCGCCTCGTCTGTGGTGGTTGACCGAGGGGAGATTGTGTTCAAATATGGATTGGTGAAATCCAGGTGGAAGGCACTATGACGGACAAAGTCGGCGAGCTCACTGCGCACAACAGCAAAGAGCATCTCTGTTGGTCTGTCGTTTGTTTTCGGTGCGGTTTTGATATCTGGTTGAAGTTCAAAATCACTCACATTTAGAGGAGCACGGCAGTCCCAGGTAGGAGCTAGCGACGCGGTCTTATAATCGGACATTTCGCAGATGCGATTATCAAAGATGATGAGCGACCACCACAGTCTCCGGCGCATCTCCGCCTCTAAAGCGGAACATCTACCGTATGTTGACTCATCGTGAATACCTATCCGCTGCGCGATTCGTATCGCAACGCTAAGCATTGATGAGAGAGACGCGGGGTCCGTTTCAGGTCTGATTGACACCTGCAAGAATTAGTGAGTGCGGATATATTGAATCGACACACCTACCAGGTACAGATATAGAGCGGTCAAGCACTCTCGGTCACTGGATCGTAGAATACGACAACTCCGTAACGCTTGCTGGCATGCAGACTGATAAGCTGTCAAGAGATCCTTTTTGGGCCACCCGAACAAAGTATTGCATTGATCGTCTGTAAGACTTAGAATGGAGACACAGTAGATACTGAACATTAATGCTTCCAACTCGGGATTAACGTTGGCGATATCGCTAGCAGCATCGATGATATGTGTTTGAAGTGTGGGTGTGTGAGTGACTTTGAGAAGAGGATTGACGTTGTCCAAGTAGATCTGCCAGAGCCTGAAGATCTGTACCTGGGTCGGATGCGAGGCAGAGAGGTCGTCTATGTTTCCCACCGGTGAACCGAATAACAGGTGGTCGTTGGTTTTGCTTTGAAACATATGGTTCCATGCTTTCTTGATCACGGCGTGGCGGATATCATCGTTGTCGTGCAAGAACCCTGTGCCATTTTCATCATCTTCGTCGTCATTTCCATCGTTTTCCTTGGGATCTACGTTCTTTCGCATTTATCAGTGAGCCCCACGATAACCGGCAGCGTCGGTCATACCTTTTGGCTCATGGCATGCCAAATATTCCTTATGTATGATTAGTCATCAAGAAGTCTGCCAAGGGATCTTCACCAAATGAAGGGGGCCGAGTCTCATACAGTGATTTAGACTTGACTGCTTTCTTTTCTTTCAATGGACGAGAATCACTATTAGGGATAGTACCTTCCGACTGAACAGCCTCCGAAATTTCATCTTGCTCATCCGCGTTTGGAGACCTACGATCTGTAGTAGCCGTGTGGAGAGGATCGAACCTGATGTTATTCTGGCGAAGCAGGCTCTCGTAATGCCGCAGGCGCGCCAGCAGGTCTCTCTCAGCAAACCTCCGGCGTCGCTGGCGGGTTGCTTGCTGACACTGCTCGCCGGCACGTATACAGTTAGCGCAAGGGAATGTACGATCACACTTGACCTTGCGTTGCTGACACAGCACGCAGGCCAGCACGCGCCGGGACTTGATGGTAGCTGTATGTTCGGATGGAGATAATGGCGTCGCCATGGCATGAAACTGTCGATCCTTTTTCAGTAACAATGTTGATACTAGAGCCCGGATCCTAAAGCCCCGGTTAGTTGCGAAAAGCAGGAAAGGGAAGGGGGAATTCGGGTTTTATAACATCCGAAACCAACGCCACTTGCTAACCCTCGCACTTTATAATCCCCGACCATTGTGTTGATCATCTTGCAAAATGCGAAATCACCGACCATGTTTTTCCCTTTGTGCTCACTTAAATATGGAAGTTCTCCTCATTATGCAATATGGTCTGGGATATTCATTCTTGATAACCTATCGATCTTGTCTTGGTTAGAGAAGCAAATAGCACAATTACCATGCCTCCACCGCGCACTTCCACCTCTGACAGCACCAAATCTACTACAATAGACGCCCCACAGTCCATGAAGGAATATAGCAAAACCACCACCAATGTGTCAGTCAAAGACGAAGATTCGGCCATAGCTGGAGGCTCTCCAGGTTCACCAGGCCCGCCCGAGAATCAGTCTACACTTAGGGTTGTATGTCTGATTGTATCGGCTTTTGTCGCCATGTTCCTGGTTGCGCTGGATAGAACAATCATATCAACGGTATGAGCATAATACCTGGCATTCAATCCAATTTTAGCGCTAAACTATACGCAATTCATAGGCCATACCTAAAATAACCGATGAATTCAATTCCTTCGACGACGTTGGTTGGTACGGAAGTGCCTACTTGTTGACATGCTGCGTATTCCAACTCTTGTTTGGCAAACTGTACAAGCTTTTTTCGGTCAGAATCGTCTTCCTTGGCAGTACTCTAGTGTTTGAAGTTGCCTCTGCTATTTGTGGAGCGGCTCCGAATTCAGTTGCCTTTATAATCGGAAGAGCGATCTGTGGAGTCGGCGCTGCTGGTATTCTTGCTGGAACTGTATGTCACTCTATTCCCCTACACTTTGTACCAATTGTTGACAGACGGGTCTCAGATAATGTGTATCATCCATTCCGTGCCTCTCCAGAAGCGTCCACAAATTCAGGGACTCTTCGGTGCCCTTTTCGGCATTGCCTCTGTCGTGGGTCCCTTGATTGGTGGCGCCTTTGCATCAAACGTGACATGGAGATGGTGCTTTTATGTCAATTTGCCAATTGGTGGCGCCGCGATGGTCTTCATTGCTTTCTGCCTCAAGATTCCTGAACAAGATACAGCAAAGGTTTCCTCGGCGGAGAAGGTTCTACAACTGGATTTCTTCGGCACTACACTTCTGATATCTAGTGTGGTCTGTCTCATACTAGCACTTCAGTGGGGTGGCCAGACGTATGCTGTAAGTCATGTGCACCGATATTTCTGACCACAACTAACAATTTGCAGTGGAGCGATGGTCGCGTCGTGGTTAGCCTGGTTCTCATGGCCGTCTTACTTCTCTCTTTCGTCGCCATCCAGGTCTTCCTTCCAAAGACTGCGACGCTTCCAGTGCGCATCTTCTCACAGCGCAGCATCATTTCGGGCTTCTGGCAGACACTCTGCGTTGGCTCTGGAAACTACATATTTGGTAAAAACACCAAACTATCAAGCAATATCTCTTTTACTGACTGAAATCACAGTTTACTTCCTCCCAATCTGGTTCCAATCCATCAAAGGCAGTTCCGCCGTGGAATCCGGCATCCGCCTACTACCCATGATGTTATCAATGGTCGTCGGCTCAATCGGTGGTGGAATTACAAACTCCAAGATCGGATACTACACCCCACTTGCCATCATCGGATCCTGTATCATGTCCGTTGGAGCCGGTCTTCTCACCACCTTTCAAGTGGACACCGTCGAGGGCAAGTGGATTGGCTATCAGATCGTCTACGGACTCGGTCTGGGCTTGTGTTTTCAAGTCCCTAATCTCGCCGCACAAACCGTACTTCCGAAGCCCGATGTGCCGTTTGGGCTGGCACTGATGCTCTTTGGTCAGATGATTGGGGCAGCCGTCTTTGTTTCTGTCGGGGAGAATATATTGGCTAATCAGCTTGTGAAGAGACTTTCCGGGCTGCCGGGGTTCAACTCCCATCTCATCACCTCCGGGGGTGTCACTTTGCTGCTGAATAGAATACCGGCGGATCTGCACGACACGGTCCTGCACTCCTACAATGAAGCACTGCGGAAGGTGTTTCAGGCTGGGTTGATTATTTCGTGTCTGGCTGTACTTGGTGCGGCTACTTTGGAGTGGAAGAGTATCAAGAAGGGACAGCCAAATTCCGATACTGAGAATAACGGCCTGGGTGGAGGGGAGAAGACTGTAGAAGCGGGAAAAGGTAAATAGAATAAACCATATCGAGGGCGGCAGGAGGGGGTTATCTTTTTGACTGCTTAATTGTAGAGAGTGAGATTGGAGATAGGCTGATTTCTTTGGCTGGTTTTATACCATTGTAATTATTCCAACAATTTAATCACCCGTATGACTGGTCTTGTAGTGGTTGAATGATACAAAATTATTAAGATTTATTTTACCCAGATTGTTCCTATACCTTTCGTTCCTTTACTGTGTTCCCTTCGCTACTCAACTTACTGTAAAGTGGCCGGATGCTTGTTTTGCCGGGAGATCAACGCTAGCCTCAGGATGCAGTTAGTATAGCTCGAATGGCGGCTTAAAATATTTGTGATTTGGGTTTCAATATGGGTGTCAAGTATGGCCATCGTCGGGACATAATAGGCTACCATTTGAAGGAACAAGCTTGTTCGCTTCTGCCTGGCGATGAGCCCCGCGCTATGAATACGTGGAAATTCAGCTCAGGGCCAGTTTCAATGCGCCTCGGGTAGTAGAATGTCCGAGTAAGTATGAGGGTATGTAGGTAGTTATTGAGCGCTCGGGTGTTAGGATGTCCACCAGCCGTCAAGTGGGGCGATTCTTCTCAGTGTAATTGGTTTAGACACTCCCGAAATCCAAACATGGCGGCGCCACAGATCCACTCGTACCACATTGTGGAAAGTCAATTGCCGTATACCTACAATCCATGGATGTCACTGACCTGTGTAACTAAACTAAGTCTCAGCTCCCACTACATTGGAACGTGGCTGCCTATAAACACTCTCTATAAAAGGCAAGTAGCTAGTATGGATTTACATCTTTATCAATCACCAAAGCCAGCCTTACTTGTCACGCTCTATCAACTCACTACAATCGAACTTCCATTTCACTTGTAGAATGTCCATCAAAGCTCTCAACCAGAACTTCCCCTCCTTGGAATTTGCCCCTAACATGGACGAATATGGCCCATCTCACGCTTCCTTTGCTCCTCACGGTGAAGATGACCACCCTTATCCCAACCCGTGGTCTTTCCAGTCTGACAACGGTCAAGCCGGTCACATGGGCCATCCCTACGCGTCTATGTTGGGCCAATTCACCGACGAAGGTTTCTTCAATAAAGCCAAAAATGAAGCCAGTGATGCCTCCGCTTCTCGTAGGCCATACCCATACCCAGGCCCACAAGGTTATCAACCGCCATACCATTCCCCGGGCTACCCTCCGCAGCCGCACACCCATCGCGGCCCTACGGAGGGTAAAAACCGACACTCTTCCACCTGGGATGGCGACAAGTCCAAGCCCTCCCCTGGCAAATCACACCCCTACTCCGGACTAGCCGATGGCCACAAACCCCACCCCTATCCGGGTCATATCCCATGGAGACAGCCCTATCCCTCCCCATGGGAAGACGACAGCAAGTCCAAGCCCTCATTTCCTCTTCAACCGTACTACCAGTTTCCTGGTGGGTCGCATAGTGCGGGTCCATTCCACCAACAACCTTACAAATACCCGGGTAACCCTCACATCGGGCCCTCCTTCCCTCAGCAGCCATATCTGTTCCCCAACGGCCAACAAGGTGGATATGGTAACAGAGGATGGGGTGGGCATGGCTTCTTTGACCAGGCATCATTTGGCGGCTACGGACGAGGGGGCTTCGAAGCTCCTCACGCGTCTCACAGCCCCTGGGGATTCAGACAAAATATACCACAACAGCCACCCTACCCATTCCCGTCCACTGGATCCGAAAAATACAGGCCCGAGGTTGATGTATTCGACACCCCTGAGGCATTTGTGATTCACGTGCCCCTCTCCGGCGTGAAGAAGGAAGACATCGAAGTCAACTGGGATCCGAAGACGGTGGAACTCAGCATCACCGGAGTGATCAGCCGACCTGGATCTGAAGACCTAGTCAAGATGATTGTGCTGAATGAACGGAAGCTTGGGGCGTTCGAGCGTAATGTGCGATTGGGGCGTACAGCAAATCCACCCAAAGTAGATGGAGATGCAGTTTCTGCCAGGTTGGAGGATGGGGTTCTTGTTATTGAGGTGCCGAAGACGGAGCCGGATGATGTTGACGTCAAGAAGGTTGAGGTTGGGTGATGGAGGTAAATGTACAATATTCTGACGTTTACACGGATCTTCCTGTCTTGTGTAGATCATCAAGAGAATAAACATTTTAAACTCCAAGTTAGTCTCAACTGTGCTAGTAGTTCTCCTTGTCGATGTAGCTGGAGTTTTAACCACAAGGCGACTCGGGAGTTAGAGGCCCTTCCCCCATGGTTCGTTGTTGTACTGACATATGCACGAAAGTGATTTGCTTATAGTCCGGGTAGCCTATGGAGCTATGTTATATTACTTCCGAGTATCCATAAAGCATCTGAGTAGCTGTGTGATTACCATCAACAATATGACCTTTTTGCTTAGGTCGACCGTGCATAATGAAGCAGAGAGAGCCCTTCTCCTAATAGCAACCGGGGATTGTGAATCTCCTCAGTAACCGTACCAAGGACTTAACATACCTACTGGGTATTGGTGTGCCCAACAGATGCAATATTTTCACCAGATGCAAAATCTAGAAATTAGGTATCTTTTGTATTGCATACCCATACAAAAGGTACTTAGGCATCCTGTAGGCACACCATACATTTTCTAGGCCCTCAAACTAGCTAGAATAGTAGAAAGTGAACTGATATATAGTGCCAGTCTAGCTTAATTGATTTAATGGTAGCATTAATTTTTGTTATCTAACATGGAAGAAGAATATTCATTTAGAAATAACACTATATGGAGTATGTAATGGCTCTAGTATACTTAATATTCCTTACCAAAGTTTGTTCAAATAATATAGACTACCTTTACACTATAATATCTATCTTCTTATATCTTCCCTAACTAGTTCGAGGGCCGAGAAAATGTATGGTATGCCTACAGGATGCCTAGGTACCTTTTGTATGGGTATGCAATACAAAAGATACATAATTTCTAGATTTTGCATCTGGTGAAAATATTGCATCTGCTGGGGCACACCAATACCCAGTAGGTATGTTGGGCCCTTGGCACGGTTATCATTTGCGTAGAAAATCGCTTAATCTTCATATAAAATCTGTTCACTTGACATGATCAAATTACTCTGTAGAGAGAATGAAGTTCGTACAAAGTACGAAGTACGGAGTCCCCCGTGGTGATCTGCACGCTCAGGCCTTTAAGGGGAATGAAAATTAGGAAGACCCCTGTCAAGCAACGAATAGGGAATAACAACCCGTAGCCTATTTGCGAACGATTCAATTGATGTATCGCAATTCCAGGCAGTTCCAGTGAGATTTTTCCAAAGTCAAAGTTCAATAGGGGCTATCCGCTGCACGATGGCATCATCGGTCAACTGTCAACTCCGATCTCATGGAGTTCACTAGCCCATCGATCGATCTGCCTTTTTGTCATTATGACCTCCCATATTGTCTTTGTATTTTGTCGTAGACTTTTCATTGTGTCTATTGTATGGCTCTTATTCAGAGAACGCTGGGGCAATCAATTGATGTATCATTCTAGAGGGGTCTCAGTAGGAAAACATTTCCGACCGACTATTAAAGAAAAGGTCTGTTTCCAGGTTGCAATATAGGGGCTTCTCGTATTTTCCTTACTCAAAAGATGTCGCGTACAGATTTCCATGACCTCCAGGGGTTCAATGGGCTCCATGGGCTCCATGATGGGCTAAGAAGCCCCGATGCAGAGTCATTGCGCTCATTCACCGAGACAATCCAAGACGAATACCATGAATGGGTCAGCGAGTCTGGTCGAATTTCGCGGTAAGTCGAACTCAGTATATGAACTCTGAAATGGAATACGCTGACAAAACAGAACTGATCAATTACTGGACAATTTCCCCCAACCACCAAGGTCGGAAAGCTTAGATGCGATTGAAGAGGAAGAGATGGAAGTGTATCCCACACCAAAACCTTCTATCAAGAACCTGCGTCGCCATGCGACGGCCAATGATCTCCCTCTTCTACAACAAATCAACCCGAATGAGGGAGCGCCAGAGTTTAACCCTGTCAGCGAAGAGAACGGCTCATATGATCTGATTGCGCCCTACGACGGCGGCGATTTACCACTATACAAGCTGGAACGAATTGCAGACATCATGTTCTCGTCCGAGCATATGCTCACAATCCTAAACAGTCCCCGGTATCTAGCTCGGTTTCGGGATTTTCTTCTCGAAGAACGCCCGCGCTCGATTTCTACCCTCACATACTATCTCAATGCCTGCAAAGCGCTCAAGGCAATTCAATATGCTAATGCGCTCGTCCGTCTCTCGGTCGATGTGCCCCCTCCAGTGGTTCAGACAGACGGGGAAGCCGCTGGGGTGACGGTGAACCGGGTTTTAGAGCAGCGCGTTGTAGACGGGTTGTTAGCTCTCACTGCCGAGGAACTCCCTGCATTCATAACGTCAAGATGTATCACCATCACAAGCAAGATTGTCGAGCAGCGAATCCGAGGAAGTTTGCCAATGAAGTTCCGCGGGACTTCGAATGCGCTGGCAGAAGTATTTTGCTTGACGGACCCATCGCGACCTGATAATCCAATTATTTTCGCATCGGAGGGTATGTCTTTCGATCCCGTTGTACGAATCGGACTAATAAAACCAGAGTTCCATAGAACAACACAGTACGGCATGGATTACGTACTTGGTCGAAATTGTCGCTTCTTACAAGGCCCAAAGACAAATGCGAACAGTGTTCGTCGTCTTCGCGAAGCTATCCATGCTGGCCGGCATCACTCGGAGATGTTTCTCAACTAGTACGTTCTAAATTCATCCTTTCCCAATTCAGTCACCAAGACACTAACATAACCAGTCGACGCGACGGCTCTCCATTCATGAACCTCCTCCAGTGCGCCCCACTATGCGACAGTCACGGCCGTGTCAAATACTTCATCGGCGCACAGATCGACGTCTCAGGACTCGCAATGGAGGGAGCCTCGATGGAATCCTTGATGGAACTACAGCACAAACACCGCGATCCCGATGAGGACAGCATCGCCGAGCCACCAGAACCAGAAGAGAAGGATGAGTTCCGGGAACTCACTGAACTGTTCAGTCCGCGGGAACTCTCCGCCGTTCAACAGCATGGTGGACACCTATTCCAGCCTGCGAAAAACATGACGTCCCCGCATCATCCACGATCGTGGTTGCAGCCGGATGTATCGCTCGAAAGAGAGACTGAAGCGGTTCGTCTACAGGATATTAAATCTCCCTTTTCCCGGATGTCATTTGTGGGCGTGTATGAGAATGTAAGCGACATTATTTTCATTTCCATGCTTTGATTACTTGATTGCAGACACAACATACTAACATCAAACAGTATCTCCTCGTTCGTCCCTATCCTTCCCTCCGGATTCTGTTCACATCACCCGCCCTGCAGATCCCCGGGATGTTGCAATCACCCTTCCTATCGCGTATTGGCAGTTCCTCGGCAGTAAAAGATGACCTGCTACAAGCTATGAAGGTTGGTCGTAGTGTCACTGCGCGTATCAAGTGGGCGACGCGATCCAATCCCGATGGGCGCAATCGCTGGGTCCATTGCACGCCTCTACTCGCGAGTAATGGTCAAGTGGGTGTTTGGATGGTTGTAGTTGTGGATGATGGGTGATGGGGACAAGTAGGTATTTCATTAGCGCACTTATTTTAATAGTCTAGATTTCTCATGTATATATATATTTATTGTGATACATCCAAAATATTTTCAGCTCTGCACGGAGCACTAAGTATCTTGATATCCACTACCAGAACCTATTTCAATAATCACTAGGGTTCTCAGCCGCACCTGAAGCAACATCTTGGTACTCGTTGAAAATGGAGTGGGATGCAATGCACCTCGGTGCAGATGCTGTCACACGTGGGACAGTGAACGAATGAGCTGATTGTGTCTAATGCAGGTTGTTTGGATACTGTTACAATTGAATTGACATGTCTAACTTGCTCTTCTCTTTCAAATAATTCCATTGTTGCCGCATTTCAAATCTAGATAATGATGTATTCGTATCTCCCCTTGCACATTAGAAGCGTACTCGTGTAAACACCTTTGGCTAGTATAGCATTAATATCCAAAGACAACCAATCAACTGCCCGGGTGGTCTAGTGGAATGATTCGCGTTTAGGGAGTCACCCTGAACAATTACTTTAATACGCGAGGTCCCCGGTTCGATCCCGGGCTCGGGCCAGTCTTCTTTTTTTGTTTGGTTGTTTTTTTGTTCTTTGTTTTTGCCGCGTGATGGTAGACCGCCATCTGATCCACAACAAGATTTATTATCTTTAGAGCCGTAATGTAAGACTGATTTAGTCCTAGGGGACTGCTAGGAGGCGCACCCCTAATATAAATCTTACACAATATATGGAACACAACGCTGAAAGATGTCAATGAAATTGGGATCACCCCGTATCCCAGAAGTCCTCATTCACAGGAAACCTTATGAGCTCTTGATAGTAGAATATCACGCTCCTTAGAATTCATTGTTGCAGCAAGCATCTCTTCAGTCACCTCAATGTTAGGATTGCGATCGAATAACATTTCGAGGATATTGTTGAACTTGGCGTCGCCTTCCTCTGGACGGAATCGTGCTTCCAAAAGACCCTGTATCACGGCAATTGTTGGAGTAGCAGAAATGTCTCCATCAAGTAAGACTTCCAAGTAGTCTTTACCCAGCCATGAGTCACTTCGAGCGAAGGTTTTGAAAAGGGCCTCCGTGACTCCACATCGCGGGTTGTGTTGTAGCAGAACCTCCAGAATTTCTGGGCTGCTTGCTGCTTCGAGAATATCTTCGGTGACATATATTCCATTCGAGTGGGAAAGTAGCATCGCCAATCTGTTCTCGGGATCTCCAGAGCCATAGCATTTAGCAGCATGTTTGATGACTTCAATTGTCACTTGCGCTGTAGGATCGTGCTTGAGCAGCCGCTCTGTCAGTTCTTCCCGTAACTCGCTGCCACACTTGTCATCGACAGTCACTGCTAGCACGAGGTCTTCAGGTCTGACTTTTAGGTTTGCAGCGCTTTGGAGGATGATTTCAAGAGTGTCCTCAGCTATACTTGGCTTATGGCTCGTCATGTTTGATGAAAGCAGAGCAGATACCGGACTCTCAGATTCGCTACCGTTGGCATTAACATCAGCTCGATGTTTCAAAAGAGCCCGGACTGTTTTTGTCTTGTTCTGGTTTTCCTGGTGACAAGCCAAATTGAGGGCAGTGCCAAACTCTGCAGAGAACAAGTTGGCATCAATCCCTTGACCCAGGAGATATACGATGGTGTTTTGTTGCTTGGCGTACACAGCAGCGATGAGAGCAGAGTCAAAGTAGCCTCCCACAGTATTAATATCTACTCCGGTTTGAAGAAGCAGTTGTAGAATGGGAATGCTTCCAATGAAAGCAGCAAGGTGCAGAGGTGGACCAATTGGTCGTTCTTTAGCATCAGCTGTCGCTCCTGCGCTTACTAAAGCTAGGACGTTGGATTCAGACGCAACAATGAGATCCTGGCGGCTAACACGTGAAGCCCCATAATAATTGTTGGAAAGTGTCTGTAAGGGGGACCGAGTTGGAACCATGTCATGAAAGGGCTTGTCGTCAGCAATCAACCCAGATGCAATGTAACCCTCGAGGGCGGCTTGAATAGGTGTGCCGTACTTTAGATCCTCCTCGTGAACGGTAGCGCCACTTTTGATCAGAAGTGGCACCAGTTCCACTCTTTGATAATAGCATGCAATATGCAATGGCTGTCCACCAGATTCAAAGTTGAAATTGACATCAATACCGTGATACAACATGAGTTCGACTGCATCTGTTGATCCCAGAACACATGCATGGTGCAGCAGGGACGGGATTTTGGGAAGATCTTGAATTAGACAGACAAGCGTGTCTCCGCAACCTTTTCTCAGCACTTCGGGGACAGCTTCTTCAAATGCAGAAATGAAATCCTCTGACCCTGATTCCGCCTTCAATCTTCCGCGAAGTAATCGAGTAGATGGAATAGGATCCTTGCCTCTGCATGCTTCTCTCAGAGCATTGACGCCTCGAGACGGGTCATAGATCGTAGCCCCAGCATCCAAGAGCTGGTCCAGGACCACCAGATGACCAGCCCTTGCGGCAACCTCTATAGGGGTCAAAGATCCTCCGACTCGTTTCTCGATATCTGCATTTCCCTCCAGCAAAATCGAGACCAGATCATTTCTGCCCCGGGCGCAAGCTTTATGTAGAGCACTTGCCTCTTCACTTGCCACCAGCACCTCGTTATTCGATGATTCGCGCCTTTGCCCATCTATATTCACGTTTGCCCCTCGCTGCAAAAGATCCTTGACAAATTCAAGATTGCTCTGGCCACAAGCTGCAACTAGGGGAGGCGACACAAATGGCGGAGAAATGTTGAAATTGGCACCCGCATCGAGCAGAAGGTTTGCTATTTCAAAATATCCACGATCTATTGCCAGTTGTAGAGCTGCAGAATTAGCAGAAGTAATGGAGGGGAACGAGGCTTGTGTATAGACGTCAATGTCAGCCCCGTGATCAAGCAGAATACGGGCAGTTCGTGTATGTCCACCTATGACTGCGATCTGGAGAGCGGTTCCGTGAAGTGGATGAGATATGTTGACATCAGCTCCTGTAGTAACAAGTAGCTGCACACAGTCATTATGTCCAAATGCAGCAGCAGCTATGAGAGCATGGCTGAAGAAATCTACGGGTGTATTGACGTCAACTCCCCTCTCAACCAGCAGTTGGATGAAGTCTGCGTTACCAACAGTCGCCGCCATTTCGAGCACTAGGCGAAACTGACGATCAGTGGCAGATATGTTTGGCTTCGACTCAAGAAGTAGCCTGATGACCGCCCCAGGTCCCGTGGTAAAGACCTCCTCAACTGATTCGCAATCTTTGAAACAGCCCCCTCCTTCAAAGAACCGGAGTGCCGTCTGTAGCAAAGGATATCGACCCTCAGCCTCGGCTTCTTCGATGTAAGACTCTGGCCCGGCGTTCAACAGCAACGATACCATGGGAAAGCACATGGTTTCTCTGGAAAGAGCCCAATGCAGTGGCGTGAGACCATCTTCCCCTACCACATTGACATCAACATCATGTAATATGAGAAGCTGTAGAACGGCGAAGTGCTTTTTATCCAACGCACGGGGCCCTTCGGAATCACCTCGCCGAAATTGAAACTGCCGAGGGCTTTTTAGACACGCTTGCAAAGCTGTCCATTTGCCGCAATTTTTGTAATACACAGAAAAACGTGAGTCTGTGGGCTCAATTAGAGGCCTTTGTTCGTCGGTGTCTTTGTCCAGACATAGACCCGCCAAAGCAGGGTTTTCATCAACCTTCATCTCGCTATCAGCGCGCGCATTGACACAAGCACCAGCCTCAATTAAGAAAGAAGCAGCATCGAATTCCCCCTCTGCACACGCAAAACACAAACACGTGTCCAGCAATGTCTGACAACAATCGAGATTTTTGATTTCCGGGAGAAGAACACTAAGTACCCCTCGATATCCTTTGTAGGCAGCGTTGATAAATAACACTTTCAAATGTTCCGGGCTGCATGGCGAGGAAACATGACCAAGAAGGGATTGAGACTGGACGGCATGGCCGTAGAAGCTGGCCCCACGAAATGCGACAAGATAATCCTCGCTTTGAATGGAATTTGCAAAGTCGCTTCCGATAATTAATTGCACAACATCTGTTGAGCCGTTAGATGCAGCAATTTGAAATGCCTGCCGCACGACTTGCCCGTCAATGTAGTTGCCATCTTGGTCTAAAGACTTCAGAACACCGACACTGTTAAACTTGGCAGCATGTTTGAACGCGAGGGCCACGAGTGCGTGCCTTTCTTTATCCATCACATGTGAAAGACAATACCGAACACTTGAAATCTGGTTCTCTCGAGATCCATATCTTAAAACCAGAAGCGCATTATCCCAGCTCAAAACGTCCGAGTCTGCTACGTGGTGGATAAGGATCTGAATGATCGTGATTTGGGCAGTTTGCGCTGCTGCCATGAGAGCATTCAAGATTTTCCAGTTTTTTTCAATGTCAGATGCCAATATGATCTTCAATACCCCGACATGACCGTGATATGCGGCTTTTTCGAGCGCCAATTCAAGCTCGGCTTGGCCAAGTTTGATCTTTTCTCTCTCAGTTACCATGCATTGCACAACAAGATCCCAACCCTTTGACGCCGCCAATACCAATGAGCTGTATTCCACTGGCGTAGGGGCTTTTAAACCTCGGACCGGGGTAGCCGTGTTGCGGTTTCGTGGAGTTGAAGATATACCATCCTTCAAAGTGTTGAATGATACCCCTAGTCCCGGGTCGGGTAAGGGAAGAGAGAGCAGGTTGTTCTCCTTCTCCTTGTGGACGAGGCTACCATGTGCATCATTCCAAGCTGTCCAAAGGAGATTCTGGTACAAGCCTTTCATGATCGATCGAACGTGGCCTTGGGGCAACTGGAAGCCCTTTTCAATGAAGAGGCCCACCACGGCATGATGGCCTGCTTCTGCGGCAGTAAGAAAGGCATCTTTATACCTGCCTTTGGCAGCGATCCGCGCACCAGCATTTATCAGAGCCTCTGCCACCTCAAGGTGTCCACGAGATGCGGCAGCCTGAAGAGGATTCCCATAGTAGCCCCCTTGGGCATTAACGTCTGCTTTATTTTGGATCAAGAATTGCGTGATTGACCAGTGGCCATTCATAGCTGCAGCCTGGAGGGCATCGCCAAATTTCCCAGGGGCGTTAATGCTTGCCCCTCGAGCAATCAACAGGCGAACAGCCATTTCATGGCCCATGAGACTGGCCGCTCGAAGGGGACTCCCAAGTGGCCCCTCCTCTTCAATACTGGCTCCTTGGTCCAAGCAAAATGAAAGGATGTCAACATGTCCCATACAAGCTGCATTTGCGACTGAATTGTCAAGAAACTGTAGCTTCGAGCAATATCTCTTGATAAATGAGAGTTGACCCTTCAAGATAGCCATGTCTAGTATTCTTGACTGGGCTTCATTTGCGTTACTTAATGACGGATGTTCTTTGTCCAGCCATTGCACTAGCTTGAACATACCTGCTCTGGATGCTTGCTCGGCTGTCTTGGTATAGGTCTCATGGTCCGGGAGCTCAACAGAGTTCTGCAAAAGAAACAAAGCTACATTCTCATGCCCTGAGATCAAGGCCTTCTGAACAGCCAATCCCACATCATCCGAGGATATAGAAGTTGATTGGTGACTGAGAAGTAAATTTGTAGCACTGACATGGCCATTGGCACAAGCGGCATTGACTGAGTTCCCATGCTTCCCTCCTTCGAGGCCCACATCAGCACCATAAGAAAGTAGTATCCGGATAATCTCATCGTGGCCAAATTTCGCAGCTAGATATAGCGGGGTGTGACCGGTTGTAGATTTCTTGTTCACATCGAAGCCTTCTCTAGTCACAACAGACTGAACAATCTCTTCAATTCCATAGATACAACCTGCAAAAAGAGGTGTCATTTGCATACTTGTCACGGAGTTGAGCTCGGCTTTTAAAGGATGATCTGGAGAAAGTAGCCCTGCTGCAATATGGACGGTATCAAGCCAAGCCATAAAAGATAGGTTTGTTTCTCCGTCGTTGTTAAAGGCAAATTTTTCCAGTTTTGAGAGAATAGGGCTATGATCATTGCCAATGGCTGCATTTTGATAATGTTGAGTCCAATATAGGGCAGCGTAAAGCACAAAATTGTCCTTGGGGTTGAAGGTATCCTCGAGGTTGGACGGTGTGTCTTGGATGCAAGCATTCAAACACCCTGTGGCAGCTATAGTGTTGATGCAAGGCACACTAAATTCAGGTTTTGTTTTCAGATATTCAATGAATGAAAAGTGGACAAATCGCAGGGTGTTCAACTTGGAGTCCACATAAATCAAGTTGAAGCAGAAATCGAGAAGCTCAGGCAATGTGAAATTCCGTTGCTCCTCTGGGCTTGACATGGATACTGTAAAAAGCAAGGCTTGGGGCGTCAATGGTTCATGCATGCACAGCAGCCAAGAGAATGCTCGATTGGCAATATCGTATGCACTGGGGTCGGCTTCATGGAGATGACCTAGCATCTCAGAGTACAAATCGGAGAGACTTTCACATGTGGCCTTGGATGAGTCCTGAATCGATGCCACAACACTAGCCCTGGTCTTGAGTCGAAAGAAGCAATTCAATTGAAGAGTGACCCAAAGAAACATTCCGCGTGAGCGGTTCAAGAGAAATGCAATCAATTCTTCTTGTAAGTCTCGTGGAACCTCGCCACCGAGTAGGCACAGGGTGGAAATTCCCAATAACACTTTGTTCTTTACGAATAACTCTATGTCCAGCCGTGTATCATTTTCTTCCACGCGTAGCATGAGAGCATCTGAAAGACGGCCCAAAATGTTCCTATCTTCTCTGCCCGACAGAAATATTTTGACGACGCTGGCAGACTCGTCCCTTATTCGCTTCAATGCATCTAGAAGCTCATAGCGTCGAGTTTCTTCGATTTCGTCGACACCATCAACAACCAAAATTGCAGGGTTCGAGCCAAGAACTCCAAGAATCAAGTCGGCACATTGCGAAATTTTCAACTTAGGGACATCGAACCCATCGAGGTTGGCTTCCGCCGCTTTCCGTTGATACTCAAGCAGCACATGTTCATGGACTTCGAGCTTTTGTCTATCAATGACAGCAACCTGTCTAGTAAGACAGCCCATTGTTTCTTCAGGGTCAGCCCAGTATCTCCCCATCTTGCTATCGCCACAATAAAAGTAGGCAACCGGTGCTGCGAGGGGATTTTGGGACTTGGATCTCAGAAAGGAATCCACTACTGAAGATGTAAGACTGGTTTTCCCGGAACCCGGAATTCCATGAAGGAGAAGAATCGAAGATGTGCTTGTTTCATTCCACTCTGTATATCGAGGGTGTTTGAATAGCCACTCTGTCGATCCTTGCAGTCTCGCCTCCGAATGCCTCGCATGGTGCTGCAAGTACGGCACAGATGACATCCATGTCAACAGCTGTCGAAACTGCTGTTCTTCCACACTTTTCGCGTAGATTGTTGACGCGTCGACTACCCGGCTGAACGGCGTTTGAATGGATTTTGGAATAGTTTGGGTTTTGTGCATATCATCTTGAATTTGTAGTTGAACCTCGGCGTCGGAAATTCGAGTAAGCCTGTCCACTTCTGTGTCCAATTCTGCGATTTTCTCTAGCTCTTCATTCTGTGATGTTTGAAAAACACTGTTCACGAGACGTGTTCTTGCAGAGTGGCTAAAATATTCCACGGCATTACCTAAGAAGTGCAGTATTTGCGTATATAAGCTCACCAATCGACCTTTCAGCTCGGATTGTACTGCCAATGTTCGTTTCGTGTAAAGAGACTCAAAGGCAGCATACCGAGATATCATCCGAGATGCCACTTCCAAGCCATGAATGGTAGACTCGAAACAGATACTGTCGCTCATACAGACCTTATTTCGTCAGCATGATACAAAAAGGATCATTTTCAAGAATTTCTTGTGTATGTCTCATGTTACCTGTAGCAAGAATCGTACTGCTGCCCACGCCAGGGTGGCTGGGGCGGGGTCAAACTGGACAGCCGTGTCTCCAATAGCCTTAAATTTGTATACCCATGCGATGATCTTGTCGAATAAATCTCGAAGAACAATTGTTTTACCGCCCAAGTTGACTTTCCACCGCTTCACAAGGCAGAGGGTTTTCTTCAACTCAGCCTCCCGTAGTAGCGCAGTTAACACATCAGCTTTCTCTTCTCTGGCTCTGATCAGGCAGCTCTTGAGCTTTGGGCTTAGCCCGTTAAATGCCTCCTGCCATTCATCCATAATCAGAAGTCAGACATGTAGCGAAAGGGGATGTCGCTCTGAGGTTAATCAATCAGCTTGCCTATTTTGTAGGGGGCTGAGACAGCATTTCAATGCGGGGGACCGAGCGCTTTCTATATGGAGCTTTTCTTCCGACATCGCCGGAATATACTCCCAAAAAGTCTTCCAAAAAGACATCACAAGGTCGCATAAGCGGTCGACCATCCTTGTGCTGTGGGTTGGTTCTCATGTTTTTAGGTGGATGGGTGAAGGAAAGGAAGGTGAAAATAGGTACCCAGCAGCCCGTCTGCGTCATCACCTCAGCAAATTCCTCCAAACATGCTGAGTCTAGACAGGTTCATACCCCTAGTGGGTTATGGGAAGTATGGTATTCTCCATCCCCTCGTTAACATTGCACTCGCTGACCAACTCTGGCACTCAGGGAGCCAACCCAGCCAGCCCCAGTTATTCATGAAACAATGCACGTTTCACGCATGTAGCCTGGCAAGCCAGGTAAGGGACTTTCCTAGACCTTCACTAGAGGCTTTGTGGGGTATTTAATGTCTCCGGTCCGGTTATGGAAAAGGAATCGACTGCGAGTTTAGTCGCCGGGATAAAATCAGAGAGCGCACTGGCTGCTTGGCTGCTGAGCACTAATATCACCGAGCTCTTGTGGCACTTTGTTTCATGCTCATCCGTGCCAGAATGTTATGCTGGAGAGGTCTTCGCGTGATATGTGACAGCTTACGTATCTCCTACCCCATTTCCCAAGGACAACGCTTGTTAGCTTGGACGAATGAACATCCCATGATGCATATTGTGCTGTCTTGTTTCGGAAACCAACCACTTAGTTGAAATTTTACAACGAGAGAGTAAATTGGGAATCCAAGACATAACACTGACAGACCGAAACATGGCCCACCTCATTCTCTATGTATGTAACAAATCATTCATATAAATTCATCAAATCATATCAATCCAGGCCCCAGCCGCGTACACGGCGGAACACGAATGCTCGGTCATTGCGAAGACCGAACTCTCCCCAGTCATCCGTCAGTCTGTTGTAACTCCAGAAGCCCTTCCAGGCTAGTTTGGTGTTTTTCGATGGGTTGGGAGGAGCCGGCCCGACTTGAGCGGATTTCGGTACAACCGAGGAACGTAGCGATAGATGCATCGTGTAAACGTACTTGGGATCTACACCTTCTGTTTCAATGATGAGATCCCGCTCGTCAGAAAGCAGCGATTTCTGATCAGACGCTGTATCGGGTTTCCAGGCTGCGGCGGGGGTTTCGGAAGTTTCCGGAGTGTCAACGGGCGAGGCCAAATGCCACCGGCCCCGAAGCCCATGCTTCAACGTATTCAAGGCAACTGGTGGTACGGCATCGGTGGCTCCAGAGAGGGTATGACCCGCATCAGAGGGGCGTCGTTGGTGCTTTCGGTGCGCTGGTGTGCGCGCCGCCATCACATTTTCTTTGCTGATGTGAGGGACCACATCGACTGGCTCCGTTGAAGTGAGCAATGAGATTACTGAGCCATCCGGGTAAAACCGCAGATAGCGGTAGTAAGTCACAATGTGGATGGGACTATTCCACGACAGATTCGTGTACGCAGATGCCGCACCAGCCCGAGTATAGTTGACCGTGCTAATGTAGATGCCTGTGAAACGAATCCGAGGAAGGGTCTGGAACACTTGGCTCCATGAAGACAGCGGCGAGGGAATTTCCACAGGCCCTTCCTTGGGAAATGGAGTGTACCGCGGCGCAAGGGTGTATATTGGTTCCCCATGCAGCTCGCATGCAAAGTCATAATGCATCCCCTCGAAGCCGAATTCCCGGCCTTGACAGATCCGTCTCCAGATCTGCTGCTCATGGGCGAAATGGTAGGCCATCCGCTTACAGACCAGTGCCATCCGACCGAAGGCCGATGGGTCATCTGTCGCCACATGTCGCAAAATCTCCACTAGCACTTCCGACGGTACGGTGGCAATCGGGCAAGGCGGCGGTGGTGTGTTTTCGACGATAGGATCCAACTGTGAAATTGGCAGGTGTGCAAATGACGCAATGAGCTCAGGTGTCGGAAGGGTCGGTACCTCTGTCGGCTGCTGGGTCGCAGAGACAGGGGCAGTGGGCGCGGGCAGATGCGGCTTCTTCCATACATGGGAATAGTGCTTATTGCGGTAGGACTTGTCGACGGCGGAATCTAACTGGACAGGAATGAGTAACTGGACCATAAGTACATTTGAAGCGATCAAGACTCACTCTATATGCCTTTCGGTAATGTGAAAGACTATCTCCCAAGTTTCCTTCAGCCTCCTTCTCGACCGCTCGTTCAAAGTGCTCTAGTGCAGACGTTGGTTCTGTCACCTCTCGACGTGAGAAGTCATCCTCGGGTGATTTCACGCTCAGCTCTCCAACTTGTTGGGCCAGCTCATCCGGGTCGAAAGAAGCTAGCGGGGGACCCTCCTCCTCGATCTCTTTCCGGTGAGATGCCTCATGACGTGTAGGCGGAAGACGAGCCGGAGGCGGGGCAGTCGAAGTCGGAGTCGCAGGAGCTGGAGGGGCAGCCTTGGGTCTTGATCGACGAGTGACCTCCTCACGCCACTGTTTTCGGAACGACTCAAGCTCGTCGTTGTCGTCCATGGCGAGGTGGTGGTTGGAGGACGTTCAGATGTTTCTTGAGTCCATGACACCCGTGGATGCCGATCTCAGGCTTGGCATCCCCAGGGCCCACTTCTCTCTTCTCTTCTCCCCATGTTTTATTGATTTATTGAGTGGACTGCAATTCTTTGCAATGACAGCAACCCAGCTTAAAATCGGACTTTCTATCCAAATGGATATAAGAGTGAATTGATTCATTGGACAGGAAACCACCCCCCAGATTTTCGATCGATTTGATCCCCCGTGAAATCTCATTTCATTTGCACTCCATCGACAATAAGCGCGTAATTATGAGTTCCATCTTTCGCCGTGGGCAATACAATCATTGGCCCTCCACCTGCTACAGAGCAGCGATAGACTTGTCAATTAAACCCAGTTGTTCCCGTAGCCGTGCCGAATCAGCTTCAATCCGCTGGCCTTCAGGGTACTGTCGCGCTGTTGTTTGAGAAGCTTCAGATCCTCTTCCCGTTGCTCATTTTTTCGGATACCGGAAGCTGCTAGCGGAGTTAGATGCTGGGGATTTGCCTCCTCTTGCTCGGGTAACACTTCATCCATGCCGTTAAGGCTTGCCTCCTCAGCTTTGCGCTTACCTATGCTCGTTAGTAACAATCAGGGTAATTCATAGACACTAAGCTGTCGCACCTTCGCTCAACCCTCCTTCTTAGCCTTGAGTAGTGGTGCCGACTGGTTGGCGGGTATGGGTCTCTGTGAGACGAAATCTCCAAGACAGCATATGCCTCATGGGCGGTGGAAAACCTGCTCCTTGGGAGGGCAGTAAATGTCTTTCTTTGTATGCCGCAAGACCTCCAGTCACGCCTTGCGAGGTTGAGGATTGTTTTCAGATGAATTGATAGCAAGTGATAGCTATAACACTTCGATCTACGTAAAGATCAAACATTTGTGGTAGTGAGATGACGAATCGCTATACCTCTAGCTACACATGGGGCAACAAATGCCATGATCGAATTCATCAAACAGTTTCTATTTTAAAATACCATTTATCTTATCACAAAATCTTAGTATTGTTAAGCATTTACTGGATTGAATGGGGTCGTAGATATATATCTTAGGTGCGGATCCGTACATACTCAGTGTTAGGGCTTACTACGATGTAGGTAATCTACAACCTTTATATTGCATTTTGGATGAGTTTGTAGCTAAGCGCAAATTGATGACTTTTCTCCTAGCAATATCAACTGTAATTAAGTTATGCGTGGCGATATGCCTAAAGGTAAATAACCCCATCTGTATGGAGATGTGTTATTCCATAGTCCAGAACTTAGCTTTCTCATTTGTTCAATCAATCATCTCATATTGCACCATACACCTCGATATCTCTCTTGAATTCCTCTTTTGACACAATCCCGCCAAGAAATAGAGTAATTGAGAGTTTACTATGCCCTAGAAATATGCAGATACACATGGGTTTTGTGGTTGCTCTGAGAGGAATGAGATTGGATCGCATTCCTTTGGCCGTTACATTTAAGTATTGTTGTTGTCTTCGCGAGATTCTATGGGCTATTTGTTTCAACCCTCCAAAGAATGAAGGCGTCGGAGAGTTAGGGCGCATTCCACGATCTGCGCCCCTACATTGACTTGTACTCAGCTCAATACGTTATACGTATAGTCGTCCCTCGCTAGCACTGATATTCCTCAGCGGTACCCTATGGTGCGATCTTCTAGGGGGTTAGAATGTTAATTGTTTCTTGCGCAACAACACTACACGGTTGGTGAGGGAGTATTGTTCCGTTATTATAAAGTACAAATATCAGTTTCGCTCGTGTAAATCAAGCCATCCATTCTTGTCATTTTAACCAAACCCTCATCATAATGAAGGCTACAACGGCAGCCTCAGTTTTGGCCTTGATTTGGGAGGGAGCTACTGCGCAAGACTACAATGCTGCACCCCCAGATCTCGCCACTCTCCCTGAACTCTCTTTGTTTGAGACTTGGAGGCCGCATACACATGTTCTCCCACCCAATGGTCAGATCGGCGACCCATGCGCCCACTATGTAGATCCCGAGACAGGGCGCTTCCACGTCGGATTTCTGCACAATGGTACCGGAATTGCCGCTGTTCTGACAGAGGATCTTGTTCATTATTACGATGTGAGGCCTAATGGCAACTACTCCATCGTGGCTGGCGGTCCCAACGACCCCCTCGCTGTTTTTGATGGCTCCGTCATCCCCAGTGGAGTTGACGGCAAACCGACGCTTTTATACACATCTGTCTCGGCATTGCCAATCCATTGGACGCTTCCTTATACCCGAGGAAGTGAATCACAGTCTCTCGCAGTTACCTACGACGGGGGAAAGAACTTCACCAAGCTGGAAATCCCGCCTGTTATTCCCGAGCCCCCGGTGGGCGTGGATGTAACAGGTTTCCGCGACCCGTACGTTTTCCAAAATGCGGAATTCGACAAATCCCTCGGCAATGCCGAAGGTACTTGGTACGCGACCATTTCGGGTGGCGTTCATGACGTTGGGCCTGGTTTGTTCCTCTATGAGAACACGAGTCCCGACTTTGAGCAGTGGGAGTATCTTGGAGAATGGTACCATGAGCCTGCCAATTCGACATGGGGAAACGGGGACTGGTCTAAGGTCTTTGGCTACAATTTTGAGACTACCAACGTCTTCGGCCTCACCAGAGAAGGATACAGCTACAGTGGAAGCCCTTTCCTGACCATTGCCGTGGAGAGCTCATACGTACCCATTCAGGACTCAGTCTCCTCACTTCATGCCCAGCTTTGGGCAGCAGGGTCAGTTGGAGTTCCGGAGGGTGAAAACATCACACTCACCCCTGACATGGTTGGTGTCTTTGACTGGGGCTTGGCTTCCTATGCAGCAGCAGGCAAAGTCGTACCAGCGTCTTCTGAGCCATCCACTGCCAGCGGCGCCCCTGACCGTTTTATCAGCTATGTCTGGCTGACTGGGGATGTCTTCGGAGGAGTCGTGGGCTTCCCATCTGCGCAGCAAGGATGGCAAAACACCTTGTTGACAGCGCGCGAGTTGTCTATTAAAGCCATCCCTAACGTTGTCAACAATGATCTTGTGAAAGAGACTGGCTCATGGCGTGTGGCCGCTGACTCTGACTCCACTGGCAACTGTGTTGAACTCGAAACTCTCGGAATCAAGATTGCTCGCGAGACTTACGACGCTATGACTGCTGCCCCTAGCTTCACCGAGGCAGACAAGACCCTCACAAGTGCAGGTGTCACTCCCTTCACCCGCTCCCCAAAAACCAAGTTCTTTGTGCTGGAAGCTGAGATCAGCTTTAATGCACGCGCTTCTGACCTGCAAGCCGGTTTCCAGATCCTGGCATCCGAGTTTGAGTCCACCACCATTTATTATCAGTTCTCTAACGAGTCCATCATGATTGACCGTTCCAAGACAAGTGCTGCTGCAGACACGACCACCGGTATTGATGCGTCACCGGAGTCTGGACGCCTTCGTCTGTTTGACATCAACGACAGCTGTGGCAACAATGGTGGTAACAGCAGCGGCCACGGTGGTCAGGGCGTCTACGGTGGTCATGGTGGCCAGGGTGGCTACGCCGGCCATGGAGACCACAACTGTGGAGAAAAGGGCGAGCAGGGTGAACATCATTCGACTAAATGCAAGTCTGAGGCTGCGTCGGGCAGCAATACCCACACTTCTCGTTCGACTGAAGTTGGCGGGGAGCATATTGAGACTCTAAGCCTAACTATTGTTGTGGACAACTCTGTCCTGGAGGTCTATGCCAACTCTCGCTTTGTACTGTCTACCTGGGTCCGGTATGTTTTCCTTATCATTTTGCTTTCACTTTTCACAGAACCTAAACTAATTTTATGATAGCCCCTGGTACCAAAACTCGACCGAGATTCGCTTCTTCCAAAACGGGGAGGGTGAAGCATCTTTCAGCAACATTCGCGTTGCTGATGGACTGTATGATGCTTACCCGGACAGAACACAGTGAATTATACAACATGACTTGGTATTTTAGCAGGGTGTTTGTGGTCTGCAACTCTCACAACCAATCCAGAAGAAAGAGATGCAGGAGAAGAGTTGTTGATTGGAAGGAACAAGCTCTTATAATTAGTTACAAATAATATATGACCAATTAATGATGAGATAGTCGAATGAGTGCTTCTTCCGAGGAACGTATCTACTATGTGTTACGACGCAGTTCTTGATGTTCAACCAGAATTCCCATACGAAACAGATAGAAATGTGCCCTAAACTCAGATAACCTTAAAGGCTTCCTTGGTTGTACTCCTCGAAGCACCATGAGGGTCCTAGAAGCAGCCAATCATATACCGATATCCCCTTGATCAGCCCCACTCCCGTCAACTACCATTTTTGGAAGTCAATATCGCCACAGAGCCCTGAGGGCACATTGTAATAAGAAGATTGTATCCACTATTTTCCGACTTAGGAACTTGAAGGGAGAGGGGCCAAGTAACTGAGAATTATTCGAATCTCTCTATGTCTACTCCGTACGTTAAAAAGGAATAGTAGTGGTCCAGCGAAAAGTGTATCAAACCGAATTAGTATATTAGGTTAAGCTCCGCGCCTTTTTCGCTCTATCCACTTCACTTATTCCAAGATTTCTTAGCCTAAGTTCCTGTCTTCCACCCAGCCTGTCTCAATTCAACACATCTTCAGCACCTTCTCCTCATTTTCAATCATGGGCGGGATACAAGGGGCACAAGAGTTACTGCAAGCTGCGCACGTAGCTCCGGAGATATTCCAGCTGCGTCCGGACTACCGCGTTCTCTTGATGGTGGTAGAGGGCATTCCTCCAGGCCCAAGTGATGATTTCAGTGAGGCCCTTTTGATGGAGGCTGAGAGTTCCGTCAAGGCCAAGTTATCCAATTGTCCTGTTACCGAACTTCCGCACATCGCCGCATGGCGCGAGGCCTACAAAGCCTTCGGAGCGAAGCCGCAAAGAACGCGCAACAGCCTCGAGGCTTTGACTCGGCGCGCGCAGGATGGCTTGCCACGAGTCAACCGGCTGACCGACATCTACAACGCTATCTCCATCAAGTATCAGATCCCATTTGGAGGCGAGGATCTTGACAAATACGATGGATCGCCTTTCCTCGTCCGCGCAACTGGTCATGAGGAGTTCGAAACTTTTTCTGGCGGGAAGCCTCAAACGGAACTTGCAGCACCAGGCGAGCCTGTTTGGTGTGACGATAATGGTATTACTTGTCGTCGATGGAATTGGCGGCAAGGCCCACGAACTGCTTTGACCGATGATACCTCGCGCGTTTTGTTTATCCTGGATGCATTAGAGCCTTTGACAGACGATGTACTGGCTCAAGCTGCCGATGAGCTCGCCTTGGCGTTGCAAGGGCTATCCCCGGAGGTGGAAACAGTGCGCCGAATTATTGGTCCTTCAATTTAACCTCTCCTTGAGGGCCGTCTGCGAAACTAAGTAGGTATAAAAGAATTAATGTATATGGACATATCTATAACTCCAATTATTTAGATATGTGGTATTGTAGAATTCCATTAGGGGCGATTCCTAAGTTTCTGCATCGCAGAAACACCATTGTCAAATTTGGCCCAAATCGACTGCCGTAGACTCTTTTTAACATTCCTCAAAATGAAGAAAGTTGATACTCAAAAACCCGAAGGAATATTAACTTTTTGTAGCGTATTATCGCGGTGCATGCATTACTACATACATGTAGGTAGCGAACTAACTAGGGCTTTTAGGTTTCACCGCTTAGGTCTCTGCTTTACAGCAGCGACCTTTGTGGCCTTGCGAGGTCTTTTCAGCTGGTCCTTTCAGCTGGTCCTTTCAGCTGGCCTTTTGACTGGTCTTTTTAAGATGTATAGAAAGGGGGCAAAAAAAGCATACTTCGTGGAAAAGACCTTTTTGTACATCGTATATACTGTCTGATCTATTGCCTGGATTGAAAGTGGCTTGGTGCTTCCTATGGTGCTTTGGTATGGTGCCTGGGTCGATGCTGGGTATAGCGCCCGAGTCCTACTGTGCGAAGTGAGGTGTGACAAGGAGTGAATTGTTTCTGTTAGCTGTTTACATACAACCGCAGGTACCCATAATCTTGACATGTTCGAAATAAAGACGCCGAGGAGAGCACTGGGTAGAACCAGGCGAAGCAGGAGCGGTACCGAAATAGGAAGGTGCACCTTAAATTCTAGGTCGTGGGGTGGGGGGGCAGGGGGCTCGACCTAGCTAATATACCATAGGGGGATTGTCTCAATATAGCACTGCCCTAAATTTGATAAATTAGTCATTATGCTGGCTAAAGAAAGAGTTTTACTAGATATGATATCACCGGAGAATTACTAATTTCCGCTCAGGTTAGTCTTCCCATAAAGAAAGTGCGACATCGCTCAAAGCTCGACGATAACCGACACTGTCAACCCAGTGAACAAGCATGACGATTGCACGGTCTGCATCTGCCTTTGCTGCAATAAGAACGAGTGAAAACTCGTTTGTGAATACTAAAGATCCATCGCCCATGTGATTACTAAAATCATCAAGCCAGGCTTTGGATAGTGACTACACACTACGCTAACGTAGGCCAACGATGCGCTAATGCAAGGGAAAGGCGCACAGTCCTATGGATATTCAATTACAATATCCCGAAGTGCTTCTATTCGAAGGATCACACAGGATTGTAATAGCGTCGACATGGGTCGGGCCGTCCAGGTGCGTTGGACGTAACCTGAATAGTATTAGGCCAAATTATCGGTTGGATGAGGACTCTCAGTTCAAGTGAGACAACGGAAAGCTATTCCGTATGTTAGGGCCAAAAGATACGGACTCGCGATACTCCTATGAGAGTGAGTGTACGGAGTACTGGGGTTTAGTGAAAAGGCTGGTGCGCTAATCGCACCAGCAAAATGCGATTCAAACCTCTCAAGATTATTCATCGTCCATCAGTGGCGCCGTTGAGAAACCTTTACGCACATTATGCTCAGTCGTCAGGCCACGCGCCGAAACCGTCGGGACGATCTCGAGAAGCAATCATATTTAGAGGGAGCTTGGGGCCCAAGTGATCCAGCTTGAGCAGAGCTTTCAGGATCACAGAGGCAAGGGTTCACGACAACAGAGGTCCAGAATAACTTTTGTTACCCAGTCGAACCCCACTAGCACTTTTGACTGTATCAACCTGAAATCGATGGCTTTCTCCCACTTTTAGTACGCTCGGTACTAATGATAACGCAGTTTTCGATGAATTTAAGAATTCAAGACCTCCAGGAGAGAAGGGCTGCGCAAGGCAAGCCATTTTTTAGCCATAAAATCTCGAATGAGTCACTACGATCAAATCAACCAATACGATTGACGCAAGCGGATGGTCACTATCGCCGTGTGTTATTCTCAAAAGCAAAAAAATATTATGCAGTGATCGTCACAGAAGCCAAGAGTCTTGCAGTAGAAAGTCGTGTAATTCTGCTGGATATACCAGCCAATAGGACCAAAGTCACCAATGCTGGCCATGCACGGCGCTAGCATATGTACGACACCCCGCCCGAAATGCCTCGAAATGTTTGGCCAGCGTCAATGTCAGGGACCAAACCCCAATCACATCTCTTCCACTTGGTATTTTCCATGAATCAAGTCGGAGTGCATGTTAGACATGTCACAATCGTTGAGCTCGGCCCCACGCTTGAAGCCGGAGGTACGCCTCGCTCAGGCTGTTTCACAGTTCGAGGCCGAACTATCCAATGAGCAAAAAGTGAATTTCCGTGCCTGGAGAACTAAATCAATTGAATCTCCCCCTAGTATTCAAGATGTCATACAACTCACCGCGGAGATTGATCGTATCTCGGAAAAGCGACGCCGGTGCTTAGGGCCGCGACTTATGAACATCCTCCAAGCTACTCAGCAATTCGCTGCTTTAGGGGACATCGTAGTCGGTGGATCTCAAAATCTACTTGCATGTGGTGTCTGGTCAATAGTACGAATGTCGCTTCTACTAGTCCTCGACTTTTCGTCCTATCTTGAGCAATTATCGAAGATATTCATGACCGCGGGCCGTCTTGCCCCGCGCTACGAAAAGATGGCTCTACTTTATCCTCGGTCAAAAGATTTACAATCTTGTCTTTGTGAATATTTTATTTTGATCGTACGCCTTTGCCATGAAATGACTAGTTTTACACGAAAGTCAATTTTCGGGAAATTGACCTCCGCGCTTGGTGACTCGGATCTAAAGACATATCAATCAGAGCTAGAGTCTTGGGGAAAGACTATTAAAGCCGAAGTCGGCTTCTTGATGGCCAAGAGAATCGAGGATGAAGCCGAAAACAATTCACGATTCAGAGCAGTGTCAACAATATTCCAAAAATCAAACGCATATCAGCAAGCAATTCAAACCAAACAGCGGGTACTTGATTTCTGCTCCCAGTACGATTGTACAGTGTCGTGGAAGCAGGCCCGAAAATCGGGCAGCACTAATCTGTTTCGAGAGAGCCCCAAATATCAAAATTGGAGAAGTATGCCACTTTCTTCCACTCTCGTCTATACTGGGAAGTTGGGCTCCGGGAAGTCTGTACTACTAGCCAATATAGTGGACGATCTCCACATCAAAAATGAAAGGGCCCATGTGGCATATTTCTTTTGCCGGCACGACGTCTCTGAGAGTCTCAAAGCGCGGGAGGTGATCGGCTCCTTGGCTCGTCAGTTGTTATACCATATATCAGACTTCACGACTGCCGCAGAATACTTGGACATAACGCATCAATGTGAGCCGATGGAAAGGCTGATGGGACTTCTTTCAAGCTGTCTTGCTCCACTTCGTCTCTCCAGAAGGTTCTTCCTTGTTATCGATGGACTAGACGAGCTCGACGTGCATCAAAGAGACCTCTTGATCCAACAACTATCAGATCTTCAAAGCGAGACTCTTACAATGCTTCTCTGCATTTCCCTTCGTGACGATCCAAACGAGAACCCCCTCAAGGCTAACTTCATGCGACTTGCTGCGCCAGTTGTTACAGCAATCCCAAACAACAAACCCGACATTGAGAATTTCATTGAGACAGAGTTGGAAAATCGAATCGAATCTGGACAGCTCACGATTGGCAGTCCTCTTCTGATCCTAGAAATCCAAGATGCTCTATTAAGCGGATCACAGGGGATGTTCCTTTGGGTAGCTCTCCAAATTGAGTCTTTATGCACCATGGAAAGTGATGAAGAAATCCGCCAAGCTCTTGCGGACCTGCCGAAAGATCTATCAGAAACATTCTCTCGAACTTTACGGCCGAAGTCCCAAAATACACGCCAAAGGGAAATATTGGCCATTCTGACTGTGGCGCAAAGCCCACTCACTCTCCACCAACTGCGCGAGGCGTTATGTGTAGTGCCGGGTGATCTGAACTGGAATCTAGATAGACTTCTCAACAATATGCACAACACCTTGTCTTCTTGTGGCAGTCTTGTCACTATTGATGAAGAGGAGCTTACTATCCATCTCGTTCACCACAGTGTGAAACAGTTCCTCCTTGGTGAATTCAAAGATTCAACCCAAACCCTAGTCAATGTTGATGATGCCCATCAAATGATGGCAAGCATCATTCTCACCTACCTAAACTACAGTGTGTTTGAAACTCGACTTTCAAAGACCGTCATACCTTGTCTTCAAACTGGGTCAGTACCATCAGAGGTGATTATGTCAACAATAAAATCATCAACTGGTGTCCGGAACATGGCAATCAAACTGCTTCGATCCCGGAAAGGGTCTGCTTTTGACATTGGAAAGGTCATAGCAGAGACGAAACTTCAGAATCACTATACAGAGGAGCAGTTTCACTTCCGCAAATACGCAGTATCATTCTGGTTACACCACGCCGTCCACGCCTTTGACCTTCCCGAAGGCATACACAAGTTATTACTCAGACTCTTGGATCGACGAGTAGCCTTGAGCCTCGAGGTCAACGACAAAGATATCGATAAACTATTGTCATGGTCCGCAAAAAAGAAACAATACGCATCATTGATCAAGATATTGCTTGATTCCGGAAACATGACATCAATGGAACGAGACATGACTCTAGACGCACTCCATATCGCCGCAGGCGAAGGACACAGTGCAATGATTCAAGTCCTCTTAGAGCGCGCAAAGATGAACGACATGATGATGTTCGAGGGGACGCACCCGCAACGACTATATCTATCCGCCCAGAAGGACGTCGAGCCGACAGAATCACAATCACTTGATTCCAACGCGGTTGATATCAACTCAAGGGATTCCCTGCGTTGGACTCCTTTGCATCGAGCTGCGATGAATGGACACACGTCGACCGTGATATTTCTGCTCACAGTCGTCAACGCCAATCCCGAGACCCCCGATTTGATGGGGCTTACACCTTTGCATCTGGCGAGTATGAATGGCCACGCTGCTGCTGTCACGGCACTCCTAGATCATGGGCATGCAGATCCCAATGCTAGTGATGAAGAGGGCCGGACTCCTGGTGATCTTGCCTTGGAAAAACTCGATGAAGAGACAATTTCAAAGCTAGATCCCCGGCTTTTCGAATATTCGAGAGAAATTATTGATGCTGGCTCCACCGTAGGACAGACTGGTTCTTCCAGTTGGCTGGATGGCCTGATATCAGAGTAATTGTCAACTAGTGAAGGTTGTTGCATAGGGTAATATGGTGCAAAGCTGTGAAAGCTTGAGTCACAGTCTGAAGAGAAAGATTAATGCACACGAGGCTATTGATTTTATCAATGCACATATCAGTCTTTCGAACATAGGATCATGAATTATGCGGTGCCCTGGCTCAACATTGTCGATATCGAACATAACACAATGATGTAGCCAAGACCTTTTGTAAGATGCTAGAATGAAAAGAAACAGGTCTATGTCATCGATGCCTGGAAACAACCGAGTCGGGCAGACAAATAAAAAAGAAAAGCCATGAAGCGCCAGGACCAGCCAGGAAGAAAAGCGGGTAGAAAGAAAAACAACAGTCAAGAAATGCTCCAATGAGGGCGTAAACACATCGTAGCCCTCCAACACAAGACAAAATTTGATGTTCCATTTACATCTGTCGCAATCCCTCCGCAAGACGCCGCTTGCCGAATTCCCAGGCGTTCATTAGACCCTGTTCTGTGAGATCGATATTCTTCATGTTGGGTGCATCTGCAGCCGGCGCGCGGCTGACACGCGAAGCGACCATAACGGGATCTGTCTCGAGGATAATTCCGTCATCAATGGTCTCGTCAATGGCCAGGGAGACCAGGTCGTAGTTCTCGACAATAGTACGCTTGTCGGTTGCGCCCCTGATGAACGATCATGTTAGCACCGGCCAACCAAATTCCTAGTCAGGATCAAAAGATAGCATACTTGAATAAAATTCCCAGAGCATCCCGTAGTGACAGCACAACATTGTAGAGCAGCACCTCGTTCTCATCGGCGCTTCCAACAACGTAAATCATGACGTCGCTCTCCATCTTGAAGACCACAATGCGGTTATCATACAGGATGACATCGCTTGCAGACTTGTTGGTCTTCTCGATAAGACCCTTCTCGAAAGCACGCTGCTCCTTCAGGGTGGGGTAGGGGTTGGCACCGGGGTAGTCAGTCGAGTTCGGTGCAGCGCCGGCGGGGGGGTGTGGTGCCGAGAAGTACTTTGCATAGATGCGGGAGCCATCGTCGGCGGACATGACAAGGACCGCATTAACGGAGAAGAGGGACAGTGAGCCGGTCATGGTGATTATTGTTGTGTTTGGAAGCAATTGGGGAAATACTGTCCTTGTGATTGTTGATGCTCTCAACCGCCAATCTGGCCGGAGGCGGAGACGGACTAATGTTGTTCCGTATTCAAGCTTCATATACTAGTTAGTGAACTACAGACCACAGCGTACGTGGTTAAGAATAAATCATACGAATTTCTCCCTAACTTGATACTAATACCCACTCTGCGTCGGATTACTAGTGCTCCAGTTATTTGTTGCATTATTGGTGTTGGAGTGGCAAGTTGATATATATGGAGATATAACCAGCCATTCATTGGCTCTTGTCCTCAATTGAAATACTACAATACTGGAATAAGATATACACCTCAAGGTTGAGAATATGACATAAAATGAGTGGAAAGACATCATCGTGAAGGAGACATGGGGAATAATATATATCAAGATAAACAAATAAACCGTGATGTATCAGACTCCCCTCGAAACCACATCGCATGGGGAAATATCGTGATCAGATCGCGTCAAAGGAAGCATGAGAAATCGGGGTTCTTGAAATACAGGCGAACATTTCAAGACATGAGATTGCGTTATGTGCATCATAGGGGGGTATGGGTATGTTAAAATTATGGTCGAAGACCAGTTTAAGATCACCTCAAATCATACTTCCCGGAGAACAAGGCCTACTGCGGCGGCGCTGGTTCATCAGTGTTGGGGCGATTCAACCACGGAATCCAGCTCGCGCGGTTCGCCTTCTTGCGTGCCGCTTCCTCCTCCTCCTTGATTCTAGCGGTTTCGCTGACAAGGCGTAGAGGGCGCAACTTGTCCTGTTGCATCACTGCTCCAGTGTAGTTGTTCATGCCACCACTGGATCGAGGGGTGCTGGATGTACCCCCGATGGAGACTGTATCTCCGAGAGGATCACTTGTGATACTCATGGAGCTGCTGTGACCGAACCGCTCTGGCTGGCTGGACATGGAGGGTGCGCGGCTCATGCCGGATATGTAGCTTGCTGCTCCGGAGAACATGCTCTGACGAGATCCAGGGCCCATTGCAGTCGGGCTGATAGGTCCGCCCGAGTTGCGTCCGCCGCGGTACATGTGACCAACGACACTCGCGGCACTTGGGTCGACCTGTTCCGAGCGGCTGCGGCGGTGGCTAGCCCTCACAGACTGCGTACGGAAGGGAATGCTGGGCGCAGTGTTGGGGTCCTCATTGGGGTTGTTCTGCGAGGGTTGCGATGGAGGCAGCATGCTGGTTGGACGCGACCGAGGTTGGGTTGAAGGGCGAGAAGTTGGAGCACCGACAACCGACTTCGCCCGTTGTAGAAGACTTTGTGACGAGCCGTCGTCTTTCTCCGGGGGAGTTGGGGGAAGTTCCTTTTCACTGCCCACGGTCTTGATAGTAGATGATTCATCATTCGAGTCCAAAATGTGCTCAAATCCGTCATGCATAAGCAGTCTGCTGATAATACGCTCTATATAGAGTGTCAAGGCTTTGTTTTGATCTTTAAGAGCCTTCACCTCTCCGTCCGGTTGAGCGGCATCGGATTCGGGCGACTCATCCACAGATTCAAGCTCATCCGCCAAGGACCCCAGTCCACTTGCCGACTCCTTTGTGGGGTTGGCATCTCGCATGAACTCGCCCTTGGCAAAGTCTCCGGTAAGGGTCTTTTCACTGAGAAGAAGTTGATAGCTTTCATTGTCTTCCATCAAGCGAGCGTTGGCCACGCGGGCCTCGAGCAAGTCTTTCTCTAGTTCTCGCTGACGACCACCACCGGCGTTCTCCATCTCAACAAGTTTGATCTGTGATTCGGCCAGTTCAAGGCGTAATGACTCGATGAGTTTGTCTTTCTGGAGGAGAAGTGTAGAGTTGTTGCGGGATGGGCTCCGCTCGATGTGGGAGGAGGGCGCAAATTGACCATCCACGTCAGGGGAAGATCGATTGCGGAAGCTCGCTATATCGGAGGTCAGTCTCTGAGTATAAACACGGGTATTTGTAGGAGCATGGTTGTCTTACAAGATCGGGAGACTTGGCTGCGATCCCCTTCTGCGTTCATGCGCTCCTTCTGTGCCATCGAGTCCTTCAAACGTTGAATAGTCGCCTGCATTTCTTCCTCCCGACTAGTCTGTTGTTCCTTCTCTTGTAGCATAGCGTTCCGCTCCGACTCGTGGTTTTGTTCCAGATCCCGGATCTGACGACCCTGGTCCCGAATGTCACTGTTGAGGGCCTCGATGCGACTGTCTCGCTCATGTGCCTGGTCCTCCAACTTGGTTTGTTCACTGATCGCTTCATCTAGGCGCATTTGAAGAACGCCGAGCTGTTTTTGGTATTGTTCAGAGGCATTTTCGGCCTTTTGGAGTTGTTCCCGCAGTTCTTCAATGAGGGCGGCATTCTGAGCCCGCGCCTCTTCTTCAGAGGAGTCGTTGGAAACTCGTGGAACGTTTGACATGCTGAGGTTGGAACGGCCCGGTTTTCTTGCAGCTGCGCGCGCGGAGACAGGAGTTGAACCTCTTGAGGAGGGGGAGCGGTTGAGACTGTTAGTTGCGCTGGGCGAGCGTGCATGCCCTCGTGTGGACCCGTTGTTGGAGTGCGGATCTGCGGTTGATGATTTGCTGGAACTACCGGGAGTTCCAGGCTTTCGAGGCGTTGCTGACATGGTGAAAGGCCCCAACTCCGACGCTGGTGAATGTATAAGAAAATAAAACGTATATAACCCCCTATTAGACTTCAATTGGGGAAGGGAAAAGAAGATTCTAGGGTTGCAAATGTAATTAAGAGCGGTCAAAACCTAGTGGACACCTTGTGGAGAGCGCTTGTATGGGAAAACCCAGGAATGTTGGTTGAAAGCTGTCACAGGTTGATTGCGTGCCACATGGTTGATCGAAGTTGGAAATTCATCGGAAACAATGGCATGAAAGTCGGAATGAGAAAGCAAATTGAGAAAAGTGATGGTTGCAGACCTTAAATCAAAGTTGTCTTATTAGGGAATGCGGATCCCTTACTGTATCTAAAAATACGTAACGGCTTTGGGGGCTGGAGCAATACGAGAGTAAGGACTTTCTGGAAGAGGAAAAAAAAGAGGATTTGAAGGAGTTTCTGAAATAAGGAGTTCGTGGACGTTGGGTTTATAACCCCCATAGGGGTTAAACTACTATGTTATAGGGATAATCTGGTGACATGGCATGAGCCCATGAAAGGCCAATACAAGCGCATTGGGTCGCTGAAAAGGAGGTGAATGCCTCAGGCAGTAATCAGGCAGTCATCAGGCATTTACTCGGAATAATGTACTTCCTTCTCCACATACTCCGTCCATAATACGGGAGTACTCCCGAGGTCCGTAGTGCACAACATACTGTATCCACTTCAATCCGGTTCAGTCACGCGAACACTCAAATTCGATATACAACATTGAGTTCAAATTGAAAATTGAAGTTGGATCACTTTTATTCAACATTGAAAACACTAAAATGATTGAAGGTCTAGCACAACTCGGCCCTGTAACTTCCCTGCTTTCATTTCATTGAACACGGTATTGATGTTCTCGACCTTCTCGACCTGGAAAGGTGTTGTGGCAACCCTTTTAGCCATGGCCAAGGTTTCAATCGCCTCCCGACGATTGCCAACAGTGCTTCCAACGATGGCTAATTGTTTGCTAACCAGAGCATGAGGAAAGGCACTAGCAATGGCTTTCGCCTCGTATGGAACACCAACACAGACAAGCGTGCCATTGAATCTCAAGTAAGACAGTGCCTCATCATATGCAGCATTACTTCCGCTACAGACTATAGATGCCGCCGCGCCGAGATTACCAGTAATCTCTAATATGCGGTCAGCAGCAGTCTTGCCATCAGATGTAGGATATTCGGAGATGTCGACAAAGGCTTCTGCGCCGCAATCCTTGACAAACTCCTCTTTCGATCCTATGTCCAATCCAATTATTCTGAATCCCATTCCTCGGCCACCAAGTTGTACTCCAAGGTGCCCGAGTCCACCACCGGCTCCGGCGATGACCACCCAATCTCCCGCGTGAGCTCTGCATTTCTTGAGAGCCGAGTATACCGTCAGACCACCGCACAGGAGTGGTGCCGCGACCTCACTAGCCAATCCGTCGGGAATGGGCGTTACGTAGTGAGCAGGTGCCAAAGTGTATTGCTGAAATGTACCCGGGCATGTATACCCCGACACAACGGCGTTTTCACACACCCCGTCAGCGCCGGCCAAGCAAGGCATACAGCTGCCACATGCAGACGCAATCCATTTGATGCCCACGCGGTCGCCTACTTTAACACCGGATGTCTCAGATGAGGGTCCCAGCTGTGCGACGACGCCAACGCCTTCGTGGCCACCGATCTGTCCGGCCTTGACAGGTTCCGGAAGCCAACTCCACTGAACAGTGAGCTGTTAATATGAAGTTGGAAACTTGAAATAAATGGGCTCAACGCTTAAAGGTGATGCTCTTACCGTTTTGGCCATAAGACTAAGGTCGGAGTGGCATATTCCGGAATGAGTCCTGTGGTAAGATTTGTCAGTGTTGTTATCTCTAGCTGCCACTGAGGAGCCGCTCTTACATCTTGATCAGGACTTGCCCATGCCCTGGAGCGGGAGTCTCTATTTCCAATAAGCTAGTGGAAATTTTGCCAGGTTGGTCATAGACTACGGCTTTGTGAGTTTTGGGGATCTGCATCTCGAGACACAGGCAACTGGAGATGACTTTTGAAATTTTTGTTCGTTGAAGAAGACTTATTGAAAGGGGTGAAGGGATTCGCTTTTTCCTCTTCCGTAAGTCCTAATCTGCTTTTTATAAGGCTAAGGAACATAGTACGTATTTCTTCTGTATCTTAGTTCCCCGCAGATATCACGAACTTGAGGCGGGGAAGGGAATTCGGGGTAACCCGTCTACTCCCATCTACAGCCGCATTTCGTCGTCCGTCTCTCTATCCATCCTGATTCAGCACCATGTGATGTTCCGCCGGCTATAGACGCAGCATGGGTCGGAGAGATTAATGGAAACATTCTCAGCCGCATTTCTTAGGGCTTATTGCTGTGTTTTCCTCCTTAGAACCATGTCGGACACAGCACTACACAACCAATACTCAGCGCAACAGTATGGTTCTTTGGGATAAGGTTACCATGGCCGTTGATATGGATTTCCTGGATGCCACTATTAACAAGATGCTTGTTAATACAATGACTACTCATATGATATTGAAGCCTGAGAGTTTAGATACTATTGTTGCTATCAACTTGGTTAGTATAACCCATAACATCTTGAACATGCCTGAACTTACACATATGTAGCACACAGATATTCTTTCCGATCTAACCGCATCGCTGACTGGTTCTATTGGTATCGCTCCTACCTCTAATCTAGACCCCACTCGCCAGTACCCTAGTATATTTAAGCCTATCCACAGCTCTGCTTTTAATATCACTGGATTAGGTATCTCTAATCTCGCTAGAATAAATTATTCCACCTCTAAGAAAGGCCAAACGATACGGAGTAAAGAAAGGACCGTATGACACAAACCCACCGGACATTGCATCCTCCGCCGGATATGCACCAGTACCCACCCTTTTTGCCTCCTCGAAACCAAGCTTTAGAGCTGAAAACCACAGTTTGATCGTCGAAAGCCACCCCCATTTTCCCAATTTGCGGATTGCTTATCTGTTTCCCCAGTTTTATGGGGTCCCCAGCCAAAGTAATTTACTGGTAGACTTGACAGTGCGGGGATGGCACTTCTATAAATTCCCCAGAAATGCCCTTCTTAATGCTCATCTACATCCTTTTCAATTCACAGAGCCAGTCTAAGCTTCATTATGGCTCGAAACGCTTTTGGCTTGATGGGAAGGGCCCTTCGCCTTGCCCAGATTATTCTAGTTGTGGCCCCAGCCTTCATTATCTTTGGATATAATCAAGCTGGCGCTGGTCCTCTGGCCACCCTGGAAAGTTTTGTTCATAATTTCCCACAAATCGATACAGTCAACACGACAGGTGCCCTGGAAGCAAAGAATTCTCTTGGAAAGGGAGCTGTCATCGCGTCATTCCAGATCGGAGCACTCGCTGGGGCTCTGTCTTGCACTTTTTTGTCCGATCGCCTCGGACGTCGCAAGACTATCTTCATCGGTTCGATTCTCACAATTACCGGTCAGGTACTCCAGGTCTCGGCGTATTCACTGGTCCAATTTACCGTTGGCCGAATCATTCTTGGTATGGGGGTTGGCCAATTCAGTGTTTCCGTTCCAGTCTGGCAATCCGAATGTTCATCTGCCAAAAATCGTGGTCAAAATGTCATTACTTCTGGGTTGTTCATGTGTCTTGGTTACGCTTTATGTAATTGGGTCGATTTCGCTTTCACTAAGCTACCCGATACAAATACTGGTCAATGGCGTGGACCACTAGCCGTATCAGTTTTCCCTTCTCTCGTCGTTTTGATGTCTGTTTTCCTGCTTCCGGAGTCACCACGGTGGCTTGTTCGTGTCAACAGACTCGATGAAGCGTCTGCCAGCCTGGCAGCATACAAGGGCTTATCCCCCGGTGACGAAGCCATCAAATCTGAAATTGCGGGCATCGATTTATCCCTCGAAGTGACATCTGCCTCAAAAGGCGCAATCAGCGAAATGTTTTCGAAGAAGGACGAAGAACGTCTTTTCTACCGTTTCTGCCTTTGCATCGTCCTGCAATTCTTCCAGCAGATGTGCGGCGGGAATCTTATCTCTGTATACGCGTCTACGATTTTCAAGAGCAATCTGGGAATGGGCTCCAGTCTTTCTTCTATCCTGGCTGCTAGTGCACTTACCTGGAAATTTCTTTGTTGCTTTATCGCATTCTTTGCCATCGATCGCTTGGGCCGGCGTAAGTTGTTTATAATCAGCGGTGCGGGCATGTCAGCTTGCATGGCCGCTCTGGCCATAACGACCAGCTTTGACTCGAGTAACAAGCACGCATCGGTTGCGTCTGCTTTTTTCATCTTCCTGTTCAACCTATTCTACCCTATTGGATTCTTGAGTGGCAACTTCTTGTACTGCACCGAAGTTGCGCCGGTGCGTCTGCGTGTTGCTATGGCGTCCATTTCTACTGCGAACCACTGGCTCTGGAATTTCGTTTTGGTTATGGTCACTCCGGTGGCTATTGATACTATTGGGTATCAGTACTATATTATGTATGCAGTATTGTCGGCCTGCATTCCTGTCGTAGTTTACTTCTTTTTCCCAGAAACCATGAACCGCAATCTGGAGTTGCTGAACCATGTGTTCCGGGATGCTTCTTCGCCTTGGGAGATCGTTTCTATGGCGCGGAATCTGCCCCAGGGTGAGCTCACTGAAGCGGACTTAATGGCACATAATGAGGGGAAGGATGAGTGTTTTGTTGAGATGAAAGAGAATGCCTGAGTTGGAGAGGTCTGGTCAACATCCACAAATTTAGCACTTATATACTTGCATGTACCGCAGTGAAGATATTTGGTATTTATTTGCCCCACTCTTTTGATTTCTCTTCGTAAACTGAGATACAGGCATTTTGATACGTTCTACTTGGTTTGGTATACTGGGGGGTTTCTGGGGTTTGGTTCTTAGTTTCCGTGGCGAGATAGGTTTGGCTATGAGATAGGTCGAAATCAATCTCAGCACTGCACCCGCGGATGCTAATCAAGGATGAGCACTAATTTTGCAATGACCACACCTATCAGTGTAGACAAACGGCCTCTTGTATTTCAAAACAGTTCAGGCCGCAGGCCGGCGATAAGCTAGCGATGGACGTAACGGAGACAATTGTTGGAATTGATCCGCACGAGCTTATATAAGAACATCCATAGCCTGCTGGAATTTCTGCGTTCCAAGGAATAACAGGTCTCTTCCGGCATTAAGATCAGTGAGGCTGGAAAATTGGCAGGCTGCGCAGCATAACAAAGCCACGCATTGGAATGCCCACGCAGAAGAAGGACGGAAATAGTTGTCTTCCTGCACAACACAACGTGGCAATAGTTTGCTAAAATGTAGAAGCCTGATCCTAGGTCCGAGAAGTGGTCCCTAGCTCAGCTATGTCGCCGAACACGTATCCAGAACCAGTTTAACAGTCAGTTTCAAGCAAAATCTTCCGAAAATCGCTACTTTCACTCCGGAGTTAATTTAGCCCCACCAGATTCACCCGAGAAGACAAAACTTGTTCATCACGTTCATAGGCGGAGTTCAACTTGTCCGCATTTCTCCGGAGTCGGAAGGGAGAGTTTCGGGGCGATAAGAAGCCACTATTGGTTGCCGCTGGGTCCATTGCAATTGGATATTCGATGTGGTGCCGCTAAACGGATCTCGGTCGATACTGAACACAAGGGAGACCGGCGTCATTCCATGAGATAATCCCGTTTGGCGGTGCAAAATTTTCGAAGCCCAATTAGGATCCGTATATAAGCAGAATACGGGTCAGAGGGGCTGTTATGACATTGATAGGCCTGAGTGTAGCTTTCGCTATATACGTAGCTACTGCTGCTCCTTTGGTAATAGAACATATATCAGCCACATTTCTCCTATAGCTGATTCTTCTTGAACATTTGATTTTCCCTCTATACTATAAACACATTGCAATGGCTCCTGCAATCCACGATATGCCTACCGGCCAAACAAGTCTGCCACCTGCTTGTAATATCGGCATCAACGGCTTCGGTCGTATTGGTAGGACACCCGAACAGCCTACCCACCCACCCACGAGCTGATAGATGGTCTTGAGTAGGTCGCAACGTCCTCCGGGCTGCTCTCGTTCGATCTGATGTCCAGGTCGTCGCGATCAATCACACTTGCGTCACCGTCCAAGACCTTGTCTACCTGGTGCACTACGATTCTTCGATGGGCAACCTGGACGAGCGAGTCGATATTCAAATCCTGTCAGATACTCTAATTACTATTGATGGAAAGCAGATTGCTCTCACATCCGAGCGGGACTTGAAGAAACTCGACTGGGCTTCCCTGGGAGCTGACTACGTCCTTGAATGTACGGGTAAATTCACGAAGCGAGACCTTGCCATGGAACATATCACCTATGGTAACGCCAAGCGCGTACTCATTTCCGCGCCCAGCTCAGACGCACCCACCTTTGTCTACGGTGTGAACTCCCATAATTACACACCCAGTGAAGAGTGCCGTGTTATTTCCAACGCAAGCTGTACAACCAACTGCGCTACTCCTGTCCTGAAGGTTCTTCAGGAATCTTTTGGCATTTATCAGGGCTTTTTGACCACTATTCACGCTGCTACTCGATCCCAGCAAGTCCTGGATGGGTACAGCAAGAAAGATGTTCGTCTAGGTAAGGGCTCTTCTCGAACATGAAGCATACAGTATCTGATCTCTCATAGGACGTGGCGTTTTCAACAATATAATTCCCGCTACCACCGGCGCTGCCAAGGCCGTTGCATCCGTGTTGCCCGAGTTGAAGGGAAAGGTGACCGGTGTCTCCATTCGTGTTCCTACGTGAGTCATTACTCCTATTGTACATTCAATACCATAGCGCCAAGTTAACATTCTCAGACCCAACGTCTCCATGATCGATCTCACAGTCAGCACTGAAAAGCCCACTTCCCTCGACAAAATCATTCACAAATTCCGTCTCGCAGCTAAATCGGATATGGCTGGCGTGCTCAGAGTCGCGGACCAGGAGCTGGTCAGCAGTGACTACAATGGCAGCCCTTACAGTGCGATCATTGACGCCCCTGCGTGTGCAGAACTCAACCCTCAAGTATGCTCTGGTCATCGCAAGAAGAAACAACATGCTGACCTATCTACAGTTTTTCAAGATCATGGCATGGTATGACAACGAGTGGGGATACTCAAACCGATTACTTGATATGACGACTTTGGTGCATGCTCAGGAGGCTAAGTGAATGGGCCAGGACGGTGTCTGGGTTCGACACGTGAAAAACCTAACAAAGTGCTGTTCTTGTATGCAAGGCGGGGAAGGCAAAAAGTCCGCATGAATTATACAGGCCCCAAAAAACATCAACCGCTCGTTGTCAACGGGTCACTAAGCAAAGATCATCTATTTGTCTTTCCTACTGGTCTAGAAGTCGAGCTTGAACTATGACCCACTACAACCCACTACGGCAGCAGAATGCTCAGCGCAAGAATTGTTGTCTGACCTCATATTGTGGATTTGGTGCAGGTGTTAAGCTTCCACGTAATACACGCGTCCCTACATACCCTTAGACTAGTTTAGTCTCGTCTTATCGCAGCGAGTTCATCATATCGGGAATCAATAATATCGATTTCATCTCTCAATCACGTTGGAGCGATAATTTCACGCGTAGAACGAACTCAGTATATACCGTGGGAGCCATAGATCTGGAGTCGAACAGCAAACAAACCTCCTCCCTCTGGGCTATTTTGAGAAATCGGGCACCGCACATATCAATGTCCGTCGGGGAAACTCATTACCGGCACCATTAGACATCGGCGTAGAGCCAGAAATACTACGGAGTACACTATATTGGTTGCGTAAAGCTTAATTTAGGTGAGGGATTTAGCGGGCAGTCATCTTCCATTTGTACTTATCCACAATTGAGGCTAGTCAATATTGAAAATTAAATGAACAAGGATCGGTGAAAGCATGTCTTCCTAGACGTCCTGATCAGGGTGCACCTTAAACTTACCAAGAAAATGAGAGTGGATTGGCGTATGGAATCAAGGTCAGTCTGTTGTTTTACATCATTCCTTATGGCATATCTTGTTGAGCAAGGGGACCGTAATAAGGGAGGCTCGACACTAGACAGAAACTCTTGGGACTGCGTGCAGTCTAGCCAGCCCTGGTTAGTCGGCAATTCGTAGAGCAAGGAACCTCGGGGCCCCGGAAACCGTTTCTACCATACGCCACCATTGCCCCATAAAGCGAAGGTCGCAGAAAAACTGATGGTATCCCTCATTTTGCAGCGCTCATTGTGTTCTATTTGATTTATTTCTCTCCTGGTTGTTTCTGTTTCTCTTCTCTTGTATTGTACATGATGGAGAAACCAGTGAGTTTTACCGATCGAATCTGTCGAGTCTCCTGGGGCTGGTTCTCAATATCGATGAGCACTGGCAGCATCGGCACTTTGCTTTATAACACGCCGCATCAGTTCCCTGGTATCTTCATCATTGGAAAGATTTTCTTTCTACTCGACATCATCACCTACTCCGCAATATGGGCTTCTCTTCTCATACGCTTCTCTCACCACCGACACGCCTTCAAAGAAACATTCACCGACCCAGAAGAAGCCTATCTTATTCCAACTGCGGCTTTAGGTTTCGCAACTATTCTTTTCAACATTGAGCTTTACGGGGTACCTGCCTGTGGAGATTGGCTACGATATGTGCAATTGGTCCTCTTTTGGATCTATGTGGCTATTTCAATCCTCCTCGCCGTTGGCCTCAACTGGCACTTATACCACACACGCATGGCCACCCGTCAGCCATTTTGGCTTGTCCGGCTACTACCGTCCTTCCCGGCTATGCTTGCTGGAACCACTGCTTCACTATTGGCTGGTGGACAACCGACACATTTTTGCATTCCAATGATTATCGCGGGGACAGCTCTGCAGGGCTTCGGCTTCATGATTTCCCTTTTCATCTTAGCTGAATACTTCCATGGGCTGCATTATGATGGTATTCCACCTATGCGTCGCCGGCCCCAAATGTTCATTGCTATTGGTCCACCGGCCTTTACTGCCGTTGCACTGATGGGGATGTCAGAAATCGCTGTGGAAAAGTTTCCTCCTTTTTACATTCCGTTAGCCTCGCATGTCAACACTGCAGATGTTCTGCTCATCTTGACCGTTTTCCTCTCAATATTCCTATGGATCTTTTCATTCTTCCTCTGGATGATTGGGTGGCTTAGTATCTTTGCCGCCCACAAAGAATGGAAATTTGACATCACTTGGTGGGCGACGGTGTTTCCTAACACCGGGCTTGCATTGGCGACAATCAAGATCGGAGACTTCTTGACCTCAGAGCCGATTAGATGGGTGGGTAGTGCAGCCACGATTATTCAAGTTGGTCTGTGGCTAGGCTGTGCTAGCTCACATGTATGGGCATATTTCACTCACCGCACGCTCTGGCCCGGGATGGATGAGGGATTCGGACCAGATGAGCACATCGACCATGCGCTTGATTTGGAGGGTGAGGTACAACCTTATAAGACCTCTTCATACTGAGTGGGTTTATTATTGGCATAACTCTTGGCCGCATTGTGACCAAAGGTTTGACGAAGGACCCGGTCGATTCACTTTCTTACAGAGAATCGGGAATGTATTTTTTTTTTTTTGCTATCGGCTGGCCTGACAGTATTATCAGATAGCGGTATCGATTCAATTCCAATTGATGTTAAAACATTTTAATATACGAACTAGTCAATTACCCTCTTCAAGGCCCTATGGCTCCTCATTTCACGCCATATCATTGCTACTTTACCTTCTGTATTGCAGATGAAAAGTCGGCAATACTTCAAAAATAACGTTCTTGTTAAGATATAACCCAGGAAACGAAACGCAATTCCAGGTGAAGAAACAGTGTTGATTATGTTAATTTTGGGGCAAAGGCCGATTAACGTTTTTGAAACGGAGGATGGGCTCAGGGCCCTGTAATTGAGGTCGAAAGGTGGAGACAAAGCAACTTCGTCTAAGCGTTTGTGGCTGCAGGCTTGGCCAAGGGTTAACCAGAAAGCTTACGCAATTATCTGAGGGGTCACCTGGAGCTCGCGATAAGACATAGCGATCTATTACAGAGTTTTCTTATGTTAATTTTATTCTGCGATGAAAACAATAGTACGTTCTAGGCAACCACACTAATCGCAGGGATAGTGTTCGAGTTAACTGCGTAAGATAATTATCGCACGAATCGTATCCTAGTTAATTGCGTGATATTGCTCAAGTGTTATCGCAAGAATAGTGCAATACCTGATAATAACTCAACCCTGGAATTAAATGTGATTTTCAGCTCCGTACAACATAGTGCCAAGATGATCTGTATGGGCCGGTCCGACCCCGTGCTTGGGTGGAGAAGTGGGGACCAGATCGCCAAAAAGTCACTTTTAACATTTTGTCGAAAATGTTCCAAGGTTACCACTAGAAGCACCTGGGCAGATTCCAAGGTTGTCGTAAGGTCATGTACTATAATCTTTACTGTATCAACTTTCCTCTGAGAATATTATTTTAACAGATCAATTGAAGTCTTGTTTTCTACAGTTTAGTTGGGAGCTTGGCTACCATATATACTATTTTAATTCAAATATTTCCTTTTTTTTTAACCAGCTTACTCAGACCAAAGGTGTTAGGGGTCGTAATACAGAGATTTTAGATCGCATACTCGTATATATCGCTCACTGATCAAGCACCTTCTCGTTTGCTGTGGGTGACAATCAATCTACCGTGCAGACGATCCGAATCGTTCTTTACTGCGAACCCAGTCTCCGTATATCACCAGCAAGCCCAGCGGGGGAATAAAGAAGGCTGTGATAAATGCTAGAACAGTGTTACCCCAGCCCAACCCAATGCTTTGATATAAAGGAGGGCCAATCAATGGCAGTAAAGCCCCAGAAGTCGCTCTGAAAATCACACCAGCAGCTATAGCAGGTGCTGCATAAACCTTGTAAACATCCACCACATAAGTTTCAATCGGTAAGATGGAAAGTGTCATGCTAAACCCCGCAACACATATTCCGATGAGCGGCACGATCCAATGAACATGAGACGCCAGTGCCCACCCGTAGATGAGGAAGCCCACGGGAAGAATGATTGCAGCAAGAAGCAGATGCACTAATCAAGACTCCGGCTTGAATGCATTGCCATTTTTTTTCTGCTGATGGATCACGTAGCGGTCGGAAGTGAGACTGTAGAAGATCAAAGCAATGGTGTTGCCGATGGCGAGACCCAAAAATGTCAAGCCAACTGAGCCGCTATTAAAGACGGCAGGATATGTCGACTCCATGGTTTCCGTGATCGTGGCAAGGATCAATGAGACTAAGGCGTATGTTACGGCCATGTAGCTCGTCGTCAGGATGATGATGGGAGACTGGGCTAGGATCTGCAGCGGCTTCATAACGCTTTCGAATATAGTGGATGCATCGACATGGGCCTGATATTTGGAACGATACGTTTTGCCGTCCGTGCTCTCCTTTTGTAACCGCTCCGCCTTTCGCCTTAAATTGACGACTGCGTATATCTCGCGGAGCACAGCCAGTAAGAACAAGCTAAAGAATCCGAGCACGATAACCGCGAGCCAAATCGACCATCGCCAACCTAGGTCATGTGCGATATAGGCTCCTGCCACAGGTGAGATGAAATCGGCTATCATCTGAAGTCCCATAACCAATGCCATGGTCAAGCCGGTTTATTCTGTTTGGAACAAATCTCCGACGATAGTGGGCCCGAGGGTGAGAATCGACAGGAAGCAGCCCGTTAAGAATCGGAAGGCAATCAACATGGGAATGTTCACGCTCAGGGCGCAGGCGATCAAGCAACAGAGTGCGAGGAAATTCCCAATGTGGAAGACGGGAAGCCGGCCGAATCTTTCGGAGAGCGGCGCAATGAAAAAAGGGCCAATTCCTTCTCCAAGCTCCCAAATCGTGACGAGCAAGGTCTGGTCGAGCTTATTATGTGAATGAAACACTTGCAAGATCTGCGGCGCCGTGGGCGTGATCGTCATTGTCGAAAAAACACTAATCCAATCAGTCGACGATGCAGATAAACAGAGATTGGCGAGAAAGAAAAAAGACGCTCACCTAACGAAACCCATCCAGGAGATAGCGAAGACAATCAGCCATTTTTTCATTGACGACCAATTCAAAGGGTTTTCCGGGTCGTTCTCCTCATAATTCACGAGGACGAAATCTAGATTGCTGTCTCCGACGGGAATTACCAATGGCTGTTCGACAAACTTTTCATTCTGGCTTCCCACGGCAGCTATGGGCTCTTTGCCTGACAAGTTCTGCTGCTCGATTGAAGATAAAATAGGGACTGAGTGGGTGAGAGTCTCGTCGATGTAAGACATTATGGTCAAGTGAGTGGCGTACGCAAACAGTGCCCCGAGGTCTATTTAAATGCCGAGAGAGCAAGCGGGAAGAGACACATTGCGAAACAAAGCAAGCTTTTATGTTGTGGGAGGAATTTTGTCGGATTAACAGGGGCTCCCACGATAACATAGGCAACTATACGACCTTCCAAGCCCAGGTGGTTACCTAACCTTACCTAACCTTACCCTATCAAAATTCTTATCTGGAGATGTATTCTTTTTCAAGGTTGTTTTAGTGGTATTTGGGACAATTCTCGACCAAGGATACCTAGATAGCCATATTTCCAATGTGGGGAGGATTTAGATTAGGATTGACAACAGCCCTTCAGGGCTGTAATACTTCTAAGGTTATTGTACCTGTCTCCGTAATATTTCGCTGGTATGGTGTTGAAGGGGACTCCTTCGTTGATTCGCCATCGGTTTGTGGGCTGTAATGGCTTCGGATCCGCGGTCCAAGAGAGTAAAGCAAGTATGGAACGGGGGTGGAAACGACACTTATAGCACCAAAAGTCGTCACGGTCCAGTGCGTGCCCATGTTCCGATAGAACGGAATGCCCACCGCCAACATTCCGCTGGAAGCTGTGTATCGAGCCAACGTGATGAAGGTCAGAGCAGAAGCGGCGTAGATCTCATAAATATCAATGAGGTACATATACACCGTGATGAAATTTGTGATGAAACCATGACCAAAGAGAGTGGAAGCCAGCAGTGGCGACCAGAGGAAGTGGAGGGGTATGCAGTCCAGCCCATCCAAAATAGAGAGTAGCGTTCCGCAAAGCCCATTCGTGGGGGCCCATAAGGCCCCCATTAAAGCCCACCACTAAGGGGGATTTACCTAGCATCTTATAATCGCTATATTCTAACCTTCTACTTATTATATAGAGTTTAACTTTTTAGAATTGATAATTATCATAGCTATATAAGTATAAAATGATTTTAAATAAAATCTGACCAGGAGAGGTCGAGATACTACGAAAAAAGTGTCATATTAATATTTTGACACTCGATATATATCTAGGAATCTAGACGGGAGTACTACTACTTTCTAAGTGAACTTCTATAATTTATAAATTATCTAAATAACGCGCTTTCTCGCGGTTTTAAACGTGATATGGAGAGATAAATAGTAATTGATTCTAAATGATTTAAACTAATAAAATGTTATCTTTAGAATAAGGCTTAGAAACGGGGGTAAAACGAAGGGTAATTTTGAAATCCCTAAACAGGGGGTTCAACTTCTGAATTCTTAGTATATTTGTACTGTTTAGGGCCTATTGGGGCCCCGTTAAAGCCCAGCCCATTTGCGGGTTGGGTTGGGCTGGGCTTTATGAGCTTTATGGGCTTTGCGGAGCTCTAGGTGTAAACATGTCTGAGATAGTTCCGCCGGCGCAGACAAGAGGTGACGTACCAGAAAAGCCCGCTAAGAACCGGAAGACTAATTGGGCGCCGAAGTTAGGGGCTAGTTCGGACGCCATCAGCCAGATCAACATGGATCCAATATTCAAAAGATATGTCACGGATCGGCTAAGGACCTCGGGAACGGGGCCGACTAGGAGGGGACCGAAGCCGAAGCCGACCAGGAAGACGCCGACCGACAAAGCTTCGGCTAATTCACTGACGTGGAATTCTTTGGCGGCATTGGGGATGATTGGGGAGTCGATGGGGGCGGCTGCTCCAAAAAAGCCAGCGAGAAGAGTGACCAAGCATGTCGCCGTCCACTTCTGTGTCGCAGTCCAGTTGCGCGGGTTCTGAGGGTCAAACCATATCTAGTCGGCGTCTTTGACCACACTCTGTTACAATCATTTCTGGTGATTTTCACACACAACACCCAGCCTTCTGCGAGGGTCGAAAAGGTGCTACAGTGGAGTGAAGGAGTCATATTTGGATTCGTAAAGGGTCTAAGAGAAGCGTTATTTTCAACCAGTTACTGCCGATGGCTTTTAGTACAGGGTAACAGAATCACCCTGATGGCCAATACAGAGTATGAACAATTCGAAAGGCAGCTCATTAATCATAGCGACTGGAGGTGTGTGGCATAGACGCGAAGGAGTTATTCTTTAGTCATTTAAAAATATAATACTTCGGTGATTTGTGTTCTGCGCTAACTTCTCGCATCCGATGGTATGCCGCGGGGTAGGGCGAGGGGGAAAAGCTGTTATAAAGGGCGTTGTGCCACTCTCCAGTCTCAGCATGGTGATCGTATCTATTGATCTTTTCCAACCTGTTTTTTACCTCTCAGCCCCTCACTTTTCAACCACTATTTGAAGTGAAAAGCATGTCGTCGCCTATAACCTTGGTGATTGGAGCCTCCCGCGGGATCGGTCTCGAATTAGTGAGGACATTGAGCCAAGATACCTCGCAGCAAGTAATCGGCTCTGTGCGCAAGCCCACAAACCCCCTCGATGCGCCGAATGTGCGGTTTGTGACTCTTGATCAAGCCGATCGAGCATCTGTGAAAGCGGCCGCAGCCTCGGTCCCCGAACTTGACGTGCTGATAATCAATGCGGCCATCGGCGATGACGAGAAAGTCCTTTCCACTTCGGATGAACGCCTCGCAGAGTATTTCAATGTGAACGTTAGTGGCCCGTTGAGAGTCATTCAGGAATTCTTGCCCGCGCTTCTTGCCCGTCAAACTCGGAAGATTGCTGTAATCTCCTCGGGATCTGGATCTTTGGCTGGCCAAATCAATGCCACCGGAGGATTCAGTGGACCTTACTCCATCTCCAAAGCCGGTCTGAACATGGTCGCTGTGCAGCTGCATAATGAACTCCGGGACCAGAATTTCACGGTGCAGGCCATTCATCCTGGGTGGGTGGCAACGGATATGGGAAATGTAACCGGATCGGGCGGAATGCCTATTCCAGAGTCGGCTCGGGGTGTTTTGGAGCGTGTGAAGGAAGCAACTGCCAAAGATTCGCCTCGATTTGTCAACTGGAAGGGAGATACCATGTTGTGGTAAAGGGACAAAGGAAAATGAACAAACGCGGACTTCAAGTTATAGCAGGTATAGCACTTGTTTTGATTTACGTACTCGGTACTCCGTAGTAACAATCCTTTTCAGTCCTTGAAAACACCCGCTACTCCTGCCATGCCTTTGGACACATGTTTGAAATCACCTCCATGGTCTGAACAAAATCATCATCACCCCTCTCCTATCTACACGGTGCAGGGCGGGCAATGGATGACCAGGATATCTAGAGCGTTTCTGGGCACATTATATATTTCCAACTCCGTACCTCACACTCTATATTCCGCTGCTCTAGGTCTTCTTCTTTAAAGGTTAATTACTCAATCTATCCTAGAATGAGTCTCCCCAAGCACCCGCGTTACCACAGTTTTGCACCCTATCATATAAGCCCAAAACCTTCCCTCAAGTTGATTCACTTTATTACCGTCACCCGAATTAACTTTTGAGTATAAACGCATTTTCTGTGACTAGTATCGCTGCAAATGATTCATCGCAGAGTTTCGCCTCTTACGTAAAGGCACAGCTGGATAATGCAGCCTGAGGATATAATAATGATTTTATTGATTGGTGACTAGCGGATAGACTACCCCCGTGGGTTTTCGGTAAATTGACAGCACATATCTATCTGGTATATGGCGAAAGTCAAAACTATAAGTAGACACTAAGAATATATTTCTAAGCAACTGTGTCCTTCTTAACTTGATCAACATCAGCACCCCATGGCACATTGCCTTCAAACGCCTTCTGGTTCTGATTGCCCGGTTGCTCGGCATCGAAATCCAAACGATCAGGGATCTTCAGCCCAGCTGGGAAATGATATCTCACAAACCATGTCGATACTCCATCCCGGTACAGCCAAGGGTCCTCTGTTCGTCTCTGCCATGTTTCCAGTCTCGTTCTGAGATCCTCGAGCACAGCAGCATGTTCCGGGTCTTTGACAAGATTGTGAACCTCATTTGGATCGTTCTCCAAATCATACAGCTCTTCTGGTGCACGGAAAAAGAAATCCTTTAGCTTTCTCTCTCCGATCTTAATCTCGCTATCTGGTGAGTTCCGAATATCTTCCCAAGATAGAGACCCATAGATGTCAGCGGCAAATGGGAAGTCCAGACGCCATGCGAGATTTCGGTGGTATTTGTATCGTCGATCCCGAATGAATCTCGTCGGCCAGTAGTTCGTGACTTCGTGGAAAGTATGCGAGCCGAAGACTTGATTCCACTCTGATGTCTTAGCGTCGGTTCCGAGGATAGGAAGCAACGAGCGTCCAAGACGCTTCTTCGCTGGGTCCACGGCACCTGGATGTCCGGCATAGTCAAGCAGGGTGGGGAGGATATCGACGTATGAGACCATGTCAGAGTTGGCCGCGGGTTGGACTTTCGGATGTTTGATGATAAGAGGCAATCGCACTCCTGCATCGAAAAGAGTTGTTTTTGAGTTGATAAAAGGTGGGCCGTTATCGCTGATAAAGATGACCAGAGTTGATTCAGCCAAGCCAGCCTTTTCGAGGGCATTCAAAACAAAACCAATACCCTGGTCCAGGCGATGAATGGAGTTATAATACTCTGCCAACTCAAACCGGGCACCGGGGGAGTCGCTGATAAAGGGTGGAATCTCTACATTATCAGTAGTGTAGGAGCCCTTCGTGATGCGGGGGTCGTATTCTTGGTCGTTGCCAAATCCACCACGTGTGCGATCGCGATGGGGATCATGGAAACCAATCGTCAAGAAGAAAGGCCTTTCGTCGACCAGAGATTCTTGGAAGAAGTCATTGGCTTGATCAGCGATCACAGCCACATCCCTCGTTTCACTTTCCTTAGAGACCTCCCAGGGATAGACTGGCGCCGGGCCGACGTGAATCTTCCCCAGAATACCAGTCCGATATCCGCTTTGATTCAGCAGCTGTGGCGCGGTTTCCACATGATCAAACGTGACGAAATGATGGCGGTGACTGGCAAGTCCGTACTGGCCGTTCTGGTGGGTGTGCAAGCCAGTATATATCACGGAGCGGCTGCCACTGCAGGATGCGGTGCTTGCAAATGCATAGTCAAATTTGGTACCTTCTGCAGCGAGGTTGTCGAGATTGGGTGTCTTGATTGTTGATGCGCCGTAACAACCAATTTGCTTACCCAGATCATCGGCGACCATCAACAGCACATTCTTTCTGCCTGACATGGTGACTCAGTAGATTCGAGTAGAATCTTGGCGAGCAAGGTTTTTGGTGAGGACGTGAAGAGAGAAAAGCTACCGATTGGAAAGATATTCTTTTTATTGTATCTCATGAGTTATTGGTGGATTTACCCAATTTGGAACTAGCTCCTCTTCGTGCTTACTGTGAGCGTGATCCGACAGCAAGATGATGTGCTTGATAGCACATGCTCGTATACTACGCCACTAATGCTTAGCGCGTTGAAGAATTTGATCAAATATATTAATTAAAAATGTTGTCATCTGCAGAAATCTTTGGCAATCCTACTGATCTGCCATTAACAATTCCCTTGTCCGATAAAGTTATACTATGTTGTACCTGCCGACAGCTTGTGAATAAATCCCGCATGTAACGGGACTATCGCGCTGAATAATTTAAGTGGATATGTTGTCTCACTTGTCAATCGCGAATCGCGATACTAGTGGATGGAGGAATTATGGCGTCTTTTATTCAAGGTATTGACGAAAGGGACGGAAGATCCTATACAACCAAATTGCGATGAAAACAGTATAGCTACTATGCTAGCTCCCTGAGTAGAAATACAACGAGATAGAACTAAGAGTGAACAGAAATTGAATTGCATTTATTCATCAGTTCACGATGAAGTTCACCAGTTTGCTTTTGCTCCCGTTGTTGCGTATCGCCGCGGGCCAACTTATCGGCCCCGTCGGTCCAACAACCGACCTCCAAGATAAAACATATGAATGCAACATTCTTGATTATGGCGCTGTAGCTGATAACAAGACTGACATCTCTACTGCGCTGGAGACGGCTTTCTCAGACTGCGTTCGCAAACATCCGGGTAGCCGACTCATTGTCCCCGAAGGCGAGTATCTCATCGAGCGAGGTGTCACTCTCCTCAATGGTACCAATTGGGCATTCCAGTTGGATGGACTGATCACAGCTGCATATGGCGGCGACTGGGATATTGCACGTGAGTTGCTACTCCAAGGGTTTGCAGGCACAGAGATCATCAATGCCACTATCAATGGGGAGGGTGATAATAAATTCTTATTAGATGTGCTCGTCATCGTCAATGGTGAGTTCGCATTCCCAGATATCCTTATTGAAGCTTAATATTTACAAAAACAGCTGTCGATTTCGAGTTCTATTCTTCCAATGGCAAAGGTGCCTTCCAAGGACAGGGTTATCTCTACCGAAACCTTGGAAAGTAAGTTATGGACCATTTCTACAATTTTTATATAATTTTGTAAAGCTAACGTACATAAACTTCTAGCACGGGTCGCCCGCGCCTGGTGCGTTTGATCTCTCCGACCAACGCCTCCGTCCATGACTTGATTCTTGTCGACAGCCCCAAGTTCCACATTATCTTGGACTTTGCCATCAACGTTGAAGCCTACCATTTGACCATCCGAGGAGCAAACCTGGGTAGTTATGATGGTATCGATGCCATTGGTTCCAACTATTGGATCCATGACAATGAGGTATGCATCTTAAGCCGTGATCTCCATGTTTCATCCAAACTGATTATTATTGTAGGTTACCAACCGTGACGAGTGTGTTTCGGTGAAGAGTCCTTCTCACCATGCCTTGGTTGAGAACCTGGTGTGCAACCAAGCAGGCTCTGGTATCTCCATTGGCAGCCTGAATGCGTCTGCCGAAATCTCAAACATCGTCAGTTCCAATCACATGTGGATATCTATCAAGTGCTAACGTTGCAGTAGCATGCGCGCAATATTAACATTATCCAAGGTAACAACATTGCTTTCATCAAGACATACCCTGGTGGATCCGGCTACGTTACAAACATCACTTTTGAGAATTTCCGCTCTCTGGGAAGTCTTTATGGCTTGGATATTAACCAGTACTGGCAAAATACCTTTGAGCCCGACACTGGTGCTGTTGCATTGAGCAACCTGGTTTTCCGAAATTTCTCTGGTAAGTGGTTTACAAATTTTAAATCTGGCAATATTCTAACTTAGTTTATCAGGCTCTGTTGCCGATGGAACAAAACGCCCTCCCCTCTACCTCGTTGCGAATGATCTCACATTTGCTACCAATGTCACTGTTGAGGATTTCTCAGTTTGGACAGAATCGGGTACTAAGGTTGTAAACAAGATCAGCAACATCTTTGGCACTGGAGACGACAGCTACGGGGCAAGCAATGGTATCAAGTCTCTCGGCGCGGGAGAATCACCCTCGCCTTATTCCAGCACCTACACCATTACCGCCACCCCGACTGGCTGGAAGGCCCCCGCGACTCCTACTTGGGCTGTGCCCAGTACGGGTTATGGAAGTAAGCGCTTTGTCCTCTTCTTTTCTTTTTCTTGTTCCACCAGGTAACTAATTTTTCTACAGCTGCATCTCCCATTCCTGTCTACAGCCCTGCTCCTTTGTGGCGCCCAGGTGGTGTGGATTACGATTTGCACTACTGGGGAAGCTTCTAAGTGGCAGCTTATTATTGCGAAAGGCCAATCATGTGCTGAGTGGGACTATTTTCCCTAGCGGCGCGGCAATTTTTCGCATGTGTGATATCGTTGGTATAGATGCTGCAAGGATTAGTTAGCTTTAGTTGAATGCATGTGAAAGAAGAGAAAATCAAACTTTACATTTATCCGTGAGAAAGACGACATATTTTCCCAAATCTTTATTATAATATCTAGTATTTAGTTTTTTAGTTTCATAGCACTTAGTTCTATCAACCTTTATGAACAATAAAGCTCAGGATTCAGATTGGTCAAGAAACGCCGTCAGCCCTACTAGTAGATTCCTAATTTGGTACTTGTGTTCAAGCCTCCAGTGCACACAATACAGCGACGCTTTTTAGACCCAAGAGGATGGCGTCAGTAAACTGACATTTTGACGCCAGCGCTTGTGCCATGTGGTAAATTAACCGTTGAGATGAAGGTCCGGTGAACAAGACCGATTTGGGGACCGATATGGGGGCCGATATTGGTAGTGGCGTTAGGACCCTCGGTTCTAGAAATCAGAAGTTAGATATATTATTGTAAGACACTATTTTCCACCAATCTGGGCCAATACGATGTCAAGATGGCCACCGCTCATTGACTGGATTGGATAAGGGCTGATGCAATCAGGCGCGAGCATGGCGCAAAAATCGGCTAAATGGGAAGGCTTGTCTTCATTCACCAAGACATCTTATCTTTGATTAACACTCTTGGAAATTTGCTTGGAACTTACCACCCAGGCGTTCTTTAGACCGTTATAGCGCCCTTTTCACAAACTAGGATGAATTCGCCATCCCTGCATTAGGAGTCACTCCGCTCGCTGGCGTCGATGGCATCATGCATATACTCGAGCACGCATTTTGCGCGACCATTCATTCTGAATAAAATTGATATTGTTACTCATTTAACTTGATATATAAAGCGCTCGATCTCAACAACAATGAATAGCATTCAACCCAGTGCCGAAGTTGCAGTCTCGCATCCTTGCTTGTCTTGTCCTTGATTTTGGGCATACACCAAATATAGCCATGGCATCGGCACTGTCCAAAGATCTTGGATCGGATTCTGAGCCTCAGAACGACAATCATCATGACAAAAACGGTTCTGTCGTGACAACCCTTGTCGAGCCAGAGGAACAAAAGGAGTCCCAGTCGTTGTTCGCTGCACTTTTCTCTCGGAAACGAAAGGTCGACCCGGACTCTATTGCGACAGTTCGAAGTGTGTTCGATGATCCCCTGTTGTCGCAATATTACCAGCCTCGTCCAGACTATGAGAATCTGCACAGATTCGATCCTGACGAAAGATGGACTCACCGTGAGGAAGTCTCGGTGCGCCGCAAGACTGATTGGAAGATTCTCTTGTGGATCCTTATCATGTTCTTTGGACTCAATCTCGATCGAGGAAATCTGGGAAGTGCCGCGGCTGATAACCTGCTCGATGATCTGAAGATCACCACCAACGACTACAACAATGCGCAAAACATGTACCGTATCGGCTTCCTCATTGCCGAGATCCCGTCTCAGATGCTTGGAAAGAGATTGGGACCAGATCGTTGGATTCCCTTCCAGATCATCTTGTGGAGTCTGGCATCCGGCGGCCAGTTCTTTATGCAGGGTCGCTCTGGCTTCTTCGCTTGTCGCTTCTTAATTGGCCTGTTCATGGGTGGCTTCATCCCAGATTCAATCTTGTACCTTTCGTACTTCTACACCAAAACCGAAATGCCATTCCGTCTTGCGCTGTTTTGGTTCACTGATTCCATGTCAGGCGTGGTTGCCTCATTTATCGCTTATGGTGTTCTGCATATGCGCGGTGTGGATGGCCGAGAAGGTTGGCGATGGCTGTTCCTCATTGAGGCACTCATTAGTCTCGTGATAGGATTCCTCAGTTTCTTATTCCTGGTACCGGGTCCTACTCAGACAAAGACTTGGTGGAACCCTAAAGGATACTTCACCGAAAGGGAAGAGAAGATCATTGTGAACCGGGTGTTGCGAGATGATCCGTCCAAGGGCGGCATGCACAATCGCCAGGCCATTTCCCTCAAAATGTTGTGGCAAAGTTTGATGGACTACGACCTGTGGCCGATTTACATCATTGGAATGATTTTCGAAATACCCACCTCACCACCGAAAAGCTACCTCACGCTTTCACTTAAAGGAATTGGATTTAACACCTTCCAGACCACTTTGTTGACAATCCCTGTCACCGTTTTTGCCTCCATCAATTTGCTTCTTATAACCGAGTTGTCTGAGCGTTTGCAACAAGTCGCCCTCGTCGGTCTTATCCCTCAGATATGGAGTTTCCCGCTTCTCATCGTCCTTTACACATCATCTGGATCACTGTCGCACTGGAGCATGTATGCGGTTTCTTTCATTCTGGTGGGCTGGCCAAACCCGCAAGCAACACATGTTGGCTGGTGCTCACGCCTTAGTGGTACTGTGCGAACGCGAAGTATCAGTGCGGCGCTGTTCAATGTTACCATCCAACTTTCTGGAATTGCATCCTCAAACATTTACCGCAAAGATGATAAACCGCTCTACCGTCGTGGAAACAGGCAACTCATCGCTATCAACGTCGCTACTATGGTTGCCTATGTTCTAGCAAAGATATACTACACGCGCAGGAACTCATGGAAGAAGGCTCAGTGGGAGAAATTTACCCCAGAGGAGAAGGCAAATTATCTGAGCACTACTACCGATGAAGGAAACAAGCGATTGGACTTCCAGTTCCATAGCTGAGCGCTGTTCTCATGTGATATGTGCTACATCTGTGTTTATGATTAGACTCCACTGGGGTCTTTTGGTCTTTTATCTTCATATATAATACATCAGGGGGGAAGGGGGTGCTGTCTCAGAATTAAAAGGATATCCGTATAATTATCATTCCAAGTTCAGCTATGTTCCAAATCTATGTAAAAGTTCCCAATCATGTAATGTAGATAGATGCCTGTGCCTCATGCTCGCTATCAAGGAGATGATCGTGCTCTGGTGATCCCGGCTTGTTCTCTGCCGCTCGCTCCTGATACAAACAAAAGTGCTGGAAGATAAAAACGAGATCGAATAGAACGGTGATGTTGCCCAGCAGGAGTTTGGAGATGTTGCCAATGGCGCCCGACCAGTCCCCTTGCAACGAGGAGTCCAGCACCAGCTGCATCAGCGACAGAATTGCACCGGACAAATCTAGCAGGATCGCCATGATAGAAAACCCCGCTGTTGACTGCCGCCGATAATTCATCACCGCCTGAGGGGTATATTTAACAGCTGTCAAGAACACCTTGATCATGCCGACCATATAGACCTTGGATTATTTCAGTCAGCACATCATGACTAGTTAGTAATTTTATTGGGGGGGATTTTTCTCCTACCACATCAATCCATTCCCACGATGCCGACACCAACACGCAAAGAATGGCCAGGGGGACCACCCCCAAACAGCCCCAAAAAACTACGAGAGCTAAAGTACTCGGCCGCTGCGACTTGGAATCAAAGTTCCAGAACCGCGCGCAGAGGAAATGGCTACCAATCCAACAACAGATAAGCGCCCCATGCAAGGCATAGACGAAATCATTCCATTGGACGGTCGGTTCAGGGCTCTGCGGATGTCGCTGGGCATACTGAGCGCGCACAACCGATGAAAATAGGAAGCAGGCGTTGGAAACGGTGTATGCGGACAATCCGAGCACGTTGAGCAGAGCAAAGTCAACGGAGAAGCCGTCTGTCGAGCGGCGGCGGTGATTGTGCAGGACTTGCGGGTAGAAGGACATCGACCACAGGATGAAGTATCCCCAGCCTAGGATTTGAGAGATGCTTTCTGTCCAGGTGAGATTCATTATGGAGATGGATGTCAACAAGGGAGGAACTGATATCGATGGAAATTGGATGATCACCCGCATTCCAGGTTTCGGAATAGGCGGAGTTCGGGGTTCAGCCTCAACGATCAGCGAGCCTCAACAGTGATGACCTCAGCAGGATGAAAAAGGATCGACACGCAAGAACAATAGTGGCAGATGTTTTTTACTTTGTGCCCACGTAAGGGTTCAATACAATTCAAGCTTCTGAGCTTAACCTTGGAAATGGTTTCGGGTGAGCCGAGAAATAAGGTTCATGGACTAACTATGTAGCTACTTGTGTATATCTACATTGTACTGTGTTTCCAGGGAGGTCATACCCGATCATGAAAAAGAAACTCCCACGACTTTTTGGTTCGTACTATATGGTTCAAGACGATGACGCCCTTTCTATCGTTCTATAGACCTGGGTCGTACGATCCGGATCAATATGTCAGGGGCTCGACTTGCATTTCCCTGATTCACTGACCTCTGGGCTTTTATGAATAAATAATAGACACAATTCATATCTATGAACTGCAGCATAGATGGATAAAGCGTTATGTGCTTTTGTTTGATTTCTCATGAAGTTGGCGGCTTGAACTCCGCAACAACACCGGGATTTCGGAGTTGCTCAGGTTCGGACCGGGACCCGGGGAGTTCGGTATTGGTCATCGACTGCACAGGCCCCCCTCCGGGACGGGTCCACGGTTCATCGCATCCATATCCATACCATCAACAATGGCGATAAACATTTGCGAATCAAGCACTAAAGAAGCCTAATCAAGCAAGGTTTAAATAAATCCAACAATAAAGACGAAAGAGAGCTCATGCAGGTCCCTGGGAACCCATCTCGACCACTGCCGGCACAAGGACCCAATTAGATCGCGGCATCACAAAGTACTGACGAGCTGACAATTACGCCCCGATGAATCTAATATTTCTAGTATCCAAGGACAAATTCCTGCTTCATCTTCGATTAGGACTAAGCACCAGGTTTACGTCGCTTGGCCGACGCTTTCCATCACGCCTTGATTCAAATCACCACGAAGTGGATATCCCAGTGCTCTAGGTGTGACACGGCATTGGAACGAGCCGATCAATGTTTATTCGAATTGATCGAGAAGCAACCACCCCTAGCACAGGCAATCGACACTTAGGACGGAAAGTTCACAGACGGCAGAAGAAGGCGGAGGAAGGCTTAATTTTCGAACTGGACTTTTCTTAATATGACCAGGGACCAGGGACCAGGGACCAGGGATGGAGCTCGTCGGGGTTAATATCAGATGGAAACTTATGTTTCAACAAGCCTGTTCGGGCGATTTTGACGATTCTAGCATTTGCTGTCCAGTCATAAAAGGAACGAATTCGACTTTCCTATACGTATGATAAAAGCCGGTTTAAGCACTGAATGAGGGAGTATGCCCGGGTTGTGACGGAAATACCGGGTATGCTAGCAGGGTCACCCCAAGTCTCTTTAGCCTACCATGATCTCGACGGTTGGGTAACCAGCGAGAGAGCACGGAATGGAGGAAATTCATCTTCCCTCCTATCCCACTTTTCATTAATGATCAGAGACTAACACATTCTGTAGCTCTCAAAGTAAACGACTGGGATACCCAGCTTGACGCTAGTCTCGCTTTCTAGGGGAGGGGGCTTATGACATCTGATCTGGCTGCAACATTTGTCAGCGCGTCAGCGCATTAGTTGACCTCGGGATAAAATAACACCATTTTAGTGCCATTCCAAGGATCTGAAGCCGATCAAGCTCCTTGAAATTTCCTGCGCTCTGCAGTTAGTTGATATTCCCTTCAGGGCAGTCTACTAACCATATTTTTCTGTCCTAGATAGGGTAGTGATGCGAGCCTAACTGACGCACTCTCGAAAGATGGCTTTGAAATCATTCATCAAATAACAGGGTATGGCTCTCTACTTAGAGGCAAATTTTTAATTAACCGGGGTATTGAATATCCGGGTTTTCATTACTGTTGAGTCATTCTTAGCTTTGCGAGCAGGCCAATACATGACTCGAAGTATACGGGAACTTAGAATGGTACCTAATTACTAAGACATAAATCTTTTGAACGTTGGAAGTACATCGAAGAGAGTGACTCAAGGAGTGCTCCATTTATCAGCACGATGAGAGTGGGCCAAAACGGGATTAGTGGAGAAAGATCTCGACCAATCATACAGTCAAGCTGTAACCCGGTGGGGGCCTGAGCGCTCAGGCATTAATAGGGTTAAACCCTTTTGCCACAGTGCTGCTTGGAAATCAAGACCCGTGACCTCAGCGAAATCGACCCTCTTTTCTCTTTCTCCTTCCGAACCCTCGACAACCACCGACAACCTATACCCAGTTCGCAGGAAGTGCCATCACCACCCTTCCAGCACTCAAAATGGCCCGTCGTCCCGCGAGATGTTACCGCTACTGCAAGAACAAGGTGCGTTCTGATTTCGATTTCGCGAGCTTTTGAAAATTTGTGCGGGTTATCTTGGTGGTGGGGAGTGTGCATCAATACATCGTCAACGACCACCTCGCCATGACCGGAATATCACCTTTGCCATGAGGAATGATCCTTGTGGCATCGTGTCTGTGCATTCTTTGGATTTTTTGATTTTTTTTTAAAGATGGGCGGTTTTCGCTGACATCAATCTTCAACATCCAGCCTTACCCCAAGTCCCGGTTCAACCGTGGTGTTCCCGACCCTAAGATTCGTATCTTCGATCTTGGTCGTAAGAAGGCCAACGTGGATGACTTCCCCATGTGCATCCACTTGGTTTCCAACGAGTACGAGCAGCTCTCCTCCGAGGCTCTCGAGGCCGCCCGTATTTGCGCCAACAAGTACGTTATCCGATCCGCTTCCACATCCCTCGCCTGACACCCATGGACACAAACTCATATAACTCTCAATAGGTACCTTGTCAAGATCGCCGGTAAGGAAGGTTTCCACCTGCGCGTCCGTGTGCACCCCTTCCACGTCGTCCGTATCAACAAGATGTTGTCTTGCGCTGGTGCCGATCGTCTGCAGACCGGTATGCGTGGTGCCTTCGGTAAGCCCCAGGGTCTCGTCGCCCGTGTGAACATTGGCCAGATCATTCTGTCCGTCCGCACCCGTGACGCCCACCGTGCTACCGCTCTCGAGGCCCTCCGCCGTTCCCAGTACAAGTTCCCCGGTCGCCAAAAGATCATTGTCTCCAAGAACTGGGGTTTCACTCCCGTCCGCCGCGAGGAGTACCTCCAGCTCCGCCAGGAGGGCAAGCTCCTCCAGGACGGTGCCTACGTTCAGTTCCTCCGTGGCCACGGTCCCGTTGAGAAGAACATGAAGCGCTTCCCCGTTGCCTACGAGAACGTCGCTTAGATGTTCATGGGTTGATCAGAATATGAAGTTCAGAACGAAAATACTTGAATGTTCTTGTTGTCTTTACCTCGTCCCATTCATCTTGATATCAATATCGTGCAATCGCAATGATGGAGTTCTTACAGGGGTCTTTTCATTTGCTCGCCTATATTGCACTCGTAGACTTGTACATCCACCTGGGCATTACCGTAAACTGCATGACCCATCTGTGGAGTAGGCAACACTTTAGCTTGTCCGGCCATGCACGCATCATGCGAGATGCAGCCTTTTGGTGGATATCAATCAAATCTACTCCGTAGCAAACTAGCAAAAGTCTAGACCCAACTCCATAATGGACTTTTTTCAATGATCAGAGCACAGATCAGATAGGGCTAGAATATGGGTCACGTCACCAAGACTGCAGCATCATCCATCCGTTGCATAATACTTTCCTCAAAATTTCAATATTTATATGCACATGAACATGAACAATATATATATTAATAAAGCTGAGCGTAATTCGAATGCAAGAAACAACAATCGATGTTGTATTGGATGTTCAGTATAGTCAACTATATATATTTCGAGGTTATCCCGCGTTCTACATCTACCACCAGCACTATGCCTAGGTCAGATTTATGTTTGCTGGCAAGAATTAAATCAAAGACCAAGCTCCATTCTTTTATTCAACTTGCTGTCTATTCTCTCGCGAAAAAGATCATATAACTAGACATCGAAATATATGTACCTTCTTACTCAGGCGGCGACCCACCACAACGGTCCTTGTGCAATTCTCCGGCAACTTAAGGAAAACTATTAGCCAAAGTCTTCAAGCAATCGAATCGCGTTTGAGATTGTTTCAAAATTAAATAGCAATGAGAGTGGAACAGGTGAGGAGAATATACCTGTCAAGTCATCCGGGCTACAAGAAACAGTCAAACAGGTACCGAGCGTATCCTTGAACGCTGGGCTTGGGCAAGTGCACTTGTAATCAACGGAAGAGACACAGCCTGCGACAGCGGCGGCTTCGGTAAGACAACGAATCTGTTCAAAAGGTGAATAAGTGGTTAGTGTTCTGAGTCAAATTCAGCCACAAAGATAGGGATAGCATACAAGGCAGGGACTGGCATCATCCAGAGGATCAGCGACAGTCAAAGACAGGAAAGCAGCCAGAGGGAAGAAGATAGTGAGCTTCATTTTGTTCGATGTTGAGTATAGGTTTAGTAGTTGAGGAGTATGAAAGTGAAGGAGTTGATGAACACAAGATGGACGCCCTTGCTCAATTTATCAATAGTCAATATATTTTTGTAGTACTAGGAGAAACAATGCATTCTTTATCATATCGGTATCTCAGCATCAACAAACCCGGTGTCTGGGTGATGTGTGGAATGAGATTTCGTTGGAATGTGAGAGCATCCAAGATTTTGGAAATGCCAAGGTTACAATGCTGGATAATAGACTAAATACCATTGCACATAGATAAAGAATAGTATTTTGATTAAATTGAAAGTCCCAAGCAAATATTGACTCCTGTGATGCGACCCCTCGTGGACCCTCTGGCCACTCAGGGAGATAGATTTGCAACCAACAAAATCTCAATATGATATCATGCTTGATTCGTCACTTTGTTAACCGATTTATTTACGGGAATACCATTGGGGGCAGAGCTCCAATGTAGGTCTATATACACGTATGTTGCTCTATTGCTTGAAACGGCTTATGACCAGCTCCACTATCATTTGATGTTGCAGCCTACGTAGTACTTTTCATGGTATTTGCCTAGGCATTTCTCAATGGTATTTCATTTAAACTTATGAAAGGAGTAGAAATTTCATTTGGTCTATGTCGAGGCAAAGCAAAGTCCAACGACATTCTAGTCGGGTTGACGACCTCCGAGCAAGAACGGAACGAAGAGAGACACAAGTGGTGCTATGTACCTTGAAAAACAGCCCGGGGACACCCATCCTATCAATGAATCACCATTTGGTCAGATACAGTAGTCTTTTAGTGACGGGGTCCGTAACATAGGCCATCCAGGTGCTGTCGTATTGAACACCCCCAATTGTGGCATGAACTTGGGCAAGTAGATCGGCTGCAAACACAGGAACTTCCTGAGCTACCTTGGCAAATCGGTAGTCTTTCTTCAATAAGAATCCAGCAACTGATGCTGCAGCTACCAGAGAGCGCACTCGATGTCCCATCGGTAAGTTGACAACCGAGCGAATGTCTTCTGCAGTGAAACAATGGGTGTTTGCGTCAGGGTCATCTTCATTGTCGGTTGGGGATCCATCCTCGCTCTCCTTGTCAACGCTTCCCTTGTAGGCAATTTCCTGGTTGATAATTTTTCTCAGCTGTTTAGCGATCCGGGCTTCGACTTGGATGATGCCGTACATATCGGCTAGTCGCGCAAATTCAATCAAAGTTGCGGCCTTGGAACCTGGTTCTTGGGTTCCGCATTTGATCTTGCCAGTATACAGCCAAAGCAGGAGGACTTCAAAGCTTCGCGTAGAAAGAATACCGTCAAGTTCTTCCATAGTAGCTGATTGCTCGTTCGCTTCCGAGAAGTTGCCATTGAATATTCTTGAAAAATACTGAGACTGGCTTACGAGAACGGCCCTCAAAACCGTGTACTCCTTGCCGGATGGATTAAGTCGGATATTCACGAGAGGGCCATGAAGATTAGGAAGAACACTGAAGGCATGCGGCTGTGTGAGTAATAATATTCATAGAAGCAAAATATCATGTTCACTTACGAGTTTGCAAAGTCTGTGGGGCTAGAACGCTGTAAAAGAGGCATCTTAGCTGGCTTACTTGCTGAAATGAGGTAGTAATATGAAAAGAGATTGGGAGAACACAAAGTGGAGGGATGTACAGTAGATGAAGGTGAAATGGACGTGAGATATGGTGACCTGGGAGACGATAGACTAGATAAAGTGGAAGAAGAAGAAGAAGAAGAAGAAGAAGAAGAAGAAGAAGAAGAAGAAGAAGAAAAAGTGAAATATGGCGGCTTCAAAGACGATAAACTGGATGAATTGGAAGCAGATGAAGATGAAATAAATTATGGCGATCTCAAAAATGGGACACTATATGAGCTCATAGTAGTAAAGACAGACGACATAGGAGGGAACAAGGTCACATAGATATTGACATAGACGAGGTCAAGGCAGCTCGGGGTATATGGACGGGTGCGAGAGCTTTGGGTATGATTGCCTGGAATCTCCCTCTTTCTCTCCCTTTTACACACGCACTAGAAAAGACCTAAGATATGACACCTATAGAAGCAGCCTGGGAGGAGCCTTCCATAGATATGTATCGTTCTAAGGTATCTTGCAAGTATAGTCTATTGACGCATAAAGAAGTCCATATAGGAAGTACTTAGAGGGAGCTGAAGTATATAAATACTGCGCGATGGCCGCTATTCCCGCTATTCCATATTAGGACCCCGAGAGTAAATAATTGGATTTGATTGGTTGAACTTGTGCACCGCCTAATGTTCCGCCTTGATCATATATGCGAAGACGTCCAATCTTTTATCCTTTTTCCTGCTGCACGTCAATTTTTTAGATCTATAAATTGGGAAATCCCTATTCCACTCATAGAGCTGTACAAGTTTACACATTTATGCGGTGTTCAGGATCTGCATATAACATGTGAGTGGGGTAAATAACTAGTTTTCTGCTTGGCAGTATTAACTCGCATGGTCGATTTCCTCGAACAGCTAGTTCCAGCCCCGCATACGTCACCCTCAAAAATTCCTTTTCTCCTCACCAACACAACTATGAAGCAGAGATTCTCGTCTTTGGACGTAAAGGTATCTTCAAATTCACTGCAAAGAAGGTATCACACTAACAACTCCAGGTCATCACGCAGGAATTGGCGTCGGAGTGTGTCAACCTCCGAGTGTCCAACATCTACGACCTGTCTTCGGTACGGCCAATTCTTTTCTCTATTTTCATCGAAGGATACCGAGCTAATTCCATATTATTATTAGCGTATATTCCTTTTCAAACTCGCTAAGCCGGACCATCGGCGCCAACTCATTATTGACTCCGGTTTTCGCACTCATGTCACCCAATATTCGCGAACTGCGGCAACCACACCCTCGCCCTTTGTGACTCGTCTCCGAAAGTACCTGAAGTCTCGCCGGATTACAGGAATCTCTCAAATCGGAACAGATCGCATCATCGACATCTCTTTCAGCGATGGCGCATATCACGTCTTCCTCGAATTCTTCGCCGGTGGTAACATTATCTTGACGGACCGCGAATATAACATTCTTGCTTTCTTCCGCCAAGTTGCCGCCGGTGTGGGCCAGGAAGAGATCAAGGCCGGACTCAAGTATACTGTGTCTAATAAACAGAACTATGATGGGGTTCCGGACATCACAGCGGATCGAGTTTTGCAAACACTGGAAAAGGCACAGGGGCTTTCTGCCCAAGAGGGAAGTGCACCCAAAAAATTCAAAAAAAAGGGAACGGATGTTTTGCGAAAGGCATTATCTCAAGGCTTTCCTGAATATCCTCCCTTGCTCCTCGATCACGTCTTTGCGGTCAAGGAATTTGATACTACAACGCCACTGGATCAAGTCTTGGGGAGTCAAGACCTGTTACAGGCTGTGAAAGAGGTGTTAGAAGAGTCGCGGCGAATTTCCAACACCTTTGACTCTGGCGACAGCCATCCCGGCTACATTGTTGCAAAAGAAGACACGCGACCCATCCCGGAAGGAGAGACTTCATCAAAGGCCCCGGGTCTGCTGTATGAAGACTTCCACCCTTTCAAACCTCGACAATTTGAAAACAAACCAGGAATAAAGATTCTGGAGTTCGAGCGCTTCAATGCCACGGTTGACGAGTACTTCTCATCTCTTGAATCTCAGCGTCTCGAGTCGCGATTGACAGAGCGCGAGGAGGCAGCTAAGAAGAAGCTTGAATCCGTGCGATCCGAGCACAAAAAGCGTATTGATGAGCTCAAGAACGTTCAAGAGCTTCACATCCGTAAAGCGGATGCCATTCAGGACAATGTTTACCGAGTTCAGGAGGCAATGGATGCTGTCAATGGACTGGTTGCCCAGGGAATGGACTGGGGTGAGATTGCGCGCCTGATTGAGATGGAACAGGATCGCGGCAATCCAGTGGCACAAACCATCAAACTGCCCCTCAAACTGTACGAAAACACCGTCACCCTACTTCTTGGAGAGGCCGGCGACGACGAGGATAAAGAGGAGGAATTTTTTAGCAGCGATGAATCAGACTCCGACTCAGAGAACGAAACAGAGCAAGAGACAGGCCGTGCGGAACGAGAGTCTAAGCTATTGACCATTGACATTGACCTTGGTCTGAGCCCATGGGCGAATGCATCACAGTACTATGACCAGAAGAAGCAAGCATCGGAGAAGGAACAAAGGACAGCCCAGTCGTCCACGAAGGCACTGAAGAGTCACGAGAAGAAAGTGACGATCGACCTCAAGCGAGACTTGAAGAAAGAGAAGCAAGTGCTTCGACAGTCTCGGACGCCGTTCTGGTTCGAGAAATTTACCTTCTTCATTTCGTCGGAGGGTTACTTGGTCATAGGGTACGTGACTCCATTCAACGCTGTTTGTGACATTTTCTAACCCTAGCAGTGCACGGGATGCTATGCAAAGCGAATTGCTTTACCGACGTTATCTGTCCAGGGGCGATATCTTTGTGCACGCTGACCTTGAAGGTGCGACGCCAATCGTGGTGAAGAACCGAGCCGGTAGTGCAGACGCACCAATCTCTCCAAGCACACTATCTCAAGCCGGCAACCTTTGCGTCGCAACTTCTACTGCTTGGGATTCGAAGGCTGTCATGTCTGCTTGGTGGGCGCATGCTCATCAAGTGTCCAAAATCGCAGAGAACGGTAGCGGAATCATGCCCACGGGTGTTTTCCAAATTAAGGGAGAGAAGAACTTCTTGGCCCCATCGCAACTGGTGCTTGGATTTGGTATTATGTTCCAAGTCAGCCAAGAGAGCGTTCGGAACCATAAGCAACGATTCGACACATCTGACGTTCCGCAAGCCGCTATAACTCCTGCAGATGAGACTGAAGCTTCTGAGCTGAAGGATGCCGTGGAGCCAGAAGTCCCAGGGCAGACAGAGGCCACCGAAGAGGCCACCACAAAAGCCACAGAACAGGCCTCTGAAGACGCAGAGAAGGAAGACGCAGGATCTGAAGAAGAGGAAGAAGATGAGAAAGCCGCCTCTAGAAACCCTCTCCAGCGAGGCAATTCCGAGCTTTCGACCTCTCAGCCAACGCAAGAACCGGAGTCTGAGTCTGAGCCGGAAGAAGGACCGGAGGATGAGCTGGAGCGACAAGCTGCAGAAGATCAGCCGGAGGAAGAAGAACCTCAATCAACAGCAGGTCAAAACTTTGTACCCGAGCAACATGAAGAACCGAACCTGAACGCTCGAGAGCGACGTACCTTGCGACAAGGCAAACCTCTTGACCGTCCCAGCGAGGAAGAACCAGTTGCACCACGTATCGCCCCCACTCGCGGTAAGCGGGCGAAGGACAAGCGCGCCGCTGCCAAGTATGCTCATCAAGACGAGGATGAGCGAGAACTTGCTCTTCGGTTGGTGGGTGCCAACAAGGGCAAAGCCGCAAAGGCGGCCAAGGCAGCCGAGGCCAAGGAACAGCGTGAACGAGAGGCCGAGGCGCAAAGGCAACGACGACGGGCCCAGCATGAGCGCGCTGCCGAAGCTGAGCGCAAACGCCAGGCTCAATTCACGGAAAATGGAACAGACGATTACAACGAGGAGACAGCTGCCGCAGAAGCTGCAGATCTCACTTGGATTCCAGCCTTGGTGGGTACACCAACTACGGATGACGAAATCATTGCTGCTATCCCAGTCTGTGCCCCGTGGGCTGCCCTTGGACGTTACAAATATAAAGTCAAGCTGCAGCCAGGCACCGTGAAGAAGGGCAAGGCCGTCAAGGAGATCATCGGTCGGTGGGTGTCCGAGACTACCACCGGGAAGGTTAAGAAGGAGCACGCCGAAGATGTCGGGATCTCTCGTGTCGATGCTGAGCGTCTCCGGGAACGGGAGGGAGAGCTCATCAAGGGCTGGAAAGATACTGAGATTATCAACACCATGGTTGTGGGCAAGGTGCGCATCATGACTGCAGGAGCTGGAAGTGGCGGTGGTGATAAGGGCAAGGGCAAAGGTGGAAAGGGTGGAGGTGGAGGTGGAGGCGGCAAAGGAGGTGGTAAGGGTAAGAAGAAGTGATTGAATCTTGTGTATACATTAGAGAGTACATAGACTAGAGCTTTGAATTTAATTCAACCGATTCAATTCAACCAAGGTATATAAGATCTTGTCATTGGTGTCCAGCCGGTTTGTACCAGCCCTGGTCTCTTTATGCCAGCTGATCAGCCACAACCCCGCTTCGACTAGTTCATTTACACTTATTTCAACCTCATACAATCTTGAATGACTCCTACTCTTCCAGATCTATTGCTAATAATATCGTGGGCGATGTGACGAAGCTCCGGGTTCCTGATGCGCTGAGTCATCCGACGTCATGACCCGAAGCGATTTTCTCGCGATCTTCCATACAGGGCCTGTTATCGCTTCTGACGGCATTGTGCAGAATGATAGTCCACCGTGTACGCTAGAGACCACTTCCGATTCCACACTCAAGAGAAAAAAAAAAGACTTTGACCCACACAGCCAGAACCCGGCCCCTCGGGCATCATTTCGCCCCTCATCTGATAACGTGTGCGCCCGAATGGTGCGTCATTGAGGTCTTCTCAAACATCACGTTGCTTTTCACTCGCGCTTTTGCAGGCCACTGTCAGCGCAGGTGTGCCAGATACTTGAGCAAAATGCCTACGCAAACGCGAGTTGTGCCCGTCCAACGGCTCAGCCAAGGGCCCGGCGATTTATCTTTGGCAGAATGGTGGGAGAAGGAGCGCAACCAAAAAACGCCCGAGTCCCAGGCCATCGAAGAGGCTGCCAAACTCCTCCGGTCCAGTGACATCCCTGTCGCCTTTCCTACTGAGACAGTATATGGTCTAGGAGCCGATGCCACGCGCAGTGCTTCTGTCCAGGGAATCTACCGCGCCAAACAACGGCCATCGGACAACCCTTTGATCGTTCACGTCGACTCACTCGACATGCTCGAGCGTCTCCTAAATCCTACCTCCCAAGGCAGCCCCGACTCAACCAAAACTTCACCGATTACCCTCCCCTCGATCTACAAGCCTCTGATCGACAAATTTTGGCCCGGCGCACTGACAATCATTCTACCTAACCCATCCGGATCCTTGCTGGCACCAGAGGTCACCTCTAGCCTGACCACATTCGGCGTCCGCATGCCCTCTTCTCCACTGGCGCGTCTACTCATCCACGTAACAGACCGTCCCCTCGCCGCGCCATCTGCAAACGCATCCACCAAACCATCCCCCACAACCGCGCAACACGTATACCACGACCTCAAAGATCGCATCGAGATGATTCTGGACGGCGGCGCATCCGGCGTTGGCGTCGAAAGCACCGTGGTGGACGGATTATGCGACCCACCAGCGATTCTGCGCCCCGGCGGCATCGGCATTGACGAAATCCGGAAATGCGAAGGATGGGAAAACGTTGCAGTCGGCTACAAAGACGGAACACTAGACGTGAAGGAGATTCCACGCGCACCGGGCATGAAGTATCGTCACTATTCACCGAAGGCACGGGTTGTGCTCTTCGATTCGACATCCAACCCAGCCGGAGTGATGAGACATGTCCAAACAGACTTGAAAGACACAGCTATTGGCGCACACAAAATTGGTATTATCCGCACGCGGAACTGGAAGCTTGGCTTGGGGCTCGCTTCAGACGACCACCTCGTCCGTACCACGAACCCCGTGTCTTCTCCCATTGAGAAGATTATCAGTTTTCCGATCCCCGTTCTGGAGAATGGGAATCCGAGTAGCCGCACGAAGATGGCGTATGATTACCATCTTGGCTCAGATGCGGTTTCTATCGCGCATGGTCTCTTTGCCGCCCTCCGTGGGCTGGATGAGCTTGATGTCGATGTTATTTACGTGGAAGGTGTGTCGGATCGCGAGGGTGACCTGGCTGCGGCTGTCATGAACCGGCTACGAAAGGCTGCTGGTGCCGAAATGCGGGTTTAAAAATTCAGGTTTAGGCCTGGAGATGGAGTCCAGGTTTTTTTTGGGACGAGATTTTAGATAGAGGTTTGAAAAGTGTGAATATTAATTCAAATAAATTTCAACATAAAATATTGTGTATGATCCACGTTTTATGTGCACGGAGTGTATAGAGGGGGCTGTGATTGGAATCTCCTGGACTTACCTGTTTGGTAAATCCTGTTGATCTTCATTTCGACACGGAATTCGGAGACCTCCGGCACAAAAGCTTATCTATGAGCCTAATTTTAGGACTAAAAAGTGGTAAAAGGCCGTGTGTCACGAAAAAAAAAAAAGAATCGTGATAACCTGAGACACCGGCGGGGGAAAAAGGAAACTCGTCCGGCGCTTATCACGCATTGATATAGAAAATCCTCACATCCAAAAAAAGTTCCTCACTACAACCTGCAACAATGTGTCAATCTCCTCTGCACGAGTTCCTCGAGGGCCTCCCTAAATGCGAACACCATGTTCATCTCGAAGGCACCCTTGAGCCAGAACTCATCTTCGAGCTCGCGGCGCGCAATGGTATCACCTTGCCGACCGACCCAGTCTATACCTCAGTCGAGACACTGAAGAAACGCTATGAGCACTTCAGTAATCTGGATGACTTCCTGCACTTCTACTTCGAAGGCATGGCTGTCCTCCGCAAGGAAGAAGACTTCGCCGATCTAGCCTGGGCATACCTCCAAAAAGCACACGCAGACGGCGTCCACCACGCAGAAGTATTCTTCGACCCACAAGTACACGAAAGCCGCGGTGTACCATACGACACCATCGTCACAGGCTTCTCGAAGGGGTGCAAGCGCGCCGAGACCGAGCTCGGCCTGAGCACACGACTAATCCTCTGTTTCGTGCGGCATCTCCCCGTCTCGTCGGCCAAGGAAGTCTACGAGGAGTTCGTGGCTCACAAGCACTTCGAGTCTGGCGTTGTACACGGACTGGGTTGGTCATCTTCAGAAGTCGGCCCGCCGAAAGATATGTTCCGCGAGATCTATGCGTCAGCCGCGCAGAAGAATATCCCGCTCACGGCGCATGCCGGCGAGGAAGGTGATCCGACTTATATCAGCACTGCGCTTGAGCTTGGTGCCCGGCGTATCGATCATGGTATTCGGCTAGTTGAGGACGAGGAGTTGATGCGACGTGTTGCCCGTGAGGGTATCCTACTTACCGTCTGCCCGTTGTCGAATGTGCGACTGCGTTGTGTCACCTCTGTGAAGGAGGTGCCTATTCGACGGTTCTTGGAGGCTGGAGTCAAGTTCTCGATTAACAGTGATGATCCTGCTTACTTCGGTGGTTATATTCTTGATAACTACTGCGCTGTGCAGGAGGCTTTCAACCTGAATGTGATGGAGTGGAGGATCATTGCGGAGAATAGTGTGCAGGAGAGCTGGATCGAGGATTCGCGCAAGGCCGAAATCTTGGCAAGCATTGAGGCGCATGTCAACAAGTACACGCGTTTGCACCCTATTTCTGTATAAATTCCGGTTGGTGGTGTATGTATTGGTTTCTGTTTGAGTTGTTGACTGTGGTGGGCGTGAGCGGTGCATCTGATACCCTGTGTTTCAACATTCTTGTATACTATTTTTCAACCAAAGTATATATCAGGAACATAACAAGTTCAATATTGGTTCGCATACCCTTCGTGATAGAAGTATCGAAGTACCTTGGAAGACATTTGGAGCTGGTATATTACATAATTCGACCGCTAATCCATCCATGGATGTCTGATGCTTATAGCCACAATTTCCACCCCGTTTCCAAGGGTCTAGTTAGGTGACAAATGAGTGAGCACCACTTTAGCGTGCGCGATCTGGGGTGATGGGGGCGAATGCGCTATAGACAATGTGGAGAATCTCACTATGGGTCGCACGACGCCCTAATCCCCTCCGCCGACACGGAGCGTGATATGGTTGGATTGTACGTCGAACCTGAAACATTTAGTCCGTTGCACCTGCACGCAGCTGGGATATATTTACTTGACAAAAATTAGTGTCGTTGCTACTAATCTGTACATTATTTACAACAATCACCTCTGCCTTTCAAGTTCCAAGCCACACGCTGGTGACTTAGTAGTTGGTTGGGTGGTCACCTGCGGATCCTCGCTGTTATATTTTACTCTGGAACAAGCTTTCAAGGATATTAAACATACCTTCTTTTCTTATTCGCTATGTATGTTGTTTATCTATAATTTTGGTTCGTTCGGGTAGTCCCTCTTGTCGCCCTGCACCACTATTTTACACCTGCACACCCATACAACACAACCTCGGAAATATAGATCGGCACCGAAAGTGCAGGGGCCCAGGTCGATGCATAGGAGTAGCCCCCACTAAAACATGAAGGGTCCCAAGCGTGACTCGGCTTGGTGGTCTGTCTGACTGTCATTGGCGAAGATCTAAGAGACACAGCTATAAATGGCAATAATCAGCACATACGCGGGCCACCAATACCCACACACAGTCTGGTGTTGCCAATGCGCAAATTACAGCATTTTACAACATATACTCAGTTGATGAAACAAGGACATGAGGTTCTTTCCAGCTTAGCTGCTTGACTGCAGCTGCTGAATGCGCAGATCCTTCTCAAACTTGCCCGAATCACAGCTTCTGGTTAGTTTACTGTATTGACTCCTACCTAGGTACTATTGTGACAAACCAATCAACAATTGGCGAGAGACCTCATTACAGTAGTTGTAAATTAATGAGGCTAGTATACTAGGCTTGTATACCGCCCCCATCTTTCTACAACGTTTAGAGAAGCAATTTATAATGCTGCTTCCCGCACAATCTTGCAACCTCAATTTCTACCCCTACCTCATCTTTGATTTCAGCCCTCATAATCTAGCCCCTAGTCGCAATGTCTATTGAATACGTGAAAGGCTACGCGATTAGACGAAACAACACGTGCAACAGTGACGAGACACGATGTACAGAAAATGCGACATGGGGTAATTTCCAGGCATGTTGCCCCGGAAATTCTTTCTGCTTTGACTCGCAGGCTAGCGTTGCCAATTTTATATGCTGCGACAACCATAACAATTGTACGCAAAGCATCGCAGAAGCTCCGTCTTGCGCAAATAAAAATTGGAATCTATACGACTGGGACGGGTATTTCTGTTGTGGTAAAGAACAGTCGGGATTCCATGTTGACAATCGAGTTTTGGTTGGGTGCTCCGGTGCAAATTTCCCCGGAAACGATTCTTACCAGACCTTGGATATTATAAGTAGCGCTTCTGGTTAGTCGATCGCATACCGAAGAGCCTGTGTAGGTAATATTGACATATTCTGGTGCTTAGATACGGCCATCTCGACGTCAACGGCAACTTCTTCACCATCGCCCTCATCCTCCTCAACTGCAAAACCCGGTTCTAGCGGTTCAGGCAGCTCATCGCATACCAACACGGGCGCAATAGCTGGTGGCGTTGTTGGCGGCGTTGTTGGCGTAGCTGCCATAATTGCTGTCCTCTTTTTGCTCATTCGCCGTCGGAAGCAAAAGTCACCCCAGTCACAGGCGAAAATGACGAATCAGGAGTATGGCCAATCGAGATTGCCTGTGGCATATTCAGAGCTTGGAGAGAGGTCGAAGCCGAGAGAGCTAGATGGGCAAC